CAGGGATAAAGTAGCAATAATATCAAAGTTACAACAACATAAAAACTCACTATACTAAACCTGGCAAACAATTTTGATTTTCTTAAGTAAGAATGATAAAAAAATATCTGGTTCCAGCTTCTCAAAGGGAAACAATTCCTGGTATTCTAAATCTTCTATTATAATAAACTAGCCTGGCATCGCCAGAATAATTCACATCATAATCTGCCAGAGCAAATGACATTATGAGCTTGCCCAGATTTGTCTGGTTCCCAGGCTAATAGTAAACTTAATACCTTTGGGTTGCAGATTGTTGACAAGGCAAAACAAGCTGAGAAAGTATGTCAATTTGTCATTTCAGACATTTTATAGATGAAATGATTAATCCAGAAAATAACAGATTAATCTACAAGTGTCTGTGGGGAGTAATAATGAGAGGGTTACTAATAAGGGAGGCTACCATCAGACCTATAAAAAAATCTGATGGCGACCACCAGCCACCTACAAAAAGGCCCACCTTAAAAACAATCCATATCAGTGTATGTTATATTGATATTATATTATTATATAATACTTTCATCGCTTTACCTTGATGTCAGACAGCCTTTTGATAAGGCACTACATTCTCAACTGTAGAACTTCCATATTCCTATGCATAAGCCTAACCTTGTAGCCCTCTACTGTATGGATAAGTACCTCCTACAACCCCACAAAAAACCCTAACTATCCCTTTAAGCTTTTTGACTATGACGATAAACAGGATGTTTTGTGTTACCAGACACATCAGCAGAAACACATTATCCCAAACATGAAGCCGGGTGCTGGCAGTATCACGCTGTGGGGGAAATCTGCTCATGGTCCTTGTGCCACTTGACAGAGCGTGTGCAGTTTTGCAACAAGGTAGAATTCCAGTGTCCAGATGTGCAAAGCCGACACAGACAAATTCACTGCTGTAACTGCTGGGAAAGTTTTCTCTAAAGATTTGGGTGTGTGAAAAGGCTGTTATGTGACAAAAATTTTAAATTATTTATTATTAATGTCCAAGTGTCTATCACGTAATCATTTGGATTTGTCTCATTTAGCTTTACACAGGCCCACAACCTCAATACCTCTTGGCCCAGCTAGTGTTGCTAGAAAACAAGCGAAAATCCCCTCAAAAAACACTTAGCTAAGTTCTGGGCGGCATGTGTGAAATATGAACAATCAGCACCACAAATATGCAGCCAGGTACTGATGATTTAGTGTGAAAGCTGCTGGCCATCGATGATTCAGTCTACTGCACGAATTGTCGCTTTAGGGGGAGAGGGTTGTATAGCTGAGTATTTGCAAAACAAGATTCTTTGGTTTGTGACACCTTGAGTCATACAATACTATATGATACTCCTGGGTCATGGATGATGGACTGAATGGAGGCTTCAGATGGCAGCCGGTTTGCATTATGTCACGCCACCAGTCAATGCCTAAAAGAGGTTTCTCATTTAGGAACTCAACAATAATTTTAGTCTGTGACACACCTAGTCATGTTTTGACAAGTAACCCCACTCCATCTATTGAAGCGTTGTGGCTCTCTTAGAGGGTTAGCTATGAAAATCCCCTTTTCTCTTTTGGCAAGATACCCTGATGGGTTTTTTTTTTTTTTTTTTTTTTCAAAAGCCTCCTTCAATATCTTTTCTCACATGCTAAACTAAAAAAATCAATCAAAAGGGGACACAAGGCTAGGAAAGTTTCTCAAAACCATTGGTTTGACTGTAATCTTTAGTCACTGAACAAACAGTACATTAATAGAGTTGTGTCTAAAGTTCATATTGTCCTGATGTTACTGCTCACACTTTTATACTGACACAACGCTGTAGTTGTTTGAGCAAGTTTACACTTTCCTCAAAGTGTCTACAAAATGTACCCAAGCAGTGCACTTACTTTATGTGCTGATGATTTGAAGTCAACACAATACTCTTGTAAATTACACTTTCTTCTGGTGTTACTTCCTACTGCAGCAGGGTAGCCAGTAGACACTTGTTGCTCACTACTAATGCACATGGTTCTGTATGTTGATGATGTATTCTGTATCTGCTCTGTAATCTTTGTTCATCAATGAAGAAACAATATACCACTTTCATACAGTTTTCTCTTCATGAAACCGGCTTTCACGAAGAGAGCACATGCTATATGCTTTCCTTTCCCTCATGAAAGAAATGAAGTGTGAGTAAAAGGCATTACAGGCAGCTTTGTCAGAGGAACTTCACATAAAGGGACCCACAGTTTGAGTGACCATGTGTAGCTGAAGGTTATGCACACTTTGACAGAACCTCAAGCCACTTAACAATGAATATATTATGTCCTGAGAGTTGACTGGAGGTATAAAAAAATATTTTAGGCAGTTTGAGCACAAATATTCTCTAACAGTTTAACCTCTGCGCTGGCCTCTCTCACTATTCTGTCATCCCTTAACATCTCACAAAAAAAAGTCCTGTTTCACATTATGTCATTAACAAAATGTACAGCAAAGGCAATTTCCCATTTCATTTTACCCTAAACTACACCGTAGTGTGGGATGTTTCATTCTCTTGAGTTCAGACCTAGCTGCACATCTCTCTATGATCCAGCACTCTGATTGCATTGAACATTATTTTGGCAAAGATGTGACACAGTAAAACAAGCAACCGTGCCTTTGATCATGCCATTTGTTCTATTTTAAACTAGCCAACTAATTTTTTCTCCATTACAGCAGCTGACAGTGCAGTTCTTTGTATGTGACCTGGATAAAACTTGCAGAATGTTACACATGATCCCTGATGCAAGAATAATGTACTTTCCCCATACATGTCTGTCACTGATTCTTCCAGTAAAGACCTAAACAAAATATGCTAAGCAGACTGTAAGTGCTTTGACAAGTAGCCTAATGAATCAACACTGCCTACATACAATTGAAACATCATGTAAAATAATCTGAATTTTGAAACATCAGAACATTTACACAACAGCACACCATTTACAGCACGTCTAACCCTACTTAGAGTACCCAAGTAAATATACTACTAAATATTGCTTTGTTGTGATAAAAGTTGAGTTAATGCAGTATTCACTCCCTCTGTGCAGTAGTTCCCTTAACAAAGCGTACAGTCAATTTAAGAATCCATATTAGCATTGTTGGTTTGGGGATGACTAAAACATTGCAAACAACACTGCTCCCCTTCTCAAAACCAGAAAACAGAGTCTACATTATGAAGCTTGAACTGGAAAATAACCTGAGTGTTCTGAGGAGAATTAACTAACCTGGCTTGTAAAATAAATCATCATTAGGATGAGCATCATGAGGCTTCACCATCAGCAAACTAAATATACACTCAATTACCAGTTTATTAGGTACACTAGTTAAATTTAATTCAGTCTGACCGAACCACCCTGCAGTAATCTGACCTATATGAAGATTATCATGTTCGGGTTTTGTTTAATCTGATTTAGAGAAATCCCCTTTTCTGCACCTTATTGACAAGCTCTAATAATAACTAATAATAATATCTAATTAATATAATCTAATAATAGAAATACAATTCAACAGCATTAATACCAGCATCCACTAAAACGACCAAAAAGTTGAATCAACACGTCTCAAAAACTGTTTGGATTTCGACAGCGAGCGATAAGTGAGCCAGGCTGATGAATTGGCCAACATCAGCTTATCACAGTATTATCAGTATTGGCATTTACTGTATGTAACAAGAATTTGCAGTACACACATGCCATGCATGCATGAGGTAAGTGTGTCTATTATGAAGTTTGTCATTCAGAGAGAACTGACTGAAGGTATTTGTTTAACCATAAAATCTCCTACTTAGTGCAACTCTAGGTCACAATTCTTTTATTACCACATTTAAGGGATCCTTATACATTTTTTTCCCCTTATATGTTATTTTTGTTTATGTCATCCATGTTAAAGAAATAAATATTGTCCAACACACTGTTTATGTTCAGCATCTGCCACAAAAATCCCCAAATTACAATACTGACTTCTTAAACAAAAATCAATCATTAAAAAGCCTCATTAAGGTAGCATTTGTTGATTGATATTAGCTTCAGATAGCTGTACCTGATAAACTAACAACTGAGAATAAACATAAAAACCTATAGTGAAATATCACACCTGGCAAAGAAGCACATTAATATTTCACATCTTAGTAACAGGATCAATTCAGTATATAAATCTCTGCTTTCTGTTTCATTCTTATTATTTTAACTGTTAACCACGTAAACAAAAGTTCTTTGGGGGGGAGGGAGTTACACTTTTGTAGGATGTAACACTTTAGCTGCAGGTCTATCACAGACCAGCTGATTTATAGTTAGCGTTAACTGTAAGAGGCTAAGCTAACTGCTGTCAGTTGGTTTGTAGGGATTCACGACACAACAATACACACACACACACACACACACACACACACACACACACACACACAGAGAGAGAGAGAGAGACAACTCACTCTCACTGGTGTCTTCTGATGTCCTGTGGCTGCTTGAGTTGTCCAAAATCAAACACCGGGTCCCGCCTGTCGGTCTGTCGGTCCTTGTAGTCCAAGACAAGAGTCGCTAGTTAGCTAGCCACGGACCTAACGGCTGACGTTAGCTGTCAACAAAAGTAGGTTTGCGTCGCTAACGTTACTTCCCTCCGGTTAACTGCCATTCCGTCGTCTTCACATCTTCTCCCGAACTATTTCCACGTCCCAAGCTCTTTGTTGTTTGCCTGACATGACGCTTTGGGTTTTAGCTTCGTTGGAAAAACGCAACTGTTAACTGACACCCTGACTCACCCTGAGCTGTCTCCTCATATGATAGTAGACGGTACGATGATGATGATGATGATGATGATGGTGGTGGTGGTGGTGGTGGAGGTGGTGGTGGTGAGGGCGGAGCACGATGCCTCCAACCTTCGCGCTGTGTCTGACCCACTGACTCTGAGTTTGCTTCTTCCGTGTTTGACACGGAAGCTTTTGTTTTGTTTGTGTTTTACACTGAAATGTAGAGTGAATCCCGGAGCCAGTGATGGAATGTAACTAAGTACATTTACTCGAGTACTGTACTTTACTACTACTTTAACGTGTTAAGTTATATATTTTGTGCTAGTTTTTGGTTCGACTCTACAACCTTTATAGACAATTATAATTACTTTCAGGGGAGGATTTTACAGGTACTTAATCTGTAATGAGCATATAAAAGGCATCCACAGACCTGATAATGATGCAGTATGCCTTACAGGAGCCATTCTGTGTAATGAGTAGGCTACTTTATACTTTAGGTATATTTTGCTGGTAATATTTCCAAAAAGTTAGGATATTAAAAATTTAGAAAACAATACATGACATAATTTTTGTATATGACAAAAACATCTAAAAAAGTATCCTTTTAAAGTTACCCCTACCTTTATATTTACAATTCAAGAAAACTTTATGATTGTTGGAATTATAACTATTTTGACTTTTCGCTTCCCCTATAACTGAGCCCTGCCTTGCAATGCTTGTTGGTTTGTTTCACTATTATTGTGTGCACTGGTAAAAGTGAGCATCACAGGGTGCACGGGTAGTGTGTGCTCCCCCCCATGTAGGCAGCAGCCAGGGTTTGGTTTCCACCTGTGGCCCTTTGCTGCATGTTGTCGTCCCCATTTCTCTTCTTTCTCCCCTCTTTCCTGTCTATTGTCACCTGTCCTACCAGATAAAGGCAAAAAAGCCCCCAAAAATATATCTTTAAAAACTGAGCGTCACACATTGAAAACATTAACTGAAAAGATTTTAAAAAGAGCTAGCTGCTGGAAGTGAAACAAAGTGGACTTAATTAGTTGTAGTTGTAGTTTGTTTGACTGGGGTTTATCTTCTTGGCTCTTTTCTACAGCTGAAAGGTCAGCTAAATTTACTGCAATATAAAATACAGATCTTATATAACTTATTATAAGTATAACTTATACACATGTTTTAATATATTATGTAGTAAAGGCACTGTAAAGGTGTGTGTAGGTCAAAAAGGTTATTCCTATTTGAGAGTCCTGGACTAGTTGAAGACCTGGAAAAAGGTTCAGCACGGTCACCCCCTCCTCTCGTTTGTGTTGCACCTTTGCATTAATGTGGTCCCTTTGCTGGGCACCTATGAGAAGGAAATTGAGTTATAAGTTGAAACAAGTTAAAAATATCCTTATCCTCTGAAATAAATCAAAACAGCATGGCAGCCCTAAGTTTATTAACTCCCTACAGCTCATCCAACCACTGATTGTCCTCACATGCTTTCTCTTTTTGGATCAATTCAATAAATGCATATTTTGGGTGCAACCTCTAAGAGACATTTTTGCTTTTATGAGAGAGTTTTGCCTCAATCTTGGAGAACAGAAAAGGTGGTCAAACCACTTGTTCATGGGTTATTGTAGTTTACTAGAACTTCTGTTTTCTCTTCTGGAGGTTTCCGTAGACCACTAACCTCAGTGTCATATTCACTGTATCAGCATTGGAATGCAAAACGTACTGTGCATATTAATGAAGGCACATTTTGCAATTAACCACAGACATTGCATATTTTCAAGACACACAGAGGTTAAGGTCTGGCATTAGCAGTGGGGAGACAGGCTTCCATATAGGCCCATAGAGAAAGAATACAGAGAACATGTACACAAGAAGTCAACTGAACAACAATTAAATCCACAGCAGGAAGTGACAGCCTTTTTTGGCTCATTTTAAAAAATGTTCACTGCAAAAGTGCCCAGAGATTAACTCTAACTAACTCTTTAGAGTTAATTTCTGGGTACTTTTGCAGAATTTTGTGCACTGAAAACTTCAATATAAGTAATATTTTTTCTTTTTTCTCAGGACCCCCCGGGCCTTTGTAAAAAACAAACAAACTGAAGGCCATTGAAGGGGTTAATTAGTTCACGTGCTCCTGCACAACAGGCATTGCTGTCTAAATTTAAGATCCTCAGCAGAAAGCCAGAGGAAGTCGGGATGACTATTGCTTCCCAGCTGAGAGATGCATTTCATCCTCCTGCACGTGTAGCCCATTAACGTTTTTTTTCCGTCAATAATTGTGGTTAAACTGTCAGGCATCAGGCGAACAGAGACTCACTGTTCTCTCTAATTTAATAGTGGTTTCCAACCAAGAAAAGCAGACTTCTCACCCACTGGATGCATCATTCTCCGGATGAGCCTGCAGTAAAAGGTGGGGCTGGATGATCATGTCCATGTGCTTTCTCTCTCTCTCTCTGGTTAAAGATAGATTTAGCTTAATTGCAGACCAAAACCACTCATGATAACAATGATAGGATGTGGGATTTGTGATTTGGCAGTAGATCAGTGGGTATATGTACATTGTTTCACCAGGATTGCCAACATTTGTATCATGTTTAAATTTCAAAAATGTACTCTGTCCAACTTGAAGTAACAGAAAAGGCCCACAACCTATTTGAAAAGACAGTTCATCTATGCAGCTCACAGCTTTTCTGTATCCACACTCTAACAAACTGTGAACCAAATATTCTTTTAAATCCAGACGGACCATCATGTCAAGCTCTCCTGACACTCTACAGTTTTGTTTCCCCACCCACGGTGACTATATCCTCTGCAAAATGAATGCTCTAAGAAAGGAGCACCACCTTTGTGATATCACACTCCTCCTTGGGGGTCCACAATGCTCCACTGTCCAGCCTTTCCATTTCCACGGTCACAGAGTGGTGCTTGCAGCATCCTCAGATTTCCTGCGTGACCAGTTCCTGCTCCACGAAGGCCGTGCTAAGCTGAGTGTGGGTGTAGTTTCCAGTGTGGAAGTTGGCAAGAGACTTCTCCTGTCCTGTTACACTGGACTCTTAGAGGTGCGATATCAAGAGTTACAGTACCAAAGCAGAAATAAGGAACAAACATAATGTTAGAACAACAAAAGAGTGGGTGTTATGTGATATGAAACTTAAAGATGACTGTGACAACATTTCTCAGTGGTTGTAGTTTTGTTCTTGCGTGTGTGATTAAATTGTGTGCAAGTGGAAGTTGACATCTTGCACTTACACTTCTTTTTTTTTCTAAATAGTTTTCCTTGATTACCATTATATATCGATCACTGTAGGTGCCTCTGAGAGAGCTGGTGAGCTACCTGACTGCAGCCAGTGCGCTCCAGATGAGTCAGGTGGTGGAGAAGTGTGCCCAGGCCGTCTCCAAGTACCTCAGTCCCACACTGGCTTTCTTGAAACTGGAGAGAAACTCAGAGGAGAAGGAGATCCAGAAGCCAGGCAACCTCAAAAATCTGGACGAAAGGGATACAGCCCAGCCCAGCACCTGCATCCAAGAAGCAAGTTCCAGGGAACGGGGAGTAGTTGTAATTCAGTCCAAGTTGGGGGCCAGCCAGGACTCTAAAGTTGATGGTCAAGGACTGAAGGAGGCCAAAGATGATGAGAGAGTGAACATAGAATTATCTGAAGATGAAGAAATTCAGATTGTTCACACAAACAAGTCATCAGATCAAGATCACCACATGGCAGGTTCTCTAAAATGTAATCTGCACCCTCCTACAGATGTCCAGTATGAAGATTTGGTGGACAGTTCTCAGGACCAAGATGAGGATGCAGGGGAAGAGCAAAAAGAAGGGGAGGAAATGTTTTTACTGGCAGCTGAACTGCAAGAATGTGGAGAGCTGATGGAGTCCAATCTACTCTGCCGCTCGGGAGCACCTCTATCAAAGACTCATTGTTCTGCAGATGAGCAGACAGAACATTCAGACAGCATATTGATCCAGAGGCCCTACCTTTGCAGGAGGTGTGACAGAGTCTTCCAGCACCTAGAGAGCTACGTGGGCCACCTGAAGGAGCACAGACAGTACTTGTGTTTGGTGTGTGGGAAAGGCTTTTCCCAGAAGAGTAACCTGACCCGCCACATACGCGTCCACACTGGTGTCAAGCCTTTTCGATGCCCGCTGTGCCACAAGACATTTTCCCAGAAGGCCATGCTGCAAGACCACTTCAATCTGCACACAGGTGACAAGCCCCACAAGTGTAACTACTGTGCTGTGCACTTTGCACATAAGCCAAGTCTCAGGCGCCACCTAAAGGACATTCATGGTAAGAGCAGCCTGCAAAATGTGCTTGAGGAGGCTGTGGACTCATGATAAAGAGGCAGTTTAAGCACAAGATTAGATAATGCAGTTGGTTTTAACTGTTGTATATTTCGATACTATTTTGGGAGCATGTCAAATAAAGTCCCAGGAAGCACAATAAGCAATATGAGACAGATTACTCTGACGTGGAGGCTATTAAAGTTAAAGTAAATCAATTAAATGTTTTTATTATTTTCCGATTTTTCAGCAAAATCTCAGCGAATTGATGACCTCACTTTCTGCTACACCAGTGTCTAACATCACACTAATGCATTTGCTTGTAACATCTGTCTAATGGAAAGCAGTAAGGGTCCCTCTGTGCCTTCTGCAATGTTTTCTTGATCTCTCTGGGTACAGTACAGTGAATTAAGTCCTGTAGCATGCAGTGTACAGATTTCATTATATCATCTGCCATGTGTAATAATGAACTGAATCTCATATAAAGTTGAGTTGTGCATTGTGCCCAACAGTGTGCAGAGGGCTCCTACATTTTATATTGGTTGTGTGTACAGTCAACTAACTGTGTGCCTCTGTTGCTCTACAACCAAAGATATGCTTTTCCAAGAAGAAATAAAATGCCTTTACTGTTTAAACAACTATTTCTTGGCTTGTTTTCTATTTTTTTAAGACACACTGAATACTGTAAGATCTGTTTAATAAAGGCAGTTTGCCTGTATACAATTGAGGCTAGGGTTCACAGACAACCATTGCTTCTCCATTTGACCCCAGTGAAATTTTGTGCAGCTCACTGAGCATTATGTTATAAGTGAGTGGGTTCTCCCTGCATGGCTGAGAGGGTTTCCATGCTCTCTCACTCCATTCTTTGCCTTCACATCTCTCCTTTTCTTCTTCTTTTATCCTTTCAGCCTAGAAATGTAATTGTCACTCATCTTGGTGAATGGAACAGTAGTTGGTGCCCTCCTTAGGGCATCCGAGGCGCCGAGCCACTAACTTGAAATCGGCCTATGTGCAGACAAATAATGAACGCATGATGGGGTGTTCAGTACAGAAATTAGAGCAAGTATATGTATTGTGTGTGTGACATGAAGGAAGACAGAGACTACACAGAAATATAGTCAAAGATATATATATAAGATATATAAAGTATGTGTAGTGTAGTGTAAATGTACACACACACACAGCCAAACAGTAGATGTGGCATTTGGGGCACCTCCATTATGAATGAGAGACTGTGAGGTTTAAAATATGAGGATGATGAAGAACACAAGGAAGATAAAAGAATTGCGGTAAATAGAGGTGGGGATGAAAAGAGATAAGTGATTAAAATATTGAGAAAGAACATTTTATCTCTCTCTCTCTCTCTCTCTCTCTCTCTCTCTCTCTCTCTCTCTCTCGATATATATATGGTGGTGGTGGATGGAAAGATTGCGCAAGACCCTCAACCCCCAACAGTTCCAGTAAAGCGCCCAATGGATCAGTCTGTGGTTGTAAAGGTGTGAATGCGTGGAACTGTGTCTGAGTGGAGAGCAGGCTTAAAACCTTACAGTGAAGATTACTTTTGTTTGATATTTCTCTGAAGCTAGAATGCACAAATAATCATCTTTCACCAATTGGGGTATTCAGGAACATGAAAAACTTCTATTCAGCTCAACCAAAGAAGCCAATAAATGCTAACATATAAAACAGTCATAATATTGGTTGGTATATTGTCAACAACAGTGATCTAGGCTACTTGTCATAGTTGAGAAATTGAAGGAAGAGTTAAAAAGAGTAGAAAAGGAGTTTGTTCTAGTGAGGAAAAGTTGTTGCTGTTTCTAGCCTGACACACTGTAGTATTCTACATAAAGTTCACTAGAAGCTTATCTCAGACTCCTGTGGTATTCTGCACAGTTGTTTAACAGAAGAGTAGTGAACCAAGAGCTGAGGAACATAATTAGTATTACCTGAAGAAACACTAGTTTAGTGTTACACATGTTCAGGGTGACAGTGCTATTCCTAGTGTTAATTAAGCAGGCATAATGTTCACCATCTTAGTTCAGCATGTTAGCCTGCTAACATTTGCTAATTAACAAAAAACACACAGTACAGTACAAGTACAGTGGAGACCGATGGAATATCGTTACATTTGCAGATATTTAGTCATAAACAACAATTTTCACCTGATGATTTCTAACTGCATTACAATTCATCCTCTGGGAAGCTCGGGTTGGAAATGTTATTGCGGTCCATTCAACAGTTGTCAAGACATTTCACTAGAAACCACATGTCAGCCTGCAACCATATGACAAATTACAATAATTGACATTGTAATGTTTAACTCAAAAGCATCACTCACTAAATGCATGTGGTTTAAGGATGCAATTTAGAAAACGCACCTTTTGAAGATTTAAAATGAGTTCGAATGAACAGACACTACTTACTGGTTGCTGCAGAACCTGCACCCACATACACACACAGAGGGGAGATGGATCTTTCCATATTGTAATTATACCTAATGCATCCCTTTATAGCAGAATAGCCTTACTATTAGAGCTACCTTGAACACTATGGCTGGCGGAGGTGTTATACATCATTTTGTGCTTTTACTGCAGGATAATAATATAGTATATCAATCTCCTGGTGCAATGTGTGCAGGACTGACTGGCCACTTTATTAGGGACACCTCACTAATAATGCAAACAGCTCCAGTGAGTCCCATATAAATGAAGCAACCATGAAACATTCAGATAGGAAGGTTTCAGTTACTGTTTAACTTTGAGTAATGTTATCCATACTTGTTATATAACTGAGTTCCTTACAGTGCCAAATGTACCACTTGTTACCACGGAGACAGGTGCCTGTTCAAATTTTCACCAACTAAAGTAACCTTTTCAAGCCAACAGCCTGCTGCATACAAACAGCTTGCTTCAACAGTAATGTGCCGAGGGGGCGTAAAATATGTCAGATCTTATATGTTGCTGACCAGGCGCATCTTTCTGTGGCCTCCCGCTGTCTTGCTGCAGGAATAATGCATTGTGCCATATATCTCAGTAAGATTGTCTGGTCTCATAAGCTTATAGCCAGACCGGCAGTGCAACAAAAAGTTTCAAATATGATACTTAGTTCTGCATATTGGGTGTGTATAACATGCCTACAGCTCAAAAATGCAATTTAGCACATAATTAGAACCACATTATGTCCTCTTAATGAGTAGGCTCTCCTGTGGTGAACAGCAAGTCGGCGAGAAGAGCGTTCACATAGTGTGACACAATTATAAACACCTGAGGTGAAGCCTACATGGACAATGAGATTGTTAAATACAATTGAGATGCCAGACTAAGTCCATTATAATGTGCAGGATGAACAATCCAACTAATAGGCTTAGCCTCAGTAGGCTAAGTTCATCAACATAATTCAGTGTTTTATTGACCAGTGTAGTCTAAAAAAAAGGTTCAATATAAAATAACTGGATTGCATTTTATATAAAGACATTTGAGCATTTTGTGTTGTTCAAGCCTTTCCAAAGGACTGCAGCTAATCAAACATACGCATTAGTTTCAGATTATGGGAAGTTTTTTCTTCAGCCACTCCACTTCTCTAAACGCAGGGCCTCAATAATGCGAGCGGGAACTGTGTGTGTGTGTGTGTGTGTGTGTGTGTGGTTTCTATGTGTGCACTTCCTCTTGACAGACGCACTTGCCGAAGCGCATCCACTGCTGCTCTCTGTCTCTCGGTCTGTTCCTTTAAAACAAGGCAGCCCACGCCTCGAAAAGCGGCTTGTTCCGGCTTGCCCCTTTACATCTTTTTATCCTTGCCCACAACATTAAAATAGTGCCCAGCGCCGCTCCTCCGACAAAGTACACGCAGAAAGCATTTTTGTGGAACCATCGGGAGGGTTTAACATAAAAAAAACAAAAAAACCTCGTCTCGGGCGGAGTATGCATGATGCGTAGCGGTGCAGCAGCCCTCTGCCTGTGCAGCCCGGCGGTGAGGCGCAGTTCGGGCACCATCACCGGCGGAGCGATACCACCATCTCCTCTCAGCCCCGGTTCGTGACACGGAGAGTGTGTGGCTCACTGTACCTGAGCGAACGTGTCCGTCATATACTGTCGGAAAAGGGGGGCAGAGAATCAAAACTGGACCAAGGAAGCTGTATCTAATGCTCTAAAATGCAGTGCCACATCGCTCTCGCATCACGAATGATCTCCCCGGGCTTGCTGCTGCGGTTGTTTTGCAATTGATGAAGATTTTATTTTTTAATTTTTTTATTATTTTGATGCGCTTCTGTGGATGAATATGTTTATTCTGGTGCTGTGGTGTAGTGTGTGAGGTAAGTGACTTATCCAGGGGCGCGCGTTACTTTCTCCTGCTCCTCAAATCGAGATTTTGTATTTTGTATTTTGATCTCACATCAGGACTGTTTTCTTGTTTTTGTATTTCTCCGCTGAATATGAGGGATTGTATAGCAGCTACAGATTTCATAAATTCTATCATTACTATTCGTCTACTAGCTCAGCATCAATTTCTGCAACTGGTGCCGGTGGAATATTATAAGAAAGGCTGGTTGTATTGGAAATATGGGCCCATAGCTCATAGCCAGCTACGAATGCAAATCAGGGTTTTCTAGAAAGAGTTGAGGCAGTCATTGCATTCTGTAAGGCAAAAGGAAACTGTAGATATGCTGCTGCAATGGTGGAGGCTGGTTGATGGTACCTCCTGAGCAGGATGATAGGAATTTGCACAAATGTGAAATTTATAGTGCAACATCACGTTTGCTCTCAAAGTGACTCCTGAGCCACAAGCAGTGCAGTTTCCAAGTTCAGGTGTTGGATAATATTTACTGGAGCCTTTGGTCTTTAAATGCAGCACTGCCATCATAAAGTTTAAGTGTGCAGCAGGCTGCCATGCTGGAGGTTACTCTATAACCTGCTGATTTGCAACTGAAAGCAACCTGATGTTCCCATAATATTGTTCAAGGCTGCAACAAACTGATGGTTCACTAAGATTGCATAACTCTTGGTTGCTCCTGTTAGAGTAGACACATCTCACAGGGGCAATAAAGTAGGGCCTATGCTATATGTGCTGTATAATACAGCAGCTTGCGAGCTGTATGGTTGCTCTGCCTCCCATCCAGAAACTACCCCCACACACTGTGATGACAGGCATAATGAATAAATAATCACACAGACCCACATACCCCCACTGTACACTCAAAAACAAGTGAGCGTACATGGTGTAACAACTGTAGTAACCCTGTAATATGGAATTAAACTTTTTTCAAATATCAGAGAAAAACCAGCAGCTTTAGCTGTTAGTGTTGCCATACAAAATATTCAAAATGACATGCATGATAATGTAAGTAAATGATGTTATATAAGGTGATTTTCACTATTTCAGACTGCAGGTGTATAAGTGTTTTGCTAGTAATGCTTCCCAGAGAGCTATAAACATGAGTCTGTGAGTCTCTCAAAAGATTAACAAGTATCATCACTGCTCAGTGTTACGGTTTAACTTTCCCTTCATCATTTACCGGCTTGTTTTCACTTTACAGTTGACAGGTGCTGCTCCCTAAACTACTATAATAGACACGTTTTTTATTCATGTAAACACAGTGTGATTTAATTGGACAAAGAGTGAAGTGTTTCACTCGGGCTCAGTGTTTATTCTTAACTCGCTTGACTTTAAACTGATGATACAGTATCTCAGTTGTTTTTTTCAGCAGTATGGTGGGTGTGAAGTTTCAGTCTTGTTGTGCTGTGCCCACCACGTTGCTCTTTGAGGGCTGTATACAACGCTCTACAGTTGAGTTTGTGTTAAAACTCTGGTTGAAGTTCACGTTGTAGGGGGGACTGTGTGGGGCATGCAAGACATATTTGGTGAGGAATTAAAAGGTCATTAACACATTTACAATAGTGAAGAAAAGTGAGTCATGAGATATTGAAACTTTTTTAAAATAGCAAAACAGGCAGTGTTTGTGAGCACATGTTTCTCAAAATGAGTAAATTGCATTAGTTAGACATTAGACATTGCAGTAGTTACAAATTTAGACTAAAATCATGAATGTGTTTATGGTTTTGTGCTGATTCACGTCTTTTGTGATAGTAACTCAGGAGGAGTCTTTGGGAATTATCCTGTCTCGAGAAAATACTAACCCGGGTTCACTGATCCAATGTCATATATGGCATATTCTTACACACGCTCTTGTGTCTCCCTTGCAAACACACACACACACACACACACACACACACTATATGGAATGTTCTAATTCTGGGGTCACGGTGACAGTGAGAAGAACGAGTCGGGAGGCCTCATATTACTTCAGATTCCTCTGCTTCAGGTCCAACACATACCCCGTGGAGGCGTGTGTATCCATGAATCCATTTATTATTTATTTTTATGTGCATGTGTGCGTGCATGTATATCAGGAAGGCTTTGGGGTGATTGGAGCATGAATGTTTGTTGATCAGATGACGCAGAGGTTGCTCAACCCCCCTGAGACAGCTCGCCCCTTATCGCTGCCACTGGTTGTCGTGTGGATCAACACATTTTTTTGGGACTTTTTTTGCCTTTATTTGAAGGTTGAATGTCAAGATTGGCAGGAGAGAGGGGGATAACATGCAACACAGATCCTCATGTCAGAATAGTGTCAGAGACGTTGCTAGGCCCCAGTCTTGTAGCTGTCAGAGCCGCGTCAGTGTCAAACAGCTTAGTGCGTTCTTCATTTTGTATGAACTGAGCACCGTTTAGCTTAAAGTTGTCCTTAAATACAAATTACCTGCTTTCCACATTACACAGATCCATTAGTCACCTTCTTTATGCACAGATGAGTGTGGCAGTGCTGTCCCTCAAGTATCTCTCTACAGATACTGGGGTACAATAGAGGTAACTGTGCCAAGTCACTCCGTTGGGGCTACAGAAATACTCAAGCTGGAGTTGCAAAGTGACAGTTAAGTGTCATGGCACAGCACTATCAGAAACTAATGCCTACAAAGATACACATAAAACGCAACAAACACACCCGCTCGCAGTGTGAGGACTCCAAAAAAACTGCATCTATCCATCATGACTTACTCCAAACATAACCTAATCCCTGAATGAGGGTGTTTACCACAGGCCTCCCATTGGCCGACCGCTGTATTCTGCTTCCTTCTGCGCTCCCTTTCAGTTGCTGTTTTCAGAGTCCCTGTTTCTATGGGAAACAAGCTAACAAGATACATGCTAATGCCAAAAAGTTGGATTGTGCACAATAGCCATGTGAAAGATGTTAAAAGTTTTCCTCCTCTGGCATGATATTTTGTAGGTGCTCTACTCTTAGAAGAAGTCAGTTCTATGTTTGATGTAAAACATGGATTTTAAAAAGCCAAACGTTTTTTTCCCCAGGATGATTCTTCCTGATGTTTTTTTCTTTTTCCAACCGACCTCTCATTGGCACGGCTTGAGCATGGTGAGAAGATCTGGCAACGTGAGACCTTCGACCTTTACCTTTAAATTAACCTAACCTCAACCCAGCAGTGAGCCTCACAGTGCGCCTAAACCAAAGTCTGAGTTAAGACCCCTGAAAGGTGAGGATGGGACAAACCTTGTCCTAAAATGTCCTTTACCTCCATGTTCTGAAAAGCACTCTCTCAGAACAATCTCTTTCTGTCTCTCTCTCTCTCTCTGAGACATGCCAAAGGAAACTCCAGATGCCCTCCCCCACACAGAGGGGGGGCCAAGTGAGGACTCACTGTCCTGAGCCAGATGATTGCTCGCCAACTGTTGGCTGTAAAGACGCAATGTACTTCTCATCCTTCGCTCAGAGTGGGTGGCTCAACAGGGCCACTACAGCAAATCACTGCGTATAAGTCTACAAAGCCTTCTTTTGACAATTCTAGGGATATCTTTCTCTTAAAAGTGCGCACTGGATGTGCTGCATCTTTCTTGATTCTTGGGGCTGTTTAAAATGGCACATCTTCCAACTTTTCCTGAGCGCTCCAGGTGAACTGCAGGCACGGACGAGTCTGAGAGAATAGAAACACAGCTCAGAGGTCGATTTCCTCATTTCAAAATAATCAGCGAGGGAGAGGAGCCTGATGAGGAAGTTGAGGTCTCCTGTAATAATACAACACGCCCACTTCTCCCTGTCACAAGACTAGACTTTTTCATGACCATGGGGGCTTTTTGTGTGTGATGCACCCCCCCCCCCCCACACACACACACACAAGCTTGCATACATACTAGTGGTGATGCATTCAGGGAATTAATGGAAGTCTTGTGTACATGGTGATATTTTGGACCTCCTCTATGTGCTGTGAGCTACTTGTGCATATTATTAATCTAATAGTGTGACAGTGCATAGACTCGTATCCAGCTGCAGGAATGATTTCTGCAGAGGAAGAGCAGGAGCTAAGGCCAGGCTTCTTGTACTCTGCCTGGGACTCTCAGTAAAAACAGGATGTAGCAGTTGCTCACAGGAACAGGTGGCTGTCAACGTGACTACAGCAAGTGAATCACGGTTAACAGTTGCCCCCAGAGTTTGCACCACTCCCTAATCCGCGGACACACACACACACACACACACACACACACAGAGAAAAGAGGGTTTTGTGCAGGCTCACGCGCCAAGATAAAACTCCCCACCTCCGTCTCCAAACTTCCCACTGAACCCGTTTCATCACATGAGCGTTGCCTCACTCTTCCTCAGACCGTGGTTCAGCAGCTTGTGGGCTACAATAATCGTAATCGGTGTTATATTTGGGCTCCTCGCGGAAGGAAACATGACGCGCGAGGACAGAGAGGAGCTGTCCACGCGGCCAAGGAGGCAAGGCGGGCGCCGAGCGCTGCGGGCAATTTGTAAGGTGCGTTAAACTGGCGTTATAACCGGCACGTCGCCATATATAAGATACAATATATAAAATGCATTTAATATATATATATATATATATATATATATATATATATATATCATTTTTTAGAGAAGCTCTGGGCATAATTGTTGTTTAATGTAGTGTACAGCGCACGGTTCCACTTTCTCTTCCCAGTGGACTTTATCTGCTAGCATGTTACCATATGAACATGCTTTCTCTGCTAGCATGTTCTTATTGTAAATAAATATTTTTTTTTTAATATAAAAGTTCGTTTTTTTTTTAAAGCTCAGGCAACTCAGAAAGCCAAAAAAGTTTTTATACACAAATAAACATACACTTCTTCGTAAATAGGCCTTTGCGCTAGGCTTACATGGCACAGGCTCTCAGAATCACACTCACAGGTCAGTTTTTTAAAACCGGTATGGTCAGTTGCTTTGTCCTCTCTAATCTTCTTTCTCTATTTTGACTTTCTCTCTCTCTCTCTCTCTCTCTCTCTCTCTCTCTCTCTCTCTGTGTGTGTGGTGTGTGTGTGTAGTGTGTGTGCGCGCAAATTGTTTTACTGTATCTAAACTCATTTGAATAGATTTTCTTTCAGTTGTTATGGCGCCTGCTCTGTGAGGGTACCAGCTGTTATTTTTTTGGTGATCAGTTTGAACAGATGTAAGAGAGTCTAAAAGCAACAGGTGCTGGCTGCCTGCATGCTGTGTGCAGAACACTTTGCATAATAGAGTCAGAAGGATGGTTGTTTAAGTGTGCCAGTGTTTTATGCTTTTGGTTAATGCGATGATGCATCAAAAAGCACACAGGAGGTTAAAGAAAAAAGTAACAAAATATCCCTTTGTACTGTACTGTTACATAACAAGAGGAACATTTCCTGATATTAAATGTTTTTCAAGACGTGCAAAGTGTGAATATTTGAATAAAAGTGGCTAGAATGCACTGTCAGAGTAAAGCAAGAAGCAACATAGAAGTATTTTCTTCACTAATAAGCAAAGTGATTTTAAAGCTGCAGATCTAATAGCTGCTGGTCAGAAAGGAAAGTTGTAAATCTAATGATGCTGACTTCTCCCGTCTTTATTGTACCCATTTTCACTCATCACATCTCTACTCAACAGCCTCCACAGTCCTTCCCTCAGTCATAAGAAACTTTCTGTAGGCAAAGCTCATTTCAAGTGTACAGCAGTGAATTTCTGAGGTGTGAAGACACATGCGTAACAGTAGTGATGTGCCTCCCGAAATATACATCATGCAGCTCATGTGCTGCGCTGCTGTGGAGATTTTGGTCAGCTGAAGCGTGAATCTCTCCTTGTGTTGATAAAAAAATCACCACAAATATTGTTTCCTCTTGCAGATGTGTTTCTAGACTACATTGAGTATTCTAAAATTACAATTTTATTACAAATACTAAGATCGCAATATTTAAGGAATAAAATAGCCAAGGTTGTGGGAGGTTATGAAATTGTTCTGATTAAAGGATGTGATTTAAAAGGCAGCATTACATTTGTCAGAAAATAGAAAGTTAAGTAAAATTAAAATGACTGCCTGCAGCAAACCCTGAGACTATTCATCTACAGTAACAAGAGTAATTGAAGTTTATTATTTACCTTGTGATGTTACTCATCTAAATAGTAGTAGTATATTTTTATTTCAACTTATCTGTCTCTTTGTGTCGCATTGTGCCCAGGTTAATACAGGCAAACCATAATAATAAAAACTGACTGAGAGTTAGCTGTAAAAGACGTTTGGGAACATTTGAGATAAACTTTGACCTAAAAACTTCCCCTGAAACAGGACGCTGGTATTATTCATCTCTATTTGTCTCAACCTGCAGATATTGTCTGTGTTTATCGGCTGTGTGCGTTCTGATTTGCTCATTCGATATTGTTATGATTCAGCATGAGCTCAGCTTTCATTGGACAAGAGAAGGTTTGTCTTAAAGAGCAAAGTGGAAGCCAAAATGATTCCTGCATGACTGATTTCACTTTCAAATTAATACTCTGTGCCCATTCTTGGACATTTATTTTAATTTTTTTTCCAAGCGGTAATTTGGATTTTTTAATCTTTTATGATGTTGCTTAAATACTGCCCAATCGATGTCTGTAATGAGATGAGGGAAATGTAGGCATGGATTTAAGACTATACAAATTGTGGTCACAGCAAGGCCTTTATGGGCTGCGTTTGAATGAAATATGAGTTGACAATTTGGCAACTACCTCTTTTAAGACAGGGAGAGGGCACTTTTATTGCCCACATTAGATTAAATAAATGTAGGACTTTTATGGGGAGAGAGACTGAAGAGTTCCTGTGTACTTTAACTACATCCTTATAGTGCTACTAGTGCTAATAATAATATTAATGCTGCTCCTTTATTTGCTGGACACCATGCATGTGTACAAAGTCACAACCTACTGTCTGGAAATTTGTAGAAATTATTTATATTTTCTGATCACATAGTATGTTGTTTAATTGATACTGTACTGACCTACCTATGTCCTGTTCCTTGCAGTCATCATCGGCACTGGCGAGCAGGAGCTGTTGTCGGGGATCGTTGACATGCATTCACCCTGAACTCGGTGACGCCTCCCTCAGTGGTGTCGTGGCAGGATGCCAGTGCAGGCGGCCCAGTGGACAGAGTTCCTGTCCTGTCCCATCTGCTACAATGAGTTTGACAGCAGCAGCCACCAGCCCATCAGCCTGGGCTGCTCCCACACGGTGTGTAAGACCTGCCTACACAAACTGCACCGCAAGGCCTGTCCTTTTGATCAGACACCCATCAGCACCGATATCGACCTGCTGCCAGTCAACTGTGCCCTGCTACAGCTGGTTGGAGCTCAGGTGAGTCAGGGAGAGAGAAGGCATGTTCATGGCACTCCTCTTTCTGTGTGTTTCTGTGTGCTCATGATGTGTATCTCATAGGTCCCAGATGTGCAGCCGGTGAGCCTGAGCAGTGCAGCAGAGGTTGAGAACTATGAGGTCTGCAAGGTGTGTGTGGAAGAGCTGGCTCTCTACCTAAAACCTATCAGCGGTGCAAAAGGTTTGTGTCTATGCAGTTATGTATGTCTGTTTTTGATGGTACGTTTTCAGATCTGTGGACATCTGTGAAAGAGAATGAAGCTCTTGGTACTAAATGTGCGGGGGCCGCGCGGTTGAGTGCAACTTGGCATTCATGCTTCTCACACTTCTAATGACGCCTTAAAGCTGCTGTACTTTTATGGTACTGAAGGAAAATTCAACTATCTGCATAACCAGACAAAAAGATGAACCTTTCTGAAACTGACCAATAGTTTCTGGTTGTTTGTTCAGCCAATTCTGGGTGACGGTATTGTGGTAGCATTTGTCATTTCTGGCAAATTAGATTATTTGGACAATTCACACTGTGTCATGTCTGGTTCTCTAAGAAGCACGAACCATTGGTGGGAGATTAGATACACAATGAAGGCTCATCCCTTCCATAAAGAGTCCTCTAAATCCACCTCTATAGCTGGTTGCAACAGACTTATGCCTGCCATGCCTCTGTTCTTTTTGGGTCGGCGGATTAAGTTTCTTTGTTTCGAGGCTTTTTATTAAATGAAGTTAAATTGAGACAAAAATATAAATGAATGAAATATACAATGACTGATAACTAAAGTAAATGTTCTTGTTGTGATGAAGTTACACAGATATGCTGTTTTACCACAGAGCTGTCACCTTTTGCAGGTGTGGCGACTCTGAGTCCGAGCGTGCTTAGTCGGCCAATGCAGAGGAAGCTGGTGACGCTGGTGAACTGCCAGCTGGTGGAGGAGGAGGGCCGTGTGCGGGCTGTGCGGGCAGGCCGTTCGCTGGGGGAACGAACCGTAACTGAGCTCATCCTACAGCACCAGAACCCCCAGCAGCTCTCTGCCAACCTCTGGGCAGCAGTGAGGGCGCGGGGCTGCCAGTTCCTGGGACCTGGTGGGTGTGCATGTCATACAAAAATTCTAGTTTTAAAGCCTATGAATTTGAGCATGTTGGATTTGTGCTCCTGAAATGTCTTGACTTTTAGCAGTTTTTTTCAGTCTGTTCAATTGGTTCCTCATTCAGTTCACTGGACTCGTGTCCAGAAGTTACCTTTTGAGTAGAGTAAATTGCCTGTTTAGACTGCCTCATCAATCTGACTGCTGGTGCTGGTACCCGGTGTCCTGTGATGATTACTCATAGGGCAGATTCTGACTGGGAAACTGTTTCTCATCATGATCACAGAATGAGTTCATTAAAAAGTCTGAGGACACCTGGTTCTTCTATCAAAAATAGATTTGTTTTTGTTTGTTCTGAATAGAAAATCAAAACGCATATTGTTGCAGTGTTTGCGTGCATTTGCATGCTCACCTGTGTCTATTTGTTTGCTGAATATCTTTCTCTGATTCTCTCCACTATGTCTATATCGCTTTCTCTCGCTCTCTTTCCCCACTTCTTGATGTCCTTTGCTGTATCCCTACATCCCCCTCTGACTTCATCAAACTCCTCATCAGCTATGCAAGAAGATGCACTGAAGCTAGTCTTACTGGCTCTGGAGGACGGCTCAGCTTTGTCCAGGAAGGTTTTGGTTTTGTTTGTTGTGCAAAAGCTAGAGGCTCGATTCCCCCAGGCCTCCAAAACCAGCATAGGCCACGTGGTGCAGCTTCTCTACAGGGCCTCCTGCTTCAAGGTACAGGCAGCATGAATGAGCATACACACATAAATACACATCAAATCCATGCAGAAGTTCACATAGAAGAACATGCAATGTTCTGCTGCACTATGAAGTGCTTCATTAAAATATGAATATAGTCTACGTCAAACTGAACAAAAGAACCTCAGTTTGCTGCTGTCCCAAGAACCCAAGCCATAATAAATGACCTGATTAGATGAAGGGAATTTAAATAGATTTTCAGTTACCACCACATATTCCTTTACTGCGGAGATAGTGCTCCAAATGAATACCCTTTTTATGTCATCAGTCATAGAGGTGTTTTCCAAAACTGTTATTCTGGTCAGTTTAAGTATAATATTTTCCACCTATTAAACGCTATCAAATTAAGATAAAAACAAAAACAATAATTTTCATCAAATTAGTCAAAGTGTCTGAGGGAGCTTCAGAAAACCCCTTCTCAAATATGGATTGCTCAACTTTATATGACCCAGTCTGAGATTAATCTGTTATCACTCCCTAAATGGGTTGCCCATACTACTAATGAGGATATGGGCTTCTGTGGATATATTTTCTGTGTGTGCGTGTATTTTTGTGCCTGTTATCTGATGACAGACATCGCTGGTAGGGCAGAAATGCCAACTATCTGCTTGTGATGTAACAGCAGTCTATATTTGCCCTTGTTGCCCCGCCTTGCAGGACACAGACAGAAAGCACAGAGATGCAGAGAAAGATAGATGAAAGTGCAGGAACAGAGAGAGAAAAGCTGACAGAGGACGGACAGAAGAGCTCTGCTAATGACGAAATCTGATTCTGTTAGGTTGTAATTTTGACCATTCAGATGATAGCTTGCGTTGGCGTGTGTTGGTGTCTTGTGATGATTACTCATAGGGCAGATTCTGAGAAGGGGAAAATCCCCTTGTCTGATCTGAATTTGAGTTTATTAGTCTGAAGACACCACACACAGATAAACTAACCAGTCGGTAAATTTAATTTGAAAATCTTTTTTAGTACTTGGGACCTCCCATACCAAAATACTACTGTATTTGTAAGGAATAAGTCACCCCAAAACAAATATGTAATTCCCCATTAGCTAGCCAGGTGTCACTGGAAAGGGCAAAATTATTTGATTTTATTTGTTTTAATTAAGTTATGCCACATATTGATTTAAGTACAGTATATTCTAATTAGCATTCAAAGTTGCAATACATCAATAATTCTCAGATCTTCTGCCCATACAAACAGGCATGAATTAAAGAGTAATTACTTGTATTTGGTAAAAATAAATAAATATAATAATAATAATAATAATAATAATAAAAATGTAAAATGATCAGTGACAATTAATTTTGGGGTGAAAGATGATTATTGATTATTACTCCATTAATTCCATTTGTTTGGTACTTTTGTTTGGACAAAAGTCTTACCAAAGATCAAAATCTGTCCACACCCTCCTTCTCTTCCTTGTCTTTCTTCTCACTCTCCCTTCTCTTGCCCTCTTTCCCATTCTCTCTTATCGTCTGTCCTCCCTATCAGGTGACCAAGCGTGATGAGGACTCCTCTCTGATGCAGCTGAAGGAAGAGTTTCGGACGTATGAAGCTCTGAGGAGAGAACATGACGCTCAGATCGTCCACATCGCCATGGAGGCTGGCCTACGAATTTCACCTGAGCAGTGGTCTTCTCTGCTATACGGAGACCTGGTCCACAAGTCACATATGCAGTCCATTATTGACAAGGTACCAGTAAAATTCAAATGCTTCATTATATTCATTATTGATAAAGTCACTTTTTAAATCTTACACAGTGAGTATAACAAGCCTCTAGAGAACAGAAGCGCAGGACAAATGCGTTTATCTATTCTTGATTTAGTTTTTAAAGACTCACTCTCCTCTTCTATCTTCTTCTCTAGTTGCAGTCTCCAGAGTCGTTTGCAAAGAGTGTCCAGGAGCTGACAATTGTTCTGCAGAGGACAGGAGACCCTGCCAACCTCACAAGCCTTAGACCCCACCTAGAGCTACTAGCCAACATAGACCACAACCCAGGTACTTCAGTTTGTTTAATAGCATTCATCTGAATGGATGCAAATGAGTCTGAATTAATAAAACTTCTCAGAATAAAGGGCTCGTTCAGTTACAGAAAGATTAATGAGATTGAAAAGTGAAGAAAATAGGCAAGCTCTGACACTCACATACCAAAATGCAATTAACGAGCACAATAGCGAAGATCAAAACTACTGACTCATCTTCTGTGTGAAACATTTATTAATCAAAGCACAATGACAAGCGGGGTGTTTGATGTGTTTGGCACTCAGATATTTATTCTGTCATGTGGTTCTCTATTAAATGTCCAGTGTGTAACATTTAGGAGGATCTATTGACAGAAATGGAAGATAATATTCATAGGTATGTTTTCAGTAGTCCACGGAAAAACCAAACACTGGCTGTAGATAGATTCCTTTTGCATTTTTCATGGCCACCGTAGTTTCTCCTACAAGCTTGGAACCAGAGGGTGAGACGAGGAAGTTGTAATCTGCACCACTAGATGCCACTACATCCTACACAACTTGTCAAACTCGTTTAATACTTTATTACATTCCCTTCAGTTGCAGCAAATGCTAATGACAAAGTACAATAGCATGCTAAAAACAAAACTAAAATGGTGAACATCACAAATAATATACCTGAACATCAGCATGTTAGCATTGTTATCGTGAGCATGTTAGCATGCTGATGTTAGCATTTAACTCAAAGCACAATTATGCAGTAATTGTAATCTCAGAGCTGCTAACATGGCTGTACACTCTTGATATGTTGTCCTTTAGTCAAGAAATCGAATATATTATTTTCTTTTGGTGCCCTTTTTTCCCCCATACTGTGTAATTGAGATAATGTATATAATGTATCCTCATCCAAAAAGTAAGTCAGGTAGAGAGTTTTGCCCTGATTTAATGGTATCAGGATGTCTAATCTCAATGATCTCTGATATGCACTAGATTTTAAAGCCTTTTTGAGATAATGCACAGTGATAGGAATCGCTACTAAACAGATGTGTTGTTGATCTGTGTCCAGATGCCCCGGCACCATCATGGGAGGAGCTGGAAAGTGTGATGCTGGCTGTGAAGTTGGTGGTTCATGGACTGGTGGAATTCATTCAGAACTTCAGCAAGAAGAGCCACGATGCTCCACAGGTACATATTTAAAATGGATAACAGAACAGTGCAAGAATTGAGATGGGCAGCAGGAAATTTGAGTGAGCATAAAAATAATATTTGCCCTTCTGAAAAGTGCAGAATAAGGACGAGAGAGGTGGTAGGAGACGTTGTACTGCTGCTCCATCCAGGCACCGTATAAGGCCATCAGCATAGAAGATAAGATGTTCAGGGTCTAGCAGCACACTTTGTTCCTCCTGACTGTGGCATCTAAGATAGTTCAAAGGACATGGCATGGTTTTTGGTCTTTAACAGCGTGTATAGTAGAGTGAATCAAAGCTGAAGCTGTCTTGTGTGTGAGTATCAGCTCTTGTCAAACAATTCACTGGGAGTGACGTTTAAAACAAACACTGAAAACAGAATCGATTAATACGTATTTCAGTCAATCATCCTTGGCTAGAAGGAAAGCATTAATTTCTTTGAGTGATGAATTCAAAAATCAAAACATTCATTTCATATTTTCTGACAGTTTGTGGTTTAAAAGAATCTTTTAATTTTATAACATTGACAAAATTAAAAGATTCTTTTAAAATAAGATATAAAAGATGTGTTCAGGGGCAAACAGTTGTGAGCTCTGTAAGCCAAAAAATATTTTTGTGTATTTTTTGGGAGGCTAACAGTTTTGAAATGGCAGCTCAGTTTGAAACCAAGTTTGTTTTCAATTAAGAATATACAACAAAGATGATTATGAAAGTCACATGTTTTTGTTTAATGATGTTTGGCAGGCAGCTAACCTTTGTAGTCTGTCTATACCTGTTTGTGGGCTTTGACTTGTGATACCATTCATTTTTCCAGCACAGTGTCTTTTACTTCTTTTTGACATCTATAGCTATTATATTTCTAGACTTTTTGCTTTCAACATCAGCTGTAACCAAATAAAAAATGAAATCATCATGAATATATTGTTAAGAGTAAACATTGGCTAACATCTTAATATGAACCTTACACTTACAATGAAGTGTCACCCTTTTGTTTGTAGAAGGAACAGAAACAGTGAGACTTTTAGTGTACAAGACTTCCATGCATTAGTTTAATTTGACAGTTAATGTAAATTGTATCTCTGCATTCTGCAGCCTCAGGCCAACAGCAAGTACAAGACCAGCATGTGTCGAGACCTTCGTCAGCAGGGAGGCTGTCCCCGGGGAACCAACTGTACATTTGCACACACACAGGATGAGCTGGAGAAGTGAGTGAGCACTCTTAAAGACTCTCTTTTCACTGTATTCAAGATATATAATAACTCTGATCATCCAAGTTTGCATTTCTAATTAGTGACATAATGTTGAGACTGCTAAAGTCTGCTTGTCCAACTGTGGGAGTTATTCTGTGCTTCATAACTGCAAAAAACGACACGATTAACTGTATCCATATATGAGGAAGAGTCCTAAGTTAGACAAATATCTACATCACATTAAGGAGTTTTAGCCTAAGGCACACTTTACTCTGCCCTGTAAAAAGAGACCTTTTATTTCTGCTCTCATCTGTGTCTACACAGCCTTTCCCAACCCCCTCTTTTTAATTAGACTATTTATCTAATCATATATTTATTTACAAGAGGATTTACAAGAGGTCCTCTCACAATATTATTGCAATGCTAAGGATGCACAAACACACACAGTATTCAGATTATTAAGATGTTCTCTTCTGACGAAAGCAGCATGTCCTTTCATCTCTTTACAGATTTAGACTGAGGAACAAGAAGAGCAGCAGTGTGGGCCGTGCGTTCCCTTTAGCACCGGGGGTCATGGGTAAAACCTTCACCATGGAGGGAAGCATCCACACAGATGTATCTTCAGGAGTCAAAGGCACAGGAGAGAACACAGCCACCCTGACGGAGGGAGTGCCCGGTCTGACTCACCCGCAACTGATCTCCAGAGGGTCTGACATGATGGATGAGATGAAGAGAGCGGTGCCAAATGGATCCAATGGGGCTAATGGGTCCAACGGGCTATCTGGCACCAGCAGAAACTCATCGGGGTCAACTGAACAGTAAGATTATTCTTCCATTTACTCACTAATATCATATACATTTTAATTAATCTAGTGAAATCCATATTTACATTTCACCTGATGTGTGGATTGGCCCACATTGGATATTCATATGATTTTGGTAGAGAATTAGTCCTTCATAAACATTTATGTGCTGTTGGGAAGGTCTAACCTTACTTATTTATGTGTTCATTCTTTCTCTTTATGTTGTCATCCTGTCCATTAGGAAGCCCATATCTCCTCCCAGGACTCCAGTCAGCCACTCCTCAGCGTCGTCTCCCTTGACAACAGTTGGACGGGGTGATGGTGGCGCTCCTATGCCCAAACATGGTCAGTTTGTGCTGCGTGCACCACATCCTTCTCAGGCGTCAGAGCTGTACTATCAGGAGCCCCACTCTGCATATGAAACAGCCCATTATCAACCTACCTGTGAGTCCATTTTTAAATAAAAGCTTTTAATTAAAAAAAAACTTTATTGTTGTCTAGAGAAAGTGCAAATCTCTTCTCTCCCTTTTTTCCCTCCTCCTCTCCAGCAGGTTCCTACTACCCATCTACTCTTCATCCCCCTCACAAACCCTGCATGGCTCGGTTCCTTCGATCCTCCAATGTCCCAGAATCCTCCCTGCCACCCTCGATTGGCCCTCCACCATCTTCCTACCCCAATGACTCTCAAACACAACACCCACCTTCCTCCTCTTCGTCAGGGTACCCGCCTAGAGATCGGATGGGACCTCCTGCCTTCCATCCCCACCCAGGGCAGCCTCAGTATGGGCCTCTTGCTCCTGCTCATGGTGTTTATGCTCCACTCTATGACAGCAGGAGAGTATGGAGGCCTCAGGTGAGCCTTCTGTTAATTATCATATCACTATGTTAATTTGATCAGTCTGCAACTTATTATATTATAATGATGATGATTATCGTTGCAGCTGTATCACAGAGAGGATGCCAGGAGTAACTCACTGCCTCCAGAGGTGCTGCATTCCTCTGTCTACCAGCCTCCACTCAGGGAGAGATTCAACTCTCTAGATAGCAACTACTGCTCTGGAGCTGAACACCGTGCAGGGCTACACAGGGTTGGTGAAACAACACACGTCTTATCAATCAATCAATCAATCAAACTTTATTTATGTAGCACATTTCATACAGTTTAGTGCAGTTCAAAGTGCTTCACAGACGATTGACAAGACAGAATGCAGTAAAAATTAAATAAGGTAGATTTAAAAATAAAACCATAGACATGACAATAAAATACAGGTATAACAATAGTATTTGATGTAAGTTCTACTAAAAACAATCAAACAATGTAAGGACTTCAAAATCGTTGTGTAAGGTGTTCTCTCTTTCTGGTCCTGGTCAGCACTCTGGCTGCAGAGTTCTGAATCAGCTGTGACCTTTTTTAGGTAGACCAGAAGGGAGCGCATTACAATAGTCTGACCTGCTCGAGATACAAGCATGCACTCAGAGAGAGAAATAGTCGCACTTTAGCAATATTCTTTAGGTAATAAAAAGCAGCTTTATTGACAAACCCACCATGAGCCTCAAAGTTCAGGTCAGAGTCGAAGACCACATCAAGGTTTCTCACTTCAGGGTAAGTCCAAGGGATATTTATTTCTTCACTAAAATCTCAGTTTTATCCTGATTGAATAAAAAGTTTTGTGCCATCTATACATTAATATTTAAAATACACTCAAAAAGGGAATCAGGTGGACCTGTGTCATCAATAGACATGGCCACTGTGTGTCATCAGAATAACTATGGAAAGAGATGCTGTATCTCCTGATGAGATAGCCAAGGGGTGAAATATATAGATAAAAAAGAATCTGCCCTAAAATTGATCCTTGGGGAACCCCACAGGTTATTTTCGAAGTTTTGGAAATATTATTATTGTAAGTTATGACCACGAAGATGAAAACCGGTTAAAAACAGTTCCAGCTATAGCATAGTCATCGAGTATACTCACTTCTGATTGGCTGAGGGGATTTATTTTAAGACCTCTGATGTAGCAGCTACTTTTAGACCAATATCTGTTCAAGAAATGACTAACTGGCTGTTCTCTCACTTGTTTGAGTAATGTTTATTTCAACTTTGACATTAGTAGCGAAAGCAACAGTATTTATTTAAGCGTAATTAAAAAAACATTTTAATTATTGATAAGTAGGCATATTATAAGAGAGATAATCCACTCTGAGCCATGCAATAATTAAAAATAACGCTCTCTGTCGAAGGTTATATTAAAATAAAATGCTTTCTGTTTTTCTCATCTCAGTATAATGCAGAATCTCTTGTGCAGCATTCAGTATGTCCAGGGAAAACACCTATATTAATTGATGTTGGTCTGTCTTACATTGAACAGATTTATTGCTACATTCTTTTCAGCAACATCTCCTTTCCTTCAGTTTCTCTTTTTACACCCACATATCATCTCACCTCTACCTTCACTGCCAGCCACAGAGCTGCAGTATGTAGCTTCAACCTCCTCTGTAGTCCTCCCACTTCTCACCCAAATGTGTCTCTGCCTCCCCACTCACTTCTCTCCTTATTAGTTATTATATAGCATTACTGGTATGACTACTGCAATATTACAGTATATTTTAACAGTATGTGCGGCAACATTACCTGTTATTGAGATTTGTAGTATAGGGCGCAGGATGCATTTGGTAAATTTTAAAATACTAAAAGTGCAAATAACCTAAATGTATATATTACTTAAGTATTTTTTTTGTGTCTTTTAAAAAAAGTTTTACTCCACAACAAATGAGCCCCAAATAATTGTTTACAAAGATACATTTTTCAGCAGACTTGAACCTTTTTGTACTGCTGTCTGCTGCCAACCTGAATAAAATAATATCTCTGTTGTGCAGGAGAAAACAAAAATGTTATTATAGCAACACATTTATATTGTAATTCAATGCAGTGCAATAGTCCTGCAATGGAAATATCCAATATACTTCTTTTGTCTACCACATGGGACAGACAGCCTTACATTATAAAGCAAGCTAATACAAAACTACTAATAACTACTAACAAAACTGCAATATGGCCAAGTGCAATATCCAAACCTCAGAAGCTGCAAATGTGACAAAACGCATTACAATGAAGAAGAAGAAATGCCCTGGCCAATAAATCTTGTTCTCCGGATGTTAGAAAACATGTTTGTTTGATAGAGACAACAGAAAATGAAAATTTGATGTAAAAATGATCACTCCCACTAATTGTGAATCATATTGCAATTACAATATCTGTCAAAATAATCTCAATAGGATTTTTTTACCATATTGCACAGCCCTAATAACTACACCCTCAAAAATGAATAAACAGCGATATTGTACAGCTGTTTTTATTGCTTCCACCCCCACAATTTCATAAAAAAGGCTCCTCTGCCTGGCTCGATGTCTAGACCCAGACCAAACATGAAATTCAATCACACCTACTGCACCTGAACTTGGGAAAGGATCAAGGAAGTCTGACAACTAAAACCTCAAAGCATTATATCAGTAATGTACAGTATTTCCCCCAATCCCGATTTGGTTGTGAATTTTATGGCTTCAGTCGGATGTGTTGGCTACCTAATGACATCGTCACTAAACTGTTAATTAAAATGTTTAAAGATATTATTACTATTATGTTAATGTACCTGTTCACTTTTAATCCTCTGCCAGGATTATGGCCGTGTTCCTCTGGGCTACGAGGATCTGTTCAGACGGAAGCAGGAGCAGTGGGCTCATCATCACCACCATCACAATACCAACAGGCCCTCCCAATCCTCCCCCATCTTCACCATCGATTTTGGAAGTGAGGTAGGAAGCAAATAAGAGAGACAACATATGTACACACACAAACACACAGAGCATCGTTGAGGGCGTTTATAGGCATAACAGTTGAAATTAAAACATCACCATGACCAGATTATTAATAGTGTCACAGCAGCCACCCTGAAACTGTGAGTAATGAATTCCTTGTGTATTTTAGCATTATAAAAATATGTAGGATTTAATTCCTATCCCAAAAGCTTGCGCTTCAGCTGTGTCCAATGCTATTTAAGTGGGAGATAGTTGCTTAGCAACTGTGGAGGAAGATATCATAGCAATGCACAATTGTGGCATGTGTGGGTGGGTGTGTGTGAGTGAGAGAGAGGGGGGGGGCGAGGGGGGAGAGAGAGAAAGTGAGAGGTAAGACTTTAACGAGCAGTGAGTCAGGCTTTCAGCCGAGTAAAGCTTTGTTTTTACAGCACATCAGATATGTTTTTGCGAAGACATCCGCTTTAAAATTGAACTCTTAAATGAACCGCAAGGACTTTTTTAAGTGTTTCGTTTCCTGATTTATTTTTTTTTATGCCTGTACATAACAAGCATAAGCAAACAAGACCATCAGCGAGAAGACATGGATATGTCTATTTAATGATATCCAGTGTTTGCCTCAGGGATGGCAGTGAAGTGGCAGCATGTCAGCACTAGCAGTGGGAGCATACATTCAAATTAGTTGTATGAGCCCTCCTCCTCAAACTTATACCTTATGTATAATATTCATTTCACATGGCAAGGTACACTTTAGACAGGTCTCCGGTCACAGGGCTGACACATGTAGACAACCATACACACTCACATTCTCACATCTGGGCAATTTAGAGTCTCTATTTCGAACACAGGCCTACCTAAGACTGAAAATGATCCTATAGTGCCCCATATTGTGCAAACAGCTGCTACGTCTGTCTTTCTGTCTCTTTTAAACAAATGCCTGGCACATCAATATCGGTGTAGAAGCACAAACAAACTAAGGCGTGTGTCTAACCATCATCTTCATTTTCACTTTCAGCATGTGGAGAGCGGTGGAGGCCAGTGTGTGGGGTGCAGGTTCAGAGGCGAGGAAAGTTTAGCGCACTACTCTCCGTGGTCCTGTGGTACCATCGGCCCCTGCCTCAGCCCCTTTGAGCCTGAAACGCTCACACACACCTCGGCTCACTCCTGCTCAGAGCACTCGGTGAGACTCTTCCTGCTGCCACAAGCAGCTGCAGACACACATCTGAAGGTTCAGTGTATTGATGTGGAGATGGGTTCTCTTTCTAACGGCGTCCATGTGTTTCTCATGCAGGAGTTGGACAGCAACGGAGGTGGAGGCGGTGGCGTTAGCAGTGGCGGTGTCGGGAAGCGATGGCTGCATTCGTTAGATCCCTACCGCCGCTTGAAAGACGAGGACCCGATCATTCCCTTTAGTGAGGGGCCCATTATATCCAAGTGGGGTGCCATATCCAGGGCATCTCGCACGGGCTACCACACCACCGACCCTGTCCAAGCCACGGCCTGCCAAGGCAGCGCCAGCACCACACCCATCAACTTTAAAGGTAATGAGGGATAGAAGAGTGGTGTGAGAGGGGCAGGAAAGACTAAAGAAAAGAGAAGTGCAGGATGGAGCAAGGCTGACAGGGAGGGAAGAAGAGGGGGAATTTTTATTTTTATATGAGGATTTGGAACAACCAGCCTGAGAAGAAGTCAGAATCAAACACTTTTTTTTTATAGTCTAGCTTTCAATGTTGTTTGTTTACATTTTGATTTGTTTTTCTCTCAAAGATTACAACCCCCACCTGGATCACAGCGACTACAGGTGGAGCTCCAGAGGATCAGACTCTTCAAGCCACTCCAGTTTCCTAGAGAGGTATCACACACACGTCACTTTTTTTGTCTTACATGTTGCTAAATTATGGGGGAATTATTATGATAAGCACATAGCCACCTCTCTGTTTCTCAACACTTACAACAAGATTCACAAACCTGCTATAAAAACAGTATTGGTTACATTTCACTCTGCTTAAACGCCCCCTGGACACACATAGAAATGAATTGATTGTTCTTAAAACATTTGCTCTTACTCTTTCTCTCTCATCCCTCTCTCATTGTGCTGCAGTCATTTCCTCTCTGTGGTCAGACTAAAAATAGAGCTGCTAGCTGGTTGGTAAAAACCCTCTGGGCAGCCAAGAAAAGGAGTCAGGGAAGCCCTCAGCACTGATGTCTCTAATGCACAGAATAAATTCAGATATACTGACATGCAGTTCTAATAACCATTACCAGGTTGCTAGTGCACAGTGTAATGCTTTATCATCTTTAACATGCATATTTTCTTTTATTCTACCTTCATTATCATAACTCTCTCTCTTTAGATAATATTGCTATTGATAACAGGAAATCAATGGTTCAATGGTTGTGTTTTTGTGGTTTCAGTGAGCATCTTTGTGCGTCAGAGCTTCACGGACGGCGAACTTCAATAAGCAGCGGAGAGAAAATTGTGTCTGATCTGCAAGCACGTCAGACCGCCTACAGCCAGAATCGGGGCCGGGCTGAGAGTGAGCCGGACCCTGATCGAGATATTGAGCTTGAACTGTGTGTCCTTGACATGGAGGATTCAGACCACCAGGAGATCAAGTCTCAGGTTTGTATGACTATGTAAATCAGAGCGGAGTTATGAACCATATACAGTAAAAACACATTGTGTCTGTGATGTTGCACGATTATTTCTGATGGGATGTTTTGAAGCTTGGAGTTTTAATTTCCCTCTTTGCTGCTCAGGAGTCTTTAGACCTGGCCACCCCACAGTCTCAGGATTCTTCCCACCTCCTTCCACCTCCCTGCTCCTCACCCCTCCTCTCCTCTCCTGTGGAGGAGCACCCCCAAACAGAGGGTCCTTTGTCAGACAAGATGGATACTCACCTGCTGAAAAAGATGGCCTTCAGGTGAATTATAATGGTAACCAGTGTTTGACAGGATCACCCTAGTCTTCGAGTTGATTAAGCCGGCAGTCTTGAATCTTTTATTCCTTCCTTCCTCTCTTTCTGATTTCCAGGAAGTCTCTGTCTCCTGGAGGGTTGGTCTCAGGAGGTCTGGGCGTCGGCAAGCTTATGCTGAGGACTGGACCCCCTCGACTGGGGGACGCCTCCACCCGGGCTTGTCCTGAGACGCCTGTGACAGAGATGCTGCTCAATGGAAGCTAAGGGGACACAAAGTCAGACACTGACCTGCACCAAGCTAGCGCTGAATCGCTTGCCGACAGCCACATCCTGGTTAAAGGGAATATCATTTAATTTCAGCCTTCGAAAAAGTCGATCATATGCCTAAATAAAACATGACAGTGTCTGTGCTGCGCCACATCTTGAGGAGCAAGAGAAAACACACTGTCCTGCCTCCTAAGTGGAGATTTTTCACGAGTGTACAGCTCCACAGAGAATTTAGTGATATCACTGTTTATGCCTCGTAAGGTACATGGTCAGTTTGCACTTACAGTAGATGCTGAACTTGTCCATGTTTGCAGTCTCAGCTTTGGTCACATTTAGGAGAAAGGCTTTAGATCTAACATCATCTTCATCACATGATTTCACATTACATTGGACGCCTGATGTTTGCACATCATCTACTATGTTGTCATTCAACATGGCTGACAAAGACAGACTTGTGTTTGATGGGCCTCTCTTGTGTCATTTAAAATCTGAGAGACAACAATAGCCTATACAGTAGGCAGCAATACAGTATGATAAGTCTTGCCACTTTTTAAATTTTCTTACATTTTGTGTCAATCTTTTCCTTCACTTTTTCCTCAGTTCCTCACTTTTTGAATCTTTTATTTGCTTCCATAAGCATCCTTACATGGCAAAGCCTTCATTTGGTTTGATGCTGCTGGTTTAGTTTATAGCCTTTGCTGTATTGTTGCACATATTCACAGGTATTCCCTGAAAAAGCAAGAGATAGATGTTATAATACTTAGAACAAAAACGGGCACTCCGACCCTCCAATAAAATAAGCAACTGCAGACAAAAGAGGTCTTCACTATGCTGATACTCAAACAAGCCTCTGTCTTTTATTAGTCATGGGACCTTTTAAATGTTGACCTTGACTGTCATGAGATCACCGAATACAACAACACAGTCATAAATAGAATTTGTAAATGGTCGTCGATCACTGGAGATCAAGACATTAAAACAAAGATGTGTGTACACTTTTTTTTAATCCACACTATACTACCTTTAACTTTTGTTTTATTAGGCGACTCATACTGCAACTAAAGAATACAAAGCACTTCTTTTGGGGACAGAAACTTGTATTTTCAGCTGCAGATGGAGCTAATTTAGTTGATTTCTATTCAAGCCACATTGACTCACCGTCAACTCAAACTATTGTTTCATCTTTGTGTGCCTGTAGTGGCTCCTGCATTTAATCCTGCTAGTCTTACTGCTCTCACTCTCTCTCACACACACAGTACATTTGTGTACACTTCACACACAGTAGACACAAACATGCAATACAGTGGCCTTTCTCTCCTTGGTGTTATATAAACCTGAACACTGGGCTCTACGATGACTTTTGTCCAAGCCCACTGACAGTCTCCCGTCCTGTTTCAGAGGTGATATCTTTCACATTAATGTGGTCTCAGTGCTTTCCAGTCCACTCGCCTTTGTGTACAATGCAAACAATATTCAGAGGTTGCGCATGGTGTTTTCAAGCTGAAGCCTACAAAAGGGAGGGACACCATTTCTTGTGTTTCTTCATGCTATATCTTTGTTTAACTTTTTTAAATGTTTTGTTTCATTTTATTTTATGCATTGCTAACTTCTGTGAAGTTGTTTGTTGGGGTATTTTGTATCAGGATCTTTGTTACTCTTGTTTTGTTGGCTATATTTTACATCACAGAGACAAAACTGATTGTCTTGTCTAGTGTTCCTCTGTTTTTGCTGGCCATCAGTACACTGTCTAGTTGACTGTCGTTTTGTGCAGTATGGGTGACTTCCTTACAGCCCAGCCTTGCCTCACTCCCTTTTATAGATATGAGGCATCTTGTCATGTGTGGCTAATGAAAAAAAAAACATTAACCCATTTTAGATATACAGGATTTGAAGTCATGAAGACTCTGAGTTTGTTTACACCTATTCTAAATCTTATGAGATTTGTGTAGAGTGAGAAGACTAATCTTTGAAACTTCCAAGCTTCCTCTTTAATTTCCTCTCACCTAAGCTACTGTACCTTTTCAGCAGCGACGTCTTTCCTCTCAGATTATACATTAAATCCCATTTTAGAGGATGGCAGAATGGCTGTACACGTGAGGATTGCTTATTTAGTTTTGAGTTAAAAACTTGAATAGGTAAATAGGTGACTGGTAACCTTTTTTTTGGGGGGTTTCTCCCAGTCTTCCACCAAACATATGCTTGGAGAAGCGGGTAGACAAAACGATGAATTTGACTGAACAATTCAGTGTGACTTGTGATAATAGTCTTTTGAAAACTCCAATATTTTATGGGGTTTATTTCTGAGATGAAAAGGCAAGAGCTGGCGCAGGGATTTAGCTTTGTTATGAAATTAGCTCAGCTACCTACTGTTGCTCTGCATCTGTTTACAACTTCACCTTTGAAGTCATGTAACGTTAAGTGCCATGTTGTGTACAGTACAGTACAATCAATCCCTGCAATTTTCCTAAAGCTTTTCATATTCCTCTACTGTAAACTGTGTGAGGAGGGAAAGGCTCGGTCAAGTGTGAGGAGTGAGATACTTCTCTTGTAGTCCTGCTTTGTTCCATTAGAGGAGGCTAGATCCTTGTCTGTCTTGAATTGCTCAGGGAAGACTTAAGTTGCTCAACTACTTTGGCTTTTTCTATATTCATCACTTAAATATTCTGTGGAAGTATTTACCTGAATTTCACTTGCTGATAACTGGCCATTTCACCCGAAGCATAAATGGGTTACGCTGATTATATTGTTTGCCAGTGTTTACTTTGCCCGTGTTTTCTTTTGCCTCTCAGTATCAATATTGGCTTTGCTATCCCTGTTCTCATGGGAAAGGGCTGGGCACTACTGTATGTAAAAACAGTATTGTGAGTATTGAACTAATGTCAAAGTGATACTCCCCTGTTTCCTTTAAAGTGTCCATAGAGCACTGCTGTAGTGGCTAATTGCACTGCACTAATTCCCACCCCATCACTGCCAGCGGGTGCACTCTGCCAGTGAGTGCCACCCCGTGCCCCCTCACCCCACCCCGCCCCGGCTCTTCCTTTATACCCCACCACCCCATCCTCCCTGCATCCTGCGTCATGCATGCAATATAGTCCCTCTTGTGATGGCGGAGGAGTATTGATGATTCTGTAGTTGTGATACAACACACCCAGCGCTGTAAGAGTTCTGCACATGCCCACTGTGTGGCCACGTCAAGTGCTGAAGTTTGCTTGCAGCATTTTACTCGTTTGCTCATGAAAATTAATTCTTGTTTAATAGAGATTATATTATTATTATGACTATTATTGTTATTACCACATTTGGTTGCTGTTGTGGTATATCTCCTTATTGGTATATAGGTCTGGTTCTTTGTTTTGAATTTGAGAATTTGCTGAAAATGTTGAAATTTTTTATTAGACAAAAAAGTGTCTCATTATTCTATATTATATGGGGAAAAGCTTGTTTGTTGATTGTGAAACATATGATGAACTGATGTTTTCTGACTATTCATGTCTGTATTAGACATTTTATTTGCGAATCTATTGTTCGATTGAAATGTAAATGAACTATTAAGAGATGGTACACATCCGTCATTGTATACAGTCTGGCACCATCATTAGATGGACTTATAGTATAGACGCTCATTTATACAACCTGTGATAATCAGATATATTTAAATGTTTAAATCATTGGGGCAGCCGTGTAATGTTTCAGAATGAGGAAAATCCTTAAAGAGACAGCATATCTAAAATGTCCCCATAATGAATAATACTGTTACGTATTCCATTTATTTCCTTGGAAATATCACATTGTGAAAGGTTTCCCTTTTACTTACTGTAAGGTAATGCAGGACTGGAGTAAGTCTAACCTATGGTGATACAGATTTATGTGCTATAATGATTAATGAAACTATATTGTTTGACTGACTGATTGATTCTTCTGTGCATTTTCTGACTCGTTCATCTGTATTACACTGACTTACAGACAGCTTGGCCGAGCAGCATACTGCTTCTGTGTTGCACTGAGATGAAATTATAAAAAGGAAGATTTCAGCACATGAATTTGCATGCTACAATAAACAAACAACAAATAATGCTTCTTTGTGACTTTTGTCATCATTTATGAATGTCGTTTAATGACAGGGGATGTTACATAACGCAACCAATTCGTTCGGGCCTTGAGCTGACAGTTAAGAATACGTATTTGGGTGTGAGAGCACAAACACATTCCAACCAACACACATCAAAAACAATTTACTATTCTTACAATTTAGTTTTTATCCAAACACTTCCTGTCTGCAATGAGACAGATCATCACACTTCCAGGGGGTAGACTGACTGACCCACCTGTCTGCCTTGCAGCTAGGCTCTTCATCACTGTAAAACAAACAAAATCAATAAAAAATATTAAAGATTATAATATACCAGACCAGTCTTTTTGTATTTCACATCTCACACAGTATATGGACAATGAACAAATGACCATCAAAGTACAAATAAGTTTCACAATAAATTCACATTATACTGAAAATATAGGCCACTTATTGCTGTCAGCTGCTTTTCATACAAATTAAAGCCAGCAATTTAGTTTTAGCAGCAGCTTTTCAACACCCAGTCCTCTCTAGTTAATATTATTTTCCCATCCTGATTTTAATGTGACAAAATATTATTTATTATTTATTTATTATTATTATATCAATATACAATCCAGATATTACATACATCCTTCTTTAAAACATAGGCTACTGTAAAGACTTGTGATAGTGATTATCTACCAAGACCATCCCACTAGTTATGTAAAACAAAATGTGGCTGCTGCATCACTCATACACTTTATTGCCATTGGCTCGTGGCTCCTGATTTGCCTGGTCAGAGAGACACTGTATGAGTCTGTTTCCACTGTCTCATGCTGTAGTGCACAAGTTAAATCTAATCAGGCAAACAAGAGGGGTAATGAAACACAAGGGGGTGCTAAAAAGCTCCAAAACTCTGTGTAAAAGATCAGAGGAGAAATAGAACACGATTTATAGTCCGTATTACTGTAAACTGTCCACCAGAAATCTGTTAACACCTAACTAGATTTGTGAGTGTGTCTGAGGAACGCTGTCTCCAATGTAGTGACTTGGGTTTGTTACATTAAAAAGGAAAAGAGTGCTCTGTGTTACCTGGTCCAACTCTGAGTTGGACAGGCTGGACAGGAAAGGCCAGCATGGGCCAGTCACCACAACACAATGAGAACAGTGGGTGTGTTGGTGACTGCTGTGGTTCGGTGGCTGAGCCCGCCCCCCCCCCTCACTTTTCTTCTACCCTCCAAACTACATCCCAAACTACTGAATTATGTGGGTTTAAGTTTGAACAATAGCAGTGTAATGTGTGTGTAGTGTATATATAAAAAATGAAAAGTTATAAGGAAAGTATAATTATAATGTGATCTTAGTATTTGATTCATCCTTAAGGTAAGCTGTGATGGTGCTTTGGTGGGCCTGCATCAAAATACTGTAGCAGAACAGTCTAAAGATATATTTTCATCTCATTAAGGAAAAAGTAAATAAATAAATAAATGTAAAAAAGTTCAATTTTTTAAAAATAAAAGAGGTCTACATGATCTAACGTCCTCCTTACATCCATGACCTGACATGAGATTTAAAAAAGAAAAAGATAAACATGTTAAGGTTTGACCTGCTATAATCCTGAAACAAAAAAACCCGGCAATGTTCAATAAATACTTTAATAATGCTTGGTTTCAGCAACAGAAAGACTTTAAACTTACCTCTGAATAGTGGTAACTTAACTTGTCTCCAGGGACTTGAGACTCGGGCTTACCCTCATTTGACTTGAGGCTGAACTTGGACATGTCTCGATTGCCCCTAGTGACCCCAAAACATCACCGTGAACATTATGTCACTAGGTAATGCCAACGCCTCCCCTCCATCCCCTCCCTCAGCAAAGGCGAGAGGGGGGGCACTGACAGGCGCATGCGCAGTGTGTGTGTCAGCGGGTTGGTTGGGCTTGTGTTTACAGCTCGGCTGGATGCTGTTGGCTGCTGATGTTATTGGGAAAGTGCAATGTTGTGCCAACCGCCATTGGAATAAACACAACCGTGGGAATAAAGGTAAGCAGTGTTACACTTGCACGTCAAATGTCAGTCCGGTTATCTCTTTATTTATGAAGAAGTGTGTCGCTGTAGCTTTTTTTTTGTTGATGGTAGCATAACTGCCAGGGTAGCATGGCTAGCAGACGTTAGCCAGCTATGCTAGCTGTATACAGTAATGGCCTGTGTGAAAGCTCCCTCCAGCGACGGCCTGTCAGCGGGTTTATCCACCAAATTATCGCGAATACCTTTACATAGCAGTTGCTGTTCGTTTCTTTGTGGTGGCGGCGGGATAGTCTCTCTACTTGGTCACTGTGTATTTAAACATTTTGGTCGCACTTTGAATTAATAGCTGCTGTATATATCTCAGCTAACGTAAGGGCTAACTGGGGCAATAAGTTAGCTACGTTAGGCTCGCCCAGCGTTATCGAGCAGAAATTATTAATCGCTGGTTAAGTTATCTATTAAAGGGATGTGGGATTTCAAATGTTTCCAGGCTATGTGGCGCCTAACAGGCTGCATTGACATGTAGCAGGTTTGAGTCCAGATTAAGTGATGTAAGTTACCGGTGCGACCAGAAAGCCAATTAATTAATGTTACCAGTGTTTGTCTATTAGACGGAGATTACCCATTCTGCTGTATCTGTGACTACTGTACACTGGTAAACAATACATGTTTATTTTGTTTATTTGGTTTATTTGTCACCGTTTGTATTTTATTGTAGTATATGACGTAGGATGACAGCTGAAGGTGCTTGATTTATTTTTAACATAGTGTGTATAGTGTTGTTTATTATGGTGTATGGTTACTGTACTGTGCGTTTTGATTGTATATTTAATTATTCAGTAATCATCACGTCAGCCGTTCTGTTTTCAGTGTTTTACTATGAGATCTAAACACAAGTTTATTTTGACATCCATCACATAAAAAACATGCATTAAACACACACATAAAATCAGAATAGATGAAGAAATCACATCATAAGAACCTTGATAGCTCAATATATCTATACAGGTATTGGTATATATATATATGGCTAATATGTTGGTTTTGACTACTTTAACTCACTTTATGGGTTTGTTTTGTATTGCTACACCGAGACAATATGAAAACAACTCAGTCTTTGACTGTACTGACAGCCATACAGTTGCTTACAGGCAGGAATGTAAATCTTGGCTTTGACTCTTCTTCTTACTCAAGTACACTGGCACACTGTCCTTTTTAATCCGCTGTATTTTATGTGGAAGTTCTGTTATTGTCACATGATAAGGGAGGGACGAGCAGGGATTGTTATGAAAAATGTCTGTGGTGGCGTGCACGGGTGTCAAGATGCATTCAAGATTTCATAACTGTCTGCCATGAAGCATTGGCTGAATGAACTTGTTTTTATATGCTGAAAAGCTTTACCAGCCCCCTTCGTCAGGCACCGCAGCACTCATTTTATTATATAATAATATATTTCCAAACTAGCTGTATAACTATAATATTTGTCAATATTATTTTGTTCTAGATTAACTTTGTGCCCACATATGGTCTGCCCAATGTAATTATATCTATATTATTATTATTAAGAAAAACTAAACTTACGTCTTTGGCCCTGGTTTCAGCATCTCAGAATGATGTGCCATGCATCATCTTCCCTCTGTCAATCAGTCAATGAGTAAGTGTAAGTAGTGCAAACTGATATTTTGAGCAACTAGCCCCTTTGTGCAGTTATATTCCACATTTCTCTAATTTTCTGCTAATAATGAGACACAGTTAGTTACAGCCGCAAACTAGCTGTTGTTAGCCTAATGCCTAAGACTCTTGTTACTGCCACGAATGGGATTGTTGATACCAGCAGCTTTTGTGCCTTTGTGAGTTAATTCTTCCCAGCAGTGGATAACACGCATGGTAACAGCCTAATGTGCCAACTGTCACTTCACTTGTCTGGGCTCTTTGTTCTTGTTCTATTTCCTGAAACTCAGGTATTACAGTAAAGCCTCACCACATGTGATTCAGGTCACACATGCACACATATAACCCAGATTTGTGTGTGTGCAAATATTTGCTTTGTTACTTAACAATAAATATGTGCACTAGAGGAGGAGAAAGGTCAGTGTTTAATCACGTTTTTTTTAAAGCCAAAATGAGTATGATATATTTTCATACACATCCCATCCATATTAAAATACAGAACTTATGAACCACCGTGATAAATATAATCCCCCTCCTCAGAAGCAAATATGTCAAATCTTATGCCTGATGCACTTTCAATCGAGATGCCACACATTTTCTCTCAGTGTGTCCCCTTGTATCCTTCTCATTATAGCTCTATCTCTGACTGAGTTTGGACTGAGCCCTGAATGTTCTGAAATCCTAACAACGCCCCTCAGATGCACCTGTTATTTGGGGAGCTGGTGGAGACTGAATGGCGGGGGGCTGGCTTCAACTGTAGTGGATTACTGTTTCCTTGCAGTTGCTGTCGATGAGATGAAAGGAGACCATGTGGGGTTAAAAGCATGAAAGTATATTTAATGGCTAAGAGAAGTTTAAAGAAGTGTAAAGGATTTGTTACAGCACTTAATTACACCTGTGAAAACAACGAGCTTGTCGGAAAGGCTGTGTTTTTGGCGGCGTTAGGCAATGTCTGCTTTAGTGGCCGTGGGAGTAAAAAGTTCACACTTGATGTCCCCAGTGACTTACCTTCATCTGAAATCAAAGCCTATTTTCTCAATAGGTGATTTCCGTGTTAGTGTGTAGTGTTGAGGAGTGTCTTTTAAAAACACACTGCTAATAATTAAGATCAGAAAAGTCAATGTTTGCTTTTAATGATATTTAATGGCTTGCACATAGTTGATATAGCCATACTGTAAAATTTATACATTTCCTCCAATTTATTCAGACCTCCAGTCATCACCCCGGGAGGGATAGAACTTTAATCACTGTTATGAATCCTTGGCTGCTTATTAATTATTTTACCATTTAAATTTATTTTGATTTATAGAAAAGGCAGGTTATTCTGGGGCCTGTTTTTTTTATATATATGTTTTTGGAAGATTAACAGGAAAGGGGAGAGAGAGAGAGAGAGATGGGATGATACACGAAGGGCCATGGGTTGGATTTGAAATCATGGCGAGAAGTCAGCCTTGGAACATGCGACTTGTTTTTAGATTTTATGATTCAACAATCAGCCCTCAATTTAGATGCTTCCTGATACGCAGTGGCAAGCAGTTGACTTGTAAATGTACGTGTATAGATTAACAGATTAATGTTACGGCCACAAATGTATTCTCAGTGTTTTTTCGGTTCCTCATACAACCGCACTGCATCTATGCTACTTCTTGAATCCACAGCCAGTCCCTTAAATTGTGAAAGTCTAATGCATATTAACCTAGTATGAGTGACATTTGCCTCTTTCAATTCTAATTCTTGAAAGCCTAAAACGCACACACTTACACACACAGGTGTCAAGTTTCCTTTGTAAGCCATAGATCGGTTCTTTATAAACCAGCAGAGACACACCATTGCTAAATAAATGTGTGTGAATAGCCTCACATTGTGCAGCTCAGTAACTCGCAGTGGTTTGCTGCAGCAAGCGCTCTATTTCAGAAGTTAAAAGCAGGGCCTGCACTATGTGATCCACTTGTTTTTTTCCCCCCTCTGTCATGTGAGATTGTTTTGTTGTAGAGTGCGAGACATGCAGAGGTTTCATTCGTGGATAGCCGACTGGGAGTCTGCGCTCTGCTGCGGATCTGAATCGAGATGAATTACAGCACAAATAAGATGTAAATTAGGGACTGCATGTGCGTTTGTGTGCTCATTCAGAGTTTGTCCTCTCTTTTCTTTTCTTTCTCTTCCCATTTGGTACCCTACCTTGTGACTCACCTTGTGGCATTCAGCCTTTTCTCTCATTCTTTCTCCTTTCCCTTTCTCCCTGCTATCTCTGCCTGGCTGAAATCACTGCTGTGAGGCGAGTCGAAAGGGACTGCGTTGCAAGCCTGAATGCTCTCTGGCTGTGTCTGGCTGTGTCTTCCTCTCCCTTGTGAGGTGCACGCAGGGCCCAGCTGGCAGCCCAGAACAGCCCGTTCAGCTGGAGAGTGGTAGGGAGGACAAAAAAAAAAGGAAAGGCAGGCGTGTGTTTCCAGCGTGCACATTTTTACACATGTATTGACATCAGATGTGCTTGTTACAGATTCAGATACTTTTGTTTTTAACTGCAACAAACCGCTAAGAGAGGTCATTCTTGTCAGTTATTTAGTCCTAAGATTAAAATGTACTCTTCATGATTGTTTGCAGGACACGCCCAGATTATTACACTGCTGTTTGAATTGGTAAAGCTCTGCCCTGCCACACCAGAAAACTTGGCTTTGCAAACCAGAAAAATATAGTTTAGTGCCTGGTTGCATCTTATCACCAAATATTTGCTTGCTTAAACAATCTGTGGTTGATAGATGCTGTTCATTTGGAAACCTGACATGGACAAAAACATAATGTACTCTGTATCACATTGTAACAGTCACTGAACCATTTTACCATATAGGGAAACAAGCTTTCGCAGGTCTAATGCCTTTGCACACAGATGAACCTATGAAATAGAGCTGAAACAGTTAGTCTTGCTGTTTTATAGTAAAGAAATCTTTGGTTTTGGATTATTGGTCAGACTAATCAAGCAATTTCAGTATGTCAGTGGGAATATGGGATTGGCATTTTTTCATTATTTGCCTTCATGTTATACAGTAAATTATAATATACCCCCCTTAGCTTTAAATATTTAACCTGACATATTTCACATTGTACTGAACTCAGAAACCAAAAATAATTAATAGTTACAGCCCTACTACAGTATGAAATTCATGATAAAATGATTTACACGTCTCAATGTGCATGTCTTATTCAAACTCTAAAATGTGCACACTTTGTAGCACATTTTGTTGCCTTATTCGTGTCTACAAAATTGTCTCTTGAGGGAAGTGCTTGGTGATATAGAGTGCAGTATTTTACAGAGGAAGTAACACACTCAACATAAAAATCTATCAACTTTCAGAACTTTCTGTCAGAAGCAACAGGACAACTGAGCAGCAAAATAACTGCCCGAGTATCTGCCAAGAGGTGATTCAGGACAAATGAAAACATTGTAGATGATGCGGGTCTTGTTGTCATGGTGACACACACACACACACACACACACACACACACACACACACACACACACACACACACACACACACACACACACACACACACACACACACACACACACACACACAACAGTGCTCCATCAGAGGAAACTGCTTCCTGCTTCTCTTGTCTTCATCTCCTCTCCCTTTAAGCCCTCTAACAGGCAGTAGAGTGAAAAAAAAGAAGAAATAAGCCAGAGGATAAGAATAGATAGAAAGATAAGATTTACAAAGCAAGATTTAAAATTAAAGATTAAAAAAAAAAAAAGTATGACATTTAGATAGAAAAAACACATTTTTGTAACAATCAGTAGCATTGATTACGAGTCTGGTTGGAAGTGTACCAAGGCGCTGAAAAAGGTTGATAAGGAACAGTGTTGATTGGCAGGAGTATGCAGAGGGCTGTTGCTGAGGCTAGGGAGGAAAGCAGGGTGACAAGGCAACCATTATAAGCCTGTTGGAGCCGTAAGCTAGTCAGAGACATAGAGAATGAGGATTGTGTGTGCATGCACATATGTGCCTGCGGGTGTGTGCTTATTTGTGTTCATAATACGCCTGCTTGTGTGTGTGTAGGGTACGTGTGATGGGGCATGAAACGGTACGCTATTTTCTGTTTATGCATGCATGTGTGCATCTAGGCTCGACTGCAAAGGTCGATGGAGTTTTTGGTACTTGCGACTTGAAACAGGAACGAATTAGTGAAGCTAATTGGCGTCTTTTTCAAATAGCACCATGAACTGTGAAGTCTCGTATACATTGCTCTCTAGTGAGATGATTGACGCTCGGGTTACAAAGCGGTTGTGAAGCTTTATGATGGCCAGAAAATAAGATTGGCCACTGTCTAGTAATTTCTTTTCGAACCAAACATTTCATTTTTTGTAAGCGTTTCTCTTGGCTTATAGGATGGGTTTGTATAAGGGCATGGTAGCATCAGATGAGACCATTAAAACCGATTATTTAAGCATGTAAAAAGATGCTGCCAGAAGGCTTTATTCAAAGTTACCCAGAGGCTTTAAGAATGTAAAGCACAAAAAAAAAAAAAAAAAGCCTGGCCATGGAGTCCTTTTCGGTTTCTTTCCATGAAAGTTCCCTTAACACGTTCACATTTGTATGATCAGCAAAAGGCCAGAACATGTAGAAACTCATGTTCATCAACACAAAATCTGAGACTAATCACTCCGAGGACAAGTGTGCTAAAAATGGAAAGCAGCTGCCTTTGAGCCAAAAGTAGAGTAAACATCTGCAATGTCTCTTCAAGATTAAAAGCCTGAGAAGATAAGAAGGGACTGAGGAGTGATGCAAATGTCTCTCATGGATTTGCTACTGAATCTTTTATTTTGGACTGGTAGGTTTACTAGTATTTATCAGCTGTACACTAGCTGGGTGGGAACTCAGATACAAGTCTCTGCAGTCTGCACACACACACACACACAGGTGTTTCTGATTCCTTTGGGTGAAGCTACGCTATCTGATGTCACCAAACTACAAGAAGTAATAACAGTCATAAAGCCTCAGTCCGACTGAAAATGCTTCCTAGTTATTTCTATGTGAAACAGGCCAACGCAAGTTCACTTCCAGTCACTAAATGACCCACCTTTTTTGCTTTGTACAAAGGTCAGTCTGATTAAATACTTGAAACCGCAAGTCCATCCAGTTTAAGAGAGGGTTTGAGATTGGCCTCTCATTTGAGAAATATAGTTTTAACAGTGTAAATTGACCTGGCCCGCCCTAGCAAGTGCAACTTTACTATCTGGAGAGTGAGAGTGAGATGAGGTCCCTAATCAGGGGCTTTAAGATAAGTTGTCATTGCTGACTGGAAGCATTTTTTTTTTTTTTTTGGGGGGTAAAGTAGCTGTTGAATCAATGCAGAGCCCTATATTATAAGACCAACCGTGTAATTCCGGTGATCTAATAAAATGTTATGTGCTGCAGTATTAAAGACCACGTGAAAGTTATTATAATTACAATTCCCCACAATCTGACTTAAGGTCATTTTGGATGAGAATATTTACTTGCTTATATTTTCATAGTTCATTGTACTTTCTTGCATCTTTTTTGAACAGCCTGTTTGGTACGGTTCAAACAAACTGGTGTGTTTGTGTGTTTGTTTTGGTACATTTATGGTTCATGTACTGGACCAAGATAGCTTGAAAAGGTGGGTGTAAAGTTTCGCCTGCACACTTCACAGATTCTCAGTTCTCATTCCCAGGTTGTCAATCTGCAGCTTCACTGCAAGATGCCACTAAATGTTACACACTGGTCCTTTTTAATATACAGAACTTAAGGTTGATGCAAGGCCTTCAGATTTTTCCATCATTTAAAAAAAGAAAATCAGTCAGTGGCCCCCTGGTCTGTTGGGCTTGTGTGCTCTTCGTCTTGTAGCGGTTCCTCCAGGGTGACACCCAGAAAGTCCAATGAGTGAGTTCTCTGTCAGTGCACATGACTCCATGATTACTCCTCTTGTGTTGTTGGTTGTAAGTCAGTGTGAAAATGAAACAGACAACAACTGAAAGGAAACAATACTTATTTTTGTCTGTGTCTTGTCCAAGTGAATCAAACTACAAATGTAAAACAAGCTTTCGAGTCCTCGTAAATGGTGGAAATCATATCGGTACTAGATTCTAATGAAATGTTTCAGAGGTCAAAAGTGAGAGTTTTCTGCTCAGTCTAAGGCTACAGTATGTTTCACATGACTACTCATCGTACCCTGTGACCCTTTCTCTCTGCTTCCGTTTTGCAATACAAGTGAAAAACAAAACCTAGGGCTCTAGGATGAATACCAGTTGCCCATTCCCTCAGTTGACTGTGAGAAGATAAAGAGTCTAAACTGTCAGGTTATGTTGGTAGCCTAATAATACCATTCATATCAGCACAAAATGGTGTAAAATCCTCTAGTCACACAGAGCTAGCTACTTGTATTGTGGTTCATTGTGGGTCAGTATAACAATGTTATCATAAGTAAGGAACATTATTAACTGCTTTGACCTTTCAGCTGTAGACCTTTTTCCCCCTTTACCTCTCCATTGTTGGACCTTATTTGAATAGGAAGGGCAAGGGTTTAACAAGAGAGCGAAGTGGAAAAAACAGCAACTGAAACCTTTAGAAAAATGTAGGAGTGCAAGGGCAGCCCTTATTTGTGGGGCAATAAGGGCTGAGAAAATAGAAGATTGCAAGGGTACAGATAAGGAGGGCATGAAGAAGAAAAGAGTAGTAAAAGACAAAAAGGGAGACGGATGGGAGAGAATGAAAGGGAAGAGTGGAGAGGGGGGAAAGGCCAGAAATAGCTTGTTATGGTTTCTTCTTGAAACTGTGCCAGAACCTTCTGTTGTGCCTTTCTTCCTGTGTACCACACAATCGCACCTCCCTTTTTGCAGGAGTTACCTCACAGCCTAACTGTAAAGATAGAGCTTTACCTCTTTTTACTTAAAAAAACAAATGTTTACTCTCTTTCTACCCCCATTGCCATGCGTACGCTGACAAATGCAGACCAAAAAATTATTATTTCAATGTTTCAAAAAATTTCAAAATATAATGCTACGTGAAACTGTCATTGATGGATTGATGGAGGGAGCTGTAGTAAAAGGCAGAGGGAGGGACGAGCCGATGATGCGCTGGGTGTCCCGCAGGATCTCCGCTCAGGTTATTTGTGGTTGTGACAGCAGGCTGGGAGAGCAGTCGTGCACTGGGGAGAGCATGCAATGCAATGAGCACATTCAGGACGTCATTTTTTGTGTTTTAATATATTTCTGGTGTACATTTAATGTGTTGGTGGTTAGACCACCGTTGAGTCTTTGTAAGGGGGCAGCACTGACATCGAATAGATGGATGATTGTAGTGAGCTGGCTTGGTCTTTAATTCCTCACTTTCATATGCATGTTTCTTTTTCAATATTGCATCACCATGGCTTTGCATTGCATAAATCTCTTCTGCAAATACCTCTCTTTTATTCTGTTGAGATAGACAAAAATGCCTCAAATGACACAGATCCTCTTTCCCTCTGATCTATCCTGTGTCTCTACTCCTTCATTGTAACCTGCTCTCTTGTCTATCACTTTCACTTGAACTAAACTTTTTTGCTTAACTTTTCTTTTGCACCCTCCATTTTCTCTTTTCGCTCCCTCTCTCCGGGTTTTGTAAAGCTGCCTCATAGTTTCCTTCAAGTGCTTTAAGGACCTTTTAAAACTGAATAATAAATGGTCTCACCTTTTTTTTTTTTTTTTTTAGAGGGTTAGTTTCTAAGTAGCCAAGTTTCCAGTTGCATTAAACGATGCTTTTCATGGATTTCATCACATCATGACTGTTTTCTGCTTCTTTTCTTTATTTATTTTTTTCTTTTTCTAGGTGATTTTGCTCATCATCTCCCACCACTTCCTCCTCCCGTCTTCCATTCATGAGCAGCGTGGCTGAGTTTAACAGCGGCAGCCATGGATGACAAGGGCTCGGTGGGGAAGATTAGCGTGTCTTCGGACTCAGTGTCCACTCTCAACAGTGAGGACTTTGTCCTTGTGTCCCGGCTGGGGGACGAGACACCCTCCTCCACTAATAATGGTAGTGATGACGAAAAGACAGGACTGAAGGTAAGGACGGTTGGGTGTAGGTATGGACGGAAGTGCGAGGGAGAGGTGGGAGACTTCACAGCTGTACTGGACAAATCAGAGTATTTAGGAGTATCACTGGTCTGTCGACAGTGATAACAAGCTTAAATCCTTTCCCAAGATGCTTCTTACTATAAATATCACCATGATGCTCAATACTGATTATAGAAAACCTGTAAAGCAATAATAATGTTTTTCATCAGTGTAACTTAAACTGAGGTTCAGGGGTCAAAGTTCATACATATTGTTAACAGGTTGTGTTTACCACTCACATGTCAAGAGCTCTCGCCCATCTTTTTAAACATGCAGTCTCACACTCTAACCATAAGGCTAACCATTTCTTTGTTTTGCTTTTTCCACATTCTCATTCTACCTTCTTCTCATAGCCGGTCTTAGATTTGTGTCTGTGAATGTCCTTTTTCATTTTCTACAGTAAGAAAGCCCTTAAATCCCTGTTGAAGCACGCAAAATTGAGAGCACATTGTCACAGGCTTTGTTTATAGTGAAGAACTTGTTCTTATCTCTCAGACCTGTAAAGAATTGCGTTTATTTCCTGTGTTTTTTACACTGTAAAATATCTGGGGTAGTGGGAAAAGAAGACCTGAAGAAAACACACTTATCCAATAGCTGTCAGCTGGTATTTTACCAGTTTGTCATTCAGTGTCAGTAACTTGAATGATACTTAACATTGGGAAAACATCTGCAGTCAATCCGCTATCATACCCCAGAATATCTGACATACAGTATGCCCTCTGTGATTCACTCACTGAGCAGATATTAGTTTACAAACAGTGTGGCGATGCAGCCGCGAGTGCTTTGAACTCATTGTCAGGAGAAAAAAATGGTGTTTTGTGACTAGGGTGTGTCTCCACAAAGAGAAAAACTTTCTGAGGAAACCAGCCACCATCCTGTGTGTGTCCCTAATGGGTTCAGGTTTCTCCTCTCCTCTCCTCTCCTCTCCTCTCCTCTCCTCTCCTCTCCTCTCCTCTCCTCTCCTCTCTCCTCTCCTCGGGATACATTCTGTCCATGTGTCTTTTAGTTTACAACTTATCACATTTCCTTTTATTGAATTTACGTGAGTAGCTCGCTCGCATGTTCATACTGTGTCCATTAGTTTATGTTATTACTGTGCCTGTGTTTCTTTGTAAAGGATGGAATTGTCAACTTGATGTTATAAAGGTACCAGAAGATGGCGCCAGCAGAGCATGGATGTTGCATATTCAGTTGCTAGGAAGAGGTCACACACTTTTTTCCTGTCATTTGGTGTGCTTTGGAGATGAGAAAAAATGATTTAGCATATTACACTACGATAGGATAACAGTTATTTTGATGGAAAACTGAGTTGAGGTATCAGTTTTGTGCGGCCTTGTGATGGCCGTTGTGTACCTGTTGTCTGAGAGAAGAAAGGCGGTTCCCCACACACCCCCCACTGTTCTCAGTATGTATCAGTGAAATCACTCCATTCACTGACACTTGGCCATCCAGATATCATGTATTGGTTTTCGCCAACACACTCTTGTGCACATTTCCCTCCCAGTCAGCCCATCCAGTCAGAGAGAAGTCAGTGTGTCTAAACTTGTTGTTTGTTATGCAGGTGATTTCTGAGGAAGGGGTCAGCTTTAAGGTCAGTCTCTTCTCTCAGTATCTTTCCTTTTCCTCCTCTACTCTCAGTATCTCTTTCTTGCTTGTCTATCTGTTTTTCTCTCTTTCTGTGATGTGATTCCGTGGTGATTCTGTTTGTGATTTTTTGTGTGTACTTTTACCGGCTGTTGAGTGATGGCCGTAGCCAGCCTCTTTAACAAGGCTTAGGTTTTGACGATGGTAGTGATAGACGTTCTCACACATGGGACTGTAGTTGTACCTGATAACAGGCTTTTAGAACTACCTGTAAACCACAGGGCCCAACCACAGTTGCATGGTTATGTCAGATGTGTGAAGCTGCTTTATAAGTCTTCAAAAATGTTTTTCATTATGCGGAACTAGAACTATTGACACTATAGTTGCACTGTAGTGTCCGCCCTGCTCTAATAATTGCGTCTTACAGCACTGAACACATTTCCATATTGAGAGCCTACTTGGAAAATTTCACCTGAATATTCAACTGTACAATAATCACATATACTACAAAAGCTGAAAAATTACCTTCTCTATTCTCAAGTGTCCCATATTGCTCAGTACAGCAGTGCCCTCTGCAGCTTGAGTCTGCTCAGCAGGCAGGGAAAATGGGGCCTTGTCTCCTTTTGTGGCACCTCATGGTTTGTGCAGCTTTAAGCCTGCTTTTAGATTTTGCTATTAATTGTGTTTGGAATAGGCTCACACAATTAGTGTTGGCACAGCTCTGTGTTTTGATACAGGTGTTTCACAACTCAAACTCACAAAGCTACTAATCACTAATATTGGATGAAATGTAATGAAGATATATCTCAGGCATCTTTCCCCCTTAATCACACTGCAATCACTTGAAATGAGTTACAGGATTGCTCTGAGAGGCAGAGTGAGTTCACATTTCTATAAACTGTAAGAGACAATTGTAATGCAGTTCATGTACGTCTAAAGATTAGTTTAAACTTACAGTGAATTTGTTTTGTATCAATATTTGTTCTTGTATTTTGGTAATTGTTTTTGATACTAAATATGTTGCTTTTATACTTCCTTTTTACCCTGCTCTTTGATGTGGTTGTGTTCATGTCTGTTTCTCTCTGTGTGTGTGTGTGTGTGTGTGTGTGTGTGTGTGTGTGTGTGTGTGTGTGTGTGTGTGTGTGTGTGTGTGTGTGTGTGTGTGTGTGTGTGTGTGTGTGTGTGTGTGTGTGTGTGTGTGTCTCTCTACTCCTTTGTGTCTGTGTGTGTGTATCAGATTGTGGGGAATGGAAGTGAGCAGCAGCTCCAGAGGGAGTTAGAGGATGTCCTCATGGACCCGTCGGTAGCTGACACCGGGCTCGGATCAGAAGCAGGATTGGACAGCTTTGGAGCGGGTGACCATGGCCTTCTTCAGACTACAGCGTCACCTGTAGCGCCAGGCTCCGACCCTCTGAGCGCACCGCCGCCCAAGTTGGAGATGGTGCTTCCTGTTCAGACGGCTCAGGAGAGCGAGCTGAATGAGAGGTCGTACCGAGGTGAGCCAAGATGAGACTTTTCTTATCCTCTTTTTTTTTGTGTCTGTCAGAGCTTACACAATAGCTCTTATCTTAAGCCTTATAGTTGTGTTTCTAAGACATTCAGAGTGATATCACAGAAACACCCAGGTCTTTCCACTTCCCTTATTGCTTCTTTTTAGAGGATTCTTGCCATTTTCTTTTCATTTACTGAATGCATTGTTGGATTCATTTTTCTGATTCATACGACTTCTCTGTAAACATCTATCTCCCCTTTGCTATCTACTTCACCTTATTTCTACTTTGCAGATGCCAAGTCAGCTTGTCCCAGATGAGGACAATAATGTACAACCATAAGATCATAATGAAAGTCATAGAATAATCTAATTCTTTGTCTTTTCTTTCCTTTCCTTACTTCAACACTCATTCCACCCCTCTCCCAATCCATTGCCTCTTTTGCAGCAGATGAATCATCCTCAGATGGCAGTCCTAGCAGTCCTATCCCAGATGAGGATAGCGTTGTGTTCAGCCAGCTGACATATCTGGGATGTGCCTCTGTCAACGCCCCCCGCAGTGAGGTGGAGGCGCTCCGTATGATGAGTATCCTCAGAGGGCAGTGCCAGGTCCCTCTGGATGTCACACTGTCAGTGCCAGGCGTGTCCGAAGGCACCGTCAGGTAAGGGGGAACATATCAACATGTCATACACACATAATAAATCCTGCTACAGCAGCTTTTAAGATATCAAATGGCAACATTTTTTTATTCATAATTTAACAGGTTGCTGGATCCCAACGCCAGTACGGAGATCGCCAACTACCCTATCTATAAGATTCTGTTCTGTGTGCGAGGCCATGATGGCACACCAGAGAGCGACTGCTTTGCCTTCACCGAGAGCCACTACAATGCTGAGATCTTCAGGATCCATGTGTTCCGCTGCCAAATCCAAGAAGCGGTGAGGATTAAATCATTAATCCTTAACTGGTTGTTGTTTAATTTCTGTGTAATTGTGTTCACTGAAGTCACATTTAAAATATATTTTAGCAAAAATGCATTCCAAAGTTTATCTGAAGTTAATGTGAGTCTTTACTTTACATAATTACAGCAAGCAAAACTTGTATCCAAGAAAAAAAATGTTATTCAGATAGTGGACCAAAGGGGGAGCAAAAGCTCCTCTTATAAATGCTCTGCTTTGTATTTCACATGACACGCTGCTCCCTCTCTCTTTTTTTCACACTCTTACTGTCTCTTCTACTCATGTACATATAGATGTGTACACACTAATATTGCCAGAAGTTTTCTGGTTGACCATATCTTAAATTGTTGATCTCCCTTTAGCCTGTCCCTCAGGGTTCAGTATCAGTGTGGGAGCTTCCTTAGTGGTCCCCAAGGGATTATGTCATGTACTGCAGGCTGCGCTGCAATGCACATGTACGCCATATACAAACTCAAAGTACACACAATCCTCCGATCTAGCTTATAGGGGAGACGGAGTGTCATACAGTAGGTTCAACAGGAATATAAAAGAAGTGAATAGGGAAGCCACTCATGAAACTGGGTTAAAGTGCTGCTTCAGTGTTCAGTGACCTGATTTCTCCCTCATGGAAGCGCTCTCCTTCAATGTCACTAAGAGCCCCCAGACTGGCAGTAATTTTTCAGACCCACATCATCCCACTATCCAGTTCCCCACACACATGCTGACACAAAAACACTAATGCACACAGACACACACACACACACACACACACACACACACACACACACACACACACACACACACACACACAGATAATACCCAGTAGTAATTCACTTCTTTACCTAGCAACTGGACAGCTCTCTCTTCCTTCCAAACCCCCCAGCAACATACCAATCTACCTCCAGCTTTTTTTTTTTTTCCTCTTCCCACCATTAGACTGGAGTGAGGCAGCGCTTTTGTTGCCTCCTCCTTCATTAAAAAGCTGCTCTAGTCATATGCCTCATATTAGCCTCAAATCCACTGTAAACAACTCATATGACCTCTAAAATCCCTGTATTTATCCATTAAGGTGTCTTACTTATTTATTTTGAAATATATTTTTGGACACTGTAGGCACACCAAAATGATGTACATTTCTTTATTTAGTTTTCTGATCACATACCGAAACAGACTTCCAGAGGTGTACTGAGATAACCTCGTGGCAGACTGGACTAAAACTAGTTACTGTCTTATTTTCCTCAGCTATCCCATTTGTTTTAAGTAAGTGACCCAATTATTTAATCAAATTGTGACGAGCTTCTGAAGCATTCTTTACCCCTAATTTAAAAAAATACGACAATTTGGAAAGAGAAATATTCTCTCCTTACAGTTATCACTGTAAGTACTTTCAGGTTTTGTAATGATATGCTTTTTTTGGCCATTCTGTGTAATTTATTTTTCTAAACAGATTTGTGGATTTTGGAGTGGAACTGTTCATACATAAAGCAAACCACCTCCCCAGTCATACTCCGCCTCCTTTGTGCCAGACCTCCTAGTCAGGCCCCAAGGCTACTTTCTAACAATTCCCAGTTTTCTGGTGTTGATGGTGATGCAGAGCCCTGCTGAGTCTCATACCCAACACCACCTCCTCTTTTTGTGCCCATAAACTTGCTGCTCCTGTCCAGAGATGTATATCTAGTGCTGTTTGATTCAAATCAATACAGCTTCAGTAAATTTGTTTCACTCAATTGAGTTGACCTCCTTACACAAATTAAATCACATGTTTAAGAGCGACAAACACAAATTGGGCGCTGATAAATGGATTGGTGCTGTAACATCAGTTGAAAAATGTCTCAAAGCTTCATCTCAGTGAGCACATCAAGGTAATGCTGCCAAGTAAGAAAGATAAGATAAGAATATCCTGGACGGGAAGTAAAAACAATGTAACAGGATACTTAACAAGTTCAAGATCTTTAAAGGCTACAGTCATTTCATCAATCATTTTTTACAAGCTGATTCCAAATCCAAAGCACATTATGTAATAACATTTTATAAGAAATCTGAGGGTAAAAACAGTAACATTTCAGTTTGTGTGACATATTTTAATAGTTTTACTGAGTGCATTAAGTACAAAAATAACCAGGGACAGACCCTTTGAATGAGGAGGTTAGGGGAAAAGGTTAAAATATAGTTTTAAAATATAATACAATTTTATTTTAATTTTGATGATACTGCAGAAAAACTCAAAATTATAAAACAATTCTTTAAATATTTTTTTTTAACAACAATTTTTGAGTAGGATAAAATAACTCTCCTTGTTTGACAACTTTTGTGGAATCAAGTGTTTTCTAGATGTGAGCATTGATCTACCTTATTTTTTCTTGTGTGGAGTAATTTTGAGTTTGCCTGAAGAAAGAGAAACATACATCAGAAAGACAGAATGACAGACTGCTTTCTTGTTATAAGAGAAGCCCCCAATATCGGCCTAAATTACTTGTCAGGGTTGATATTATTGCAGTACAACTGTCCACGTCTTGATAGAGCTCCTTCACACTGCACATAAAGTATAAAAAACAGTACAGAACAATTCTATTGTGTTATTTCTCATGTCATCAATACAGGGGGTGACCCCCTACAACTCTACCCATTTCCCATTTCTTACATTCATTCTGCCATTGTTTCTCAATAAATAAACCCCCTGCGATGCCCCAACATCCTTCTTCTGTACCGAGAGCATAACAAAGGCTTTCTGTAGGAGAGGTTAGAAGCTGCTTTATACTCTAGCCTTGAAAAAAGCAAAAAAGCGTTGTTATTTATTGATAACAGCCGTTTCCCCACACCATCCCTCAGTCACTAACCCCCGAGCGCTGCTGTTTACCAGAATTAGAGATGATTCAAAACCACTGTGCTGTGGGCCTCGAGTTGGGGGAGCACTCTGTTTATTATCACACACACACATCTGTGTAGTAATAATCAAGAATAAAATACTTTCTCTTGACTAAATGCAAAGCTCACAAGTCTAAAGTATTGTGAGTGGAAAAGTACATTTAGTGAATATAAATAAATCATTACCACCCGGTTCTCTGCACTTGGCAGTCTTTAGCTGCCTGCCCTCTCCAACTCTGCTCCTCTTTGGGGTTAGAGATTTAGCAGAACCCTGCAGTCTCTGGAAGGACTGAGTTGTCTCTGTTTCATGTTAATAGGAACAATACCTCCACACTCAGATTCACAGGAAAATATGAATCAGTATGTTGATTTAAACTCAAAATGGTTAATAGGTTGGTGGCTGTGCTGTCAGTAGAGTAGTGGGTCATTAGGTAAGCTTTTTTTAGTGACCCATATCACAAAATGGCAATAACAGATCTGCAGAGGTTTGATTGAGTTTTTAATCAATACTAATGACTCTGTGATTACTTTGCCCTGGTGCTGATATTTTTGGCTTCCGAAACTCCATTTTATGGTCCACAAGACATTTCAGCTACAGGAGCTGCTAAACTTGGTCCCAAAGCCAAAAAAACATACAACAGTACCTTGCTTTCTGATACTGTCTATCTATTCAGTGGATGTTTTTCTATTGGATATCTGCTTTAAATAGCTAATTGACTTGGACTGTCCTTGATTATTATTAATATTGTTTTCCACACTCAGAGTGTATGGAAATCTGTGGCAAACATTTCACGTTTAATGATTTCACTTTTTTTTCCCCTGAAAACAACTGGAGTTATTCATTTTGAAGCTAATATTTTTCTTTTAGGGACGTAACTAACACAAAATAATAAACTACAGGTCACATATTCTTTGAACAGCCTCATGTTTATACAGTATTGTGCTTAGTTTCACAGCGCGCAGCTTTGTCTGGATATTGTACTGGATCTGTTTTATTGGCCCTTCCCAAACAGTGGCTTTGTTTTGTGTTCATTATAAAGTGTCTTACGTGTGTTTGCCTTTCTCCTGCAGGTGAGTAGGATACTGTACAGCTTTGCCACGGCGTTTCGGCGGTCAGCTAAGAAGGCAGTTCTGTCGTCTCAGCAAGCTGCTCCGCTCACCCCTGACAGTGACTTGTTTACCTTCACCGTCAGCCTGGAAATCAGAGAGGATGATGGCAAGGGTACCTTCAGGTGAGACATACATTCCACATTATATTATTATTTCAGTCTTTAGAGCATGGAACTATAATTTACGATGCTTGCACAGTTGTGTAAATTATGAGTTATTAAATTATTTAGAGTTGCACAGAAGTCTGGAACTTTTTTCAGGGTGTTGTGACATTTTCCAAAGAAGAATGAACTGTCATCAGACCTGATACTGTATTGAACACCAGCTTTTCTTGTCAAATCTAGCCAGTAATGTGTGTCTTAGACAATGTGTGTCTTTTTTAAAAATTGGAAAATGAATAGAAACCTTACACCTGATTTGCAGTGGCACCGTAATTCTAGCAAAACATGTAAAGAGCTTTGAATGAAATGGCCACCCAGTGACCTGGGTTTCACACCACCTACATAAACACAGGGACATGCAGCCCTACTTTTGGGCATTAAATATTAGCACACTTCTGGGTGACCCAGTTACAGAAGTTACAGACCTATCTGGGGTTGACAGCATGTAGGGTACATACTACCCATGAGGGGAAGAATCATCTTATTAGTTTATATACAAAACGAATGTGTCAGTAAAGGAAAGGTAAAAATTATGAAAGTATCCCTACAGAGGTAAATAAAGTCCCTCCTGTCTCACAGTGGACTTACTATATTTTGACCACTTCCATTAATTAACACTCTTCATCACACATTGATAAGAGTGGACGACAGGAAGTTCCTGTGTTCGCTCCATTTTACCCATCTTCCCTTTTTATTCTGTTTTCCCATATTAGTCACTTCCGTGTGTTCATAAACAGACCCAGATATCCATCTTATTTGGAAAACAAAATAAAACAAACAAAAACAAAAACAAAAAAATCTATGATTATTTTTAGCCAGCACATATTTCCTCCTCATTAGCTCTTGGTTGATTATTTTTAGTGTACTGACTTCCAAGCAAACAGCTCTCTCATGCAAGCACACATAGACTGATTTTGTTTGTATTCCTTTTTTTCCTTGTGTAGATAAGATATAGAAAGAAGGCTTTATAGAAACTGCATAATATAGTGTAATATAATATCTGTAAGTAAAACATATTTAAATTAGTTTTCCTTTAAACAAGCCATTTTATCTGTCGCCAGGGGACCTAGTTACAGTGTAAAACCAAACCAAACTCACACTGTTAGTCTCATATATCCTGTACGTTGAGTCCCAACTCACAAAGTTTTTGTCTTCTGAGTACTGCGTAATTGATTAGTGGATTTTTTTACTCAAGAATCTATGTACTTAAGGGTTCGCTCAGTGCTTCCTCAGGAATTTGTGTCAGTGATGGTTTGGAGAATGTTGATTACTGTTCCTGTCTCAAACCCCTGCTTTCAGAGCAGGAAAGAGAACCAGGACCAGAACATGTTTAAAAAATGGTTCTTATGCACACTTTTATTATGATGAATGGGTCTAGTCTGAGCCATGGTCTTTAATTTAGTTTTGGTCTTTTTTACAGATTGGTAATACATTTCATTGGTCTAGTTGTCAGAAGAAACCCTGGTTGCTTTAATTATGAGTTAGTTTGTATCAGAAGTAGAAACAATGCAGGAATATTGTTTTCGCCCCTTGTCCAGACCCACAACAACCTGTCTAGTTAGCCTGTGGTCAAATATTATTATTAATTATTACATTTCTCTATTGTCATTGGCTTATTTTTTTAATGTAATGTTTTAAATGATAGTTAATCTGCCTTACTGTGTCACTGCAAAACATATCTTTGTATATCCTAGATAATTTAACGACTGTATTGTGCTTTTGTCACATTCATCTCAGTTTTTTCTATTGATGATCTTTTTCGCTGTTAAAAATGTTGTTAATATTTCTTGTTTTCATATATTCAGTGCTGTAGCAAAAGACAAGGACAAGCAGAGCTTCAAGCTGCGTGCAGGAATGGACAAGAAAATTGTAATTTATGTCCAGCAGACCTCCAATAAGGAACTGGCCATTGAGAGGTAAAATACAGGGCACACACTCACACACAATACATCTTCAGCCTCAGAGTTATTTGTTTAGTATATGAATATATATATTTATTTATATATATGAATTATTCTAATAAGTTATAACAGCATATTGGTATGTAGACAGCACTATTTCCAGAAGATTTATCCTTGAAATACAACAACCAAGATAACCGAAGTACCTCTAAACATGTCAAAGCATACGAATTGTTAACAACTAACGGAATGGAGGCCATAAGTAAAACTTTATCTCCAGAGATTACTCTATTTGCTACAGTTGAAAAGTGTCTGCTTAGAACACTACCAGACGTCCATAAGAAAGGAATCACTGAGCTATAATTGATAAACACACACCGGTGAACATCTTTACATCCGAGTGTCGACCCATGTCAGGTTTTAAGTGTTTAAGATGGTGATTGATGTGAGTCTGTCCTCGCTGGCTCATTTTCCACGGTTTAATAAATCTGTTGAAATGTAAACATTCCATCACCTTCTTGCGGACTTCCATTTTCACAGTGGTTTGTTATTGTTTGATGAACCCAAAGATGTTAAGGATTGAAGTGCTGTGTTTAATGTTCTCCAATGTTCTGGTCTGTGTTAGAGGATCAGTCCAGGAAGCTATTTGTGGTAACATGTAATAGTTAACAACTGGTTTTACTCTATAGGGAGATTTATTGTTCTGTGTCTAGTTTCCCGCTCTTGCTCTGTTCTTTTTGTCCCCCTCTCCCTTTTTCCCTTATGTAATCCTATTCATTTCATGTTTCTCTCTCTTGCATCGCTCTGTGTATGTGTTTGTATGTATTTCTCTGTTTATTTGAATGCGTGGTCCGCTTCCATGTGTGTCTCCTCTCCAGGTGTTTCGGTCTCCTGCTCAGCCCAGGGAAAAATGTGAAGAACAGTGACATGCACCTGCTAGACCTGGTGGGTGACTGTTGTATGTGTGTTTGTGTTTGTGTTTGTGTTTGTCTGTGTGTGTGTGTGTGTGTGTGTGTGTGTGTGTGTGTGGTCATGTGTTTCTAACTTCTTCCAACTTACGCTGCTTCAGGAGTCAATGGGAAAGAGCTCCGACGGGAAGTCTTACATCATCACAGGAAGTTGGAACCCCAACACGCCTCAGTTTCAGGCTGTGAATGAGGAAACGCCCAAAGGTAACAGCCAAAGATCTGTCGAAAAGTCTAATAAAACAATGATTTTCAACAGTTACAGTTTCCTTCCTACATATTTTATTGGTTAGTTGGTTGTTTATTCACTCATATCTTCACACAAATACTTGACACATTTCCAAACTTAGAAATTACTTTTTGGGACGTGCGGTAGCTTGCCTGGTGTGTGCTCCATGAGAGTCCTCATCGCGGTGGCCCAAGTTCGATTCCAACCTGCGGCCCTTTGCTGCATGCCCTCCCCCCATCTCTCTTTACCCCCTTTCCTGTCTATCTCCAACTCTCCTATCGAATAAAGGCATAAAAAGCCCAGAAAATATCTTATATATATAATTTTTTACTGACAACAGCAATTTATAGTACAATTAACGCTACTCTGAATAGGCATGAAAACTGTATTTTACTGTACGCAGGAGCTACGGTATTTTTCCAGATTGCTCATAAATATTACTGGAAAATCAATGATGAAACAAAGACGCAATAAATGACCTCTGGCACTGACTTTGATCCATCTTTGACCCACATGCCGTACATCCTACACCACCAATCCACCTTCAAACGCAATGAGTCAAACTCTGGTGTTCTCATAAATCACACAGTTATAGGTTTCGGTATGTAGTAAGTAGGCATGTAGTGTATGTCTTGGTAATGTAAGGGAATCAGTCACTGGGGACAACATTTTAACCATTTTCTTTGTTTTTCTAGATAAATTCATGTACATGACGACAGCAGTGGACCTGGTGATTACAGAGGTAGAGGAGCCAGTCCGTTTTCTGCTGGAGACTAGGGTCAGAGTGTGCTCCCCAAATGACAGACTGTTCTGGCCCTTCAGCAAGCGTAACTACACTGAGACCTTCTACCTTAAACTACGACAGGTATGTCAAGTCATTTTCCATTCGCGATTAAATCGATTCAAGTGATGGTCTCTGTGAGTTGCACCAGATATCAGCCGCAACCTGCGACAATGCAAAGCAATGAGTTTGTTAACATACTGGTTTTGTAATTGCTAAGTGATATGTAAAAAAGTAATGGCTGCTTTATTAACCAGTCATAGATGGTCTCTTGACGCTTATTCCTGTAGTTTATCCAATGTCTTCTGAATGCATCTCTCCTCAGATGGAGCGTAAGGAGCGGAAGAGTCCTGCCTCTGACACACTTTATGAGGTGCTGAGTTTGGAAAGTGAGACAGAGAGAGAGAAACGGAAGACCACAGCCAGTCCTGGCATCCTGCCCACCGGAGCTGGCACCTTGGTTCCTTCACCCCCTGAGGATGATGAAGAGGAAGGTGATTTGATGCTGTCTTACTTTTTTTTTGCTTAGTCACTTTTCATGGGGATTTACACACAATACACACAATACAGAAGGATAGCAATGTGTTATTAAAAATCAAATTCCTGATATAGTAAAGGGTATAATTTCTTTATATAAGCCATATGAAAATATTCCTTATAAAAATGACCACATAGAACCACAAGAAGAAGCCTGACTAGCAGAACCATATGAAAATAGTTTTAACTCTATAAACCACTTTTTGTACTTGATCATGTCAGACACATAAACAGCCTGAAAGCAGACGCTTAGCTGGCAAGATAATATAAATTTACTCTGGAACGCTGAACCATTGTGGTGTCCATGGTCAGGACTGGCCTCATTCAGCAGCATATACCTCCAAAACACAACAGTAAGAGTATTACTGCCCTGCGGCATTATTATGCTGAATTATGCTGCGTATTTTCAGGCATTTAGTGTTTAACATTAACAGCCTTGGCTTGATGACTGATACTTTACATAAAAAATTAAAACCCTACCCTGTGGGGCTGTACCAGATATAGACTTGTGGTCCAAAGGAGTCATCCCGTGGGAGATCAGACACTGTGTTATAGAACTGTTTGTACTGTATCCTAACAGAGTAGTTAGGCTGCAGTGGTGTGGGTGCTTTCTGTCTATTTTTATGAATGTGAGAGGTAGCAATGAGAATAAAAGGCAGAGAGGATAATTGTGGTACTTTTTATATCTGCCTGTGAGTTAGTCTTTGATCTACTGGCCTTTTGGTACAGTTTGGTCTCAATCTTTGGACTGCATGTCCATTTATGTCTCCTTGTCTGTTGTTGTGAATATTTAGATACCACAGAACATGTAGATAGTACCTTTTTCCAGGTGATACTATGAGAGGTTAAAAGAAAAGATCCAACATTTTGTCGAGATCATGTGGTTTATCAAATTATAATTTTGTACTTGGAGATCTGTAGTTCGAGTTCATTGTTACCATGTCCACAACTCCCATACAGAGCACACAAACTACAGTATACAACATCCCAAAGCATCAAACCACAGGATCACAGCCTTGGAGTATCAGAGTGGTGTAGGTTCCAATTTGGTAACACAAATAAGCAGAAAGGTTATTGGTGTAAATCTAATCATTTTCATTTCATATGCATGAGCTCTGGTGACTTGTTTATGATTTGGAGTACTTGGAGGAGAAATCTGAACATGGAAGAAAGAAAAGGACGATAATGGATCTCACTTGTTTTCACTCTGTGTGTCCAGATAACGATGAGCCGTTGCTCAGTGGGTCAGGTGACGTTTCCAAGGAGTGCGCAGAGAAAATCCTGGAGACCTGGGGAGACTTGTTATCCAAGTGGTAAGGCTTTGTTCCCTTGTTAACTTTGTCCTTCCACTTCCATTGCTGTTGCAATGAATGCACACACACACACACACACACACACACACACACACATACACACACACACACACACACACACACCACACACACACACACACACACACACATCCACACTTACACACACAAATAAATCATTTTTGTGTGGGGAGTTTTAGTGGATGGACTGTATGTGAAAGTAATAGCAGCAGGCAGGAGTTCTTGATAAGCAGCCAATTAAGATGGCTTCTCTCTCCCATTACTGCATTTGTTTTTAATCAAAAGCTTGTGATGAATTGAATAGAAACTGTCCGGTCTTTAATTAGCTGTAAGCTAAGCTCCCCATGCATAAACTACTACATAGTATACCTCTCTCTCCCTGTCTGTTTTTTGTTTGACCATATGTATATACACATATATGTATTTTCTGTGTTCATTATATACTATATTTGGCTGTTTATGCCCTTTGACAAATGCACTAAATGTTTTGGAGGACATTTGTTTCACTTTGATAAAAGTTCTGATAAAAAATAATGCCTACATAAAGAGAGGAATCATAAGACTGGCCTGTCATAATACTAGTCTTTGTGCAAGTGATTGGTGATTTTGTATGTGTGTGCGTGTGGGAGCGAGAAAGTGTGTGTTGTGGTATTGTGGCATGTAGCATTCAGGGAGCACAGAGAGGCAAATCACAGAAAGCCCTTTACAATCTTATGCCCCTAAGGACCAGGCCTGGCATTACTTACGTCACATGTACCGACACATGCATGCACACACACGTACACACAGTATACTTTTGTTTCCCTTCTTAGTCTCAACAAGAAAATGCCACATATTGCATAACCTGGTGCTCGGAACAAATAAACCAAACAAACTCAGAAAATAGAGAGAGATGAATTAAGAAAGGGGTGGGAGGGGTGGAAGTGAGAGAATCATCAGGGATTCAGGGATTTTCTGTCGGCTCCAGTCAGGCGATAGTTGGTAGGTAGGTACAGCTGTGCCTCCAAGTTTACCTTCTCCTTCTGTCTGTATCTCTAAATCTGTCTCTACCGGGCAGATGCCTGAGTTCATTTTACGCCGCATGCAGTGTGAATCACTCTATGAGATGGAGCGTTCCCCGCAACAGCTTCAACATTTAAATGTGAAGATGAGGAAGGAAGGAAGGCATTAAAATCCGCCTCTGTGTATTTTTGCTGTAATTTTCTTTTGGCTTATTGTCTTCTATTGTCTATTGTTTTTCGATGCTGCTAAAAATAACGCAGGGGTAAAATAAAGCAAAACTAATATACAAATGTCAGACAAAAAGATAGAGGTACTAGAAGAGCACTTGGAGAGCGCAGAGCTCAGCCAAGGTGTTCAGTTTGTACAGTGATGTTTGAGGTGGCTGTTATGTTTTGTTGTATGTTTAGTCATGGCATACCATTTGCTTTAGTAATGACTTTTTTTTTGCCATTTCTCACAATGTTAAAGTGAAATTCTCTCTCTGATTTGTGTATGCTCCAATATTTAATGGGTTCTTCCTTGGCCCATGCTACACACTTCCACCAGGTTTCATGAAAATCAGGCCAGTTGTTTTTGCCAAATAAACGACCCTGAAAACACAACCTCTTTGGCGGATGTAATTAATTAGTTTAAATAGTATAGTATCACAAATTTTCTCAACAAAAATAGCACATATTTTACTTGACTTGAAGTTGAACTTTTGAAAGATGCATGTAAACTGGAGCGCCATCGACTCTACAGTCTGGATGAAAACCTGACCAAGCTCAACTCGAGGTTGGCCTAGGCCACAATAATGCCTTTTTCTGAGGAAAACAGCCTGCACATATATCTGTACATAAGATTTTGTATTATGGCAGAGCAGGTAGGCACACTGACATTTACGAACAATTGGCTGCCACTACTCATGTCTTTGTTACAAGCCACATTAAGCATGTGGTTTATTCTATAGGAACGCAACAAGTGGGCAGCATATCGTACATTTGTTGTATTAGTTGATATAACACCTCCTCGTTGTTATGATTGTGGCCTAGCACACCTCTGTACCATCTGTAGAGTTGATAATGGTCTGCCTTAGACACAACGTAGAGCCAATGAAAACATTGTTTTGGGTAGATACTGTAGGTAGGTAGGCAGGTGTGCATGGAAAGATTGCAGATGCACAACTTGTATATTGAGGGAGTTATCAGTGTGCCATACTTTTTAAGCTAATAATGTTAAAATAAGTATGTTTTTGATAAATGCAATGTCTGACTCCTCTCCTTTCCGCTCCTTTCCTCTCCTCTCAGGCATTTGAACTTATCAGTTCGTCCCAGGCAGCTGCCAGCATTGGTGCGCAGTGGCATTCCCGAGGCTCTCCGTGGGGAGGTGTGGCAGCTCTTGGCAGGCTGCCATAACAATGACCACCAAGTAGAAGAGTACCGCACTCTTATTACAAAGGTAAGACCGCACAAAAGTATTGTATTTATTAAGGTGGTCAGGACACACCAAATCCCCTTGATCCCATAATGTTGGTGGTGTCTTTCAACAAGATGACTCATAAATTGGCAAGCTGATAACCTGATGATAATTGTTACACTTTTGTCCTGTCTGTTTTTATACTGGGATAATTTTGATCTCTTCAACTGAATCACATGTAATTCAAACAGATTAAATTTTTTTGTTTGTTCTGGCCAAAGTATGTGTGTTGTTGTTATTGTCCCTAGCAACAATCCTGGTTAGATTTTACTTTGTTGAAAGTACACCTCAGGGGCCACTGATGGCCCTGTTTCACAAGTTTCTCATGTGCTTCAAACTTGTGACGGTACCCACTGCTGCCCTGTAGATCATGCCAGCTGATTACTTTTGGCATTATACAAGTGAACGGTTTATACACTTTTTCTTCATGAAGAAATTTGTCTCGTGTTAATCGTTCTGGTAAAACTGATGATCCTTAACCTTTAAAAGGAAATCATAAAGGAAGAAACAAAGTGTCTTTGTAACTACCTCAAAGTCAAATCATATTTCATAAGGTTTGCTGTGTGTTTTAAGCCGCAACATTTGATAAAAAGGTTAAAGTATTGTATTCTTTTGCAACTTGGGCTTCAACCTGGGCCAAAAATTGTTGGTCTGTGATCTAAATGATACTAATAATTATTATTCAGTTCTTTTTTAACATTAGGTTTGTCATGGCCACTTGGCCTTGTTATTGCCTCTGTGCCTCTTTTCTGCAGACATGTGTCTGTATATATGTTCACAAACAACAGCTAGCTTTTTAGCTTGAGTTGGTTAGAGAATCACTGTGTGGGCATGTGTCTGTCTGCGTGGCCATGTGTGTACGGATCGGAGGTGACTTAGCCCCGCTGTTGATGGTTACCCCCTCCGTGCGCAGAGAACAGTGTGTTAGTCTATGTCGGCCGCAGTTCTGTCTGCTGTTCTTATGTAAAAGCAACATCCCCGGGCAGCGAGCTGGGTCCCAGGTGGTGACAAGATGTTGGTCTTGCCCTTTCCTCCCCTCTGCTCTCCTCTCCAACTCTCTCATTTTCCTCACCCTCCCTGGCCACATTTCCCTCCTCCTTTCTCTTCTGCTCTTTTCCTCTCTATCTCGCTTGTACTTTTTCTTATTTTGCCTTACATCTCTGGCATGTGATGATAAATTTGGATACTTAAAGTAAAAAAAAAAAGAGGTATAAACTCAAATGGAAGTTTTAGGCCAACATAAAGCAGGAGCCAAACTGTTTTTCCGTTAAACTGAATGGTATGAGTGGAATCTCAGCTTTCACTCAAACAACAATAACAGTGGATCACAACACTACTGTATTGATAGCCATTGGACAGAGAGTTGGATAGGAATTTATTGCAGAAGCACTAAAGCATTCCAGGTTTGTACGTCAGCCAGCAAACACACAGAGAAAAGTGTGGAGAACACGTGCAGCTATATCTGACTCTGACAGACGATTTGCCTTTTTTATTTAGTCTCTTTAGAGCAAGACTGGACAAGGGTGCCAAGAACGGTCAAAGGACAGAAAGACGATAAATATCTTATTTAAAGCTCCAGTGTGTAACAATTAGAAGGATCTGTTGGCAATGGAATATTATATTGTTTAAGCACCTGAAAATAAGAAATAGTTGTGTTTTCGTTATCTTAGAATAAGCAAATGACGTGGCCAAGGTAGTTTCTCCTACACGCTTAGAACAGGAGGGTGAGACGAGGGGCTTGTAAATCTGAAACTACACCGCTAGATGGCACTAAATGTCACACCCTGGTCATTTAACACATTGAGGATAGAATAAGTTGTATTGCTTTTTTTTAAAGTCAAACTGAAATAAAATTTATTGCTAATAGCTCTAACATATTGAAAATTGTACTAAAATCTGTTGCATAATGTTTCTCTGCGTATTACATTTAATAATTAGGAAAGAATTTTCCCTCACATTCATGTTTTTATTGTTACTGGTACTAATTACATCTCATTTTCTCATTTTCTCATTTACCAATTCCCAGTTTCCCTTTTCAGCTCCTGTTTTAAAATGTGTACATACCATACTCATTTACCAGCTCCTAATTTGTTTTGTGGGCTTTCTGTATTCCGCCTATGTTTGCGTGTTTCTCTTTGTGCTGTATTGCACTGTATGCACATCTCGTCCTAGCTGGTGCCCTCTTTTGTACCCTAACCTCATCTGAACTTGTTGTTCATCTACATATCGGAATGCAGGGCATTGAAAGAGGACAGAGGACTGTGGGTCTTAGACATTTAACCTATTCTTTCCCTTTGGAGCCCTAATGATTTCCCCAATACGAGGGTCCCTACTGTCCAGTACAGGAAGAACTAATTAACTAATTAACACTCCACCAGTAAGCAATAAATTCATTAGGCTGTTGTAGCCATGGAGCACATTTTGTATTCGCTCCATAAATAATTGTTATCTTATTTTATTGAGGGACAGTTTAAACATATTAAGTAACGCTGTGATCATATTACAGCATAACACTTAACACATTTTCATCAGCATAATCTTACTATTGTACCAGTTAAGTGTTGCTTAAATTTTCAGTTTGGTGGTAATAATCACAATAATATTGAACTACTGCCTCGACTAGTATAATAGTTCCCAATGTTTTCATATTTTGGGATAATAAAAGAGACAGACAAAGGTAATTAAAGTCAAATGTTTGTGTATTTTAACTTTTAAATATATTGTGATGATTTCAACACACATCTCAGTATTGAATGACTGATAGAGCTTGAGATTTAGCTAGTTACAACAGTAATAGGAGCACAGCACAAGCAGACCAAGTAGCTAAATGGGGAAAGACTGATTACCTTGTGTAACGATAACCTACTTTAGTTCATAATCAGCGTCATGTTGTCTTGGGCATGACAGGAAGTGATGAGGAAAGAAGTGGTATTTTTGCACCATTGTGCTAAAATATGCGGTCATGCACAGTGGGGACCCATTTACTATTGCTTTCTATAAAAGTGGGGTAAACTGTTGACAGTATAAGCAATAACATACACTGAATTACACTTGTATTTCTTTGCACTTGTACAATTGCAAGGCACTTGTCAACTTGTCACCGTGTCAAAGAACTGTTTGACAACTCTGAAGTAATTTTTGAGGTTGTAGTTGTGTTTGTGTGGTTGATGGCGGCGGTGTTGTACAATATTTTGTTACTGCATGATGTCTCAATCTCCGGTTATCTAAATGAGGGGGACAAAATGTTAGAAATACCTCCTAATGTGTGTATATGAGCATACACACATACACATGCATGTGTCCCTAGTCCTGCTGCGCCAGCCTCCTGTGGAGAGCAAAAACAAGAGCTCGTAACTATCTTCCTGCCTGCCTGTCTCTGTCTGACCCACATAATGACCTGTCTGCCTGCCTCTCTGTCTACCTGTCTGTCTTTATAATCATTTGTATTTGTGTATGCCTGACTCTGACTTCTACCTAGGCCTGTTTGTGTTCCTGTCATCCTGTGGGTCTTCCTGCCTCTCTCTGTCTGCCTGCTCATTTGTGTTTTGTCACACTGTCTGCTTGCCTCTTTCTCGCCCCTCTTGTCGGCCTGGCGTGTCTGCTTCTTTCTTTTTTCTGTGTGACTGCATTCTTGCCTGTCCCATAGGTTTATGTTTGCATTGCTGGTCTGACTTCTGCCGGGCAGAACTGGAAATACTTTACAGTAAAAATTACACAGAGAATGCCAGAAGGTTCAGTCGGATGAAGGAGCAGTTTTTGCATCTGAATGTGAATAGGCTTTTATTTATCTTGTCTTATTTTCCTACAGTAATATGTTTATGTCTGTGTGTGACTATTAACAGCTCTCACCACCCTTGCCTGATGTTGGTATTAATTATTATGTACTTGCTCTAGGCTCATCATACAGAGATAAACATGATAAATCCTCAGATATAAATGATACTCTATTGTCTGTCTTGGAAATAAATAATTTTAATTTCCATTCCTACCAGGGATTTGTCTGATTAATAAAAATCTCAGATAGGACATCAGCTGACTAGTTCTTTTTATGTTTTTATTATATCACGCTGATAGAAAACTTGGCATGGTGTGACTGCTTATTTTTATATTTATATAAAAACAAAACAGAATTATCAGGATTATGAGACACCAGCCGGGTGGTGGTGGGTGGTGGGTATTAATAATAATCAGATGGAGGTCAGCCAGTATGCCAGTTGCAAGTTAACAATCTTATTATTTTAATAATGATTTGCTTAGCTTGTGGTGATGTATTAATTTCTTCTTATTTAAGTAAACATAAATAAACATTTTCTGGTATCCTGCAGATGAATCAAGTGTGATATAAAACATCAATTGTATCCCACCCTAGCAATAAGTTTAATGTCAGTTAAAGTGCAATTGTGGTGTTAATTAGTTAATCAGTAATGTGATTTTACATGAGAATATGGAGAGTGTTTAGCCCTTTTTCATTCATCAGCTGTTTTCCCTTAATATCAGATATGCTGTACAGGAGTTAAGATCCATTGTGTTGTTGCCAGCTGTGTGTCAGCCCCGAGGAAGGAGGCATAAGTTAAACAGCTAACAGGACTAAGTTGTGCTTAGCTTGGCAACCAGGAGACAGTACATGACACTTTTGCTTCTTCCTCGTTCTCACAGCCCTATTTTCTTATCGCTGATTTGTTCCGTCTGTATCATATTTATTTCTCTCCTCCACCTCTTCCTCCTCTCAACTTTGATGAGCTCTGTGCTTCTTTTGACTCCCTTCCCTCATCCTTTTCTCCTATTCCTCTCCTTCCAACCCCCGTTTGTCGTACAGTCATCTATTTTTAGCTCCTCGTGTGGTTGGCAGAGGAGGTGCGTGAAAGCATGGGAGTGTGTCTGGATTGCGGGGGGAGAAAGGTGCAGGCTGGTGTGGCTGTGTGGGTATGTTCGGATCTCCATCACGCTACACCAAAATTGCTCTGCACGAGACAAACTGCAGTCTTCAGAAAGTCATTAGGATGGAGATGTAGAACATGCTGTACTAAACCTGACAGTGATTACGACCCACTGAAGTTTCTAATTTTAGCACAGGATTCTGAGTAATTAAATGTAATCATCACATCATATGATCTAAAAATAACTCAGCTGGTAACTAATTAAGATTCTGCAGGCTCCTGCCAGAACCGGGACGTGCTAGGGCTAACCTGTTCTCACCAGCCCTCTAGAGACGTGCAGTAAAAAAGCTGGCTGTTGATGTTGTCGTGAGGAAGATAAAAAAAATGTCTGGTGAGGTCATGCTACCTGGGTGTAGCTGGCTGTGTCAAAGCAACTCTAATGCTAGGTGGAGGCGCAGCATCTGCTGATGCGTGCAAAATCAGGAGCAGGTGCATGTCTGTTTAGGGCTCTCAGACCAAATAGACAGAAGGACACCTGTCATTAAAAGTTACTGTTCAAATTCAAACATTGTGCAACATAAAAAGTGTTTGGATCTTGCTTATACTATGCTTACAGACTGCACATTGGCTGTATTGCAACCTTAAGAGCATTTTTACAGGAAAGTAATGCTGTAGATTTTTAAGTGTCCATATTGTTAGTAGTTAGTAACAGTCTCCCTCTCTCCGTCTTTAAGAGACACATGCACATAGATGGTTAAGTTCAACAGAAAGCAAAATACACGTGTATATATATATGTGAGAAGTCTCTTGAGGAAAGTAGACCATTTGCGTAATTATACATTACATAACTACCATTGTTATTCAATGTTTACATTGTAAAAGGCACAAGTACTGTGTGTTAGCATGTGTGTAGTCTTGAATGTGATACTGTTTCACAAACATATTCATGAATGGTATTATTATTGTTGTCAACGTTGCCACCGTGACTTTCCTGCTATAATTAGAAGAGGCAGGAAAAGGTTTTCCATTTTGTTTTCGATCATGACATTTCCACATGACACTCCAGCCAAGTTGTAGTACAAATGCCTCAACTGTGCACTTATTTTATTTTGTTTTGTTGACTATGAGTTAATTAAACTTGACCTAGATTAATGCACCATGTCAGTAGCGTATTTACATCGCAGCGATGTGTTTTTTTTTCCAGCAATCTTATGTGTATCTATTTTTTTATTTTATCACTTCTATTTCTTTATAAATAATATTTCAAGCAATTCTCAGTGGCCTTAGAAAATGTAAATTTTAGCATCGCAACATTTTTATGTTTCATCTGAAGTTGCTGAACATCCACCGTTGAATTGCACCTTTCAAGCTCTCCTTCACTTGCAGTCTGCACCTAAAAGGCAGACCCAGTTGCTAATTGCATTAATTACTTGCTGTGTTAGTGAATCAGCTGCTAATTACACACAGCCGTGAACGCAAATCAAATTATTTGCACTGTGCTTTCATGTACTTAAATCGGTCTCTCTGTCTCTTAAGCTTTTATGTTGCTGCACTTTCTTCGTAGATTACAAATATAAACGAGTAGAAATCGATTTATCGCAGTTGAGTTATATTTAGTGTACAGTAGAGTACTGTCATGAAAAAAAACAGCCAGTAAAAATGTAGTTATGGCTTGCATAATAAACTAATTTATATTTAACACCTTAAAGGATTTTTTTCAATAGAAATAAAACACTATGTGTTATATAAGTTTTAACAGTCTAGAAAAGTTCTACCCTGTCTCTGTGCTTTTTATTTATGAGACGGATTTTAAATCAGCACACAAGAGCTTATTTAACCGTACAACATTTAACACACTCTGTATGCACTGCAGGATCCACAAAGCTATTAGGAGACCTGTTGTCCTCTACTTTACGTCCTTGGTCAGACTGATAATAGGACTATTTTCTATAAATTGCCCCCAGCCATGCAGTTATTGTTTTACTACAAACAATAACACTTCCCTACACTGTAGAAAGACAATGTCCAAATTCTTACTGCTCAGAATGTGCAGAGATGTTAACAGTCAATAGTCTGAGTTACACTGAATGTTACTCATTTTAACAGTGTTAAAAAGTATGTTTGAATCTTGGGGTGATTATTAGAAACTCTGGCACAAATAAAACCGGGGAGGGGTTAGAGGGTGGGGGAAGGAGGCAGCCTTGTGCCCTTGCAGTTGATCATTGGTTGGAGCTGCAGGGAAGGGGAGGGGCCTCAGTGCCACTGTTTCTGTAGAGAGAGAGAGAAGCAGAGGGAACAAGAAAGAGTGTGAGAGAGAGAGAGAGAGAGAGAGAGACAGCAAAGGAGGATAAATGAACACGGGGGGTTCTCCCACCATCGGTATGCCTGCCTACCTCATTTCCACTCCAGACATAGTTGCTGCTCATCTGGATAGAAAATACAATTGAGGTGTGATTGTATGTGTGTGTGTTTTTTTAAATATCAGTCACCCCGTGTACTGCCTTCATCCTCTCAGCTCACGGCTGTCTGCTGTGATCTCACTGCGAAGGACCAGACAGAAACTGAGACAAGAGCAAGCGGACATGGGTGAGTGATGAAAAGCGGGTGAAGGAGAAGGAAGAAAAAAGAGGAAAAAGAAGAAGAAACAGGAAAGAGAACCGGGAGGACAGAACAAAAAGGAGAAATTATGTGTAATGTCTCCTTCCCTCAATTTATGTACGCAGCACATTATACAATAATGTCTTCTCACTGGAAGCTGTGTCTGTGACTCTGTGGACAAGAGACAGATAAGAGAGAGGGCTTCAGTCTGTGCTCCCTTCAGCTGCAGCAGATGTTGAAGACATCTCTGACTTTATAGGGAGCGGGAGGCATTTCAAGCAAAGATTGGACTGGAATTCCTTTAAACAAAGTCACATTTTTGTCTGTTTTTTTTTCTCCTTCTTGTGCCTTCAGCTGGGAAGTTTGCTTTGCTGGAAAAAAAATAAGAAGAAAAGGAATACACGCATTTCTTTTTTCATGTGTTAATCTGTTTTTACCCTGGTGGTTTTATATCTTTGTGTAAAACCACAACTCCTTGCACTGAGGACAAACCAAAGGGGGCTTCCTCACCGCTCTCTGTCCTTTCCATCCCTCCTGCATTTGAAATGGCAGATGGCGTCAGTCTCATCATGGAACCGCAGTTTGGAGCTTTTTGTTTGAACTGAAACCATCCAGTGACTTTCAGAACGAGCCAGCTACCTGTCAAAATAGTGGGTTCTTTGGTTCATCGTACCCTTGAAGGGCACCTCAGACACGTCTTTCTGCCCAAGATGATGAATTCCTCCCTGGATCCACTGAACCAGAGCTCTGCTGACCTGTCAAACTTATCTGCTCCTTTCTGCCTGCTTGAGATAGGCTATTCCCAAATTTTCACCACCTGCCTCCTCGAAGTCTCTATCATACTGCTCCTCACTGTTCTCATTATTTCCGGTAACCTGGTTGTGATTTTTGTGTTTCACTGTGCCCCCTTACTTAGCCAGCACACCACCAGTGCTTTCATCCAGACTATGGCATATGCTGATCTGCTGGTGGGTGTCAGCTGCCTCTTCCCCTCCCTGTCCCTCCTTCATCACCTCCAGGGCCTCGACCCCAAACTCACCTGCCAGGTGTTCGGGTACATGGTGTCTGTTTTGAAATCAGTTTCAATGGTGTCGTTGGCGTGTGTGAGTGTAGATCGCTACATTGCCATCACACGACCTCTGACTTACGCATCCCTTGTAACACCTTGCCGAGTGCGCTGCTGCATTGTTCTAATATGGTTGTACTCTGCACTGGTGTTTCTCCCATCTTTTCTCGGGTGGGGGAAACCGGGTTACCACGGCGATGTGGTGGAGTGGTGCGCAGTTGAGTGGCGGACTCGTCCGGCTTTCACAACCTTTATTGTCGCGCTCCTCTACGCCCCAGCTGCTCTCACTGTGTGCTTCACCTACGCCAACATCTTCAAGATCTGCCGACAGCACACCCGGGAGATCAGCGAGCGCCATGCGCGTTACCGACCCCAACAGCTGCAGGGCCCAGGATCAACATTGGGTTCTGTGGTCAAGGACAACGGTGTAGTAGAGCAAGGGCAGTTGCCACACTTGACCCAACCACAAAAATCCCAACCACAGTATCAGCAACCCACATCAACATACCCAGACAAGCGATACGCTATGGTACTGTTCCGAATTACAAGCGTGTTTTATATCCTCTGGTTGCCCTACATCCTCTACTTTCTGTTGGAGAGCGGAGGGATCTACCACCATCCCGCAGCCTCATTCCTAACCACATGGCTGGCCATCAGCAACAGCTTCTGTAACTGTCTCATCTACAGCCTCTCCAACTCTGCCTTCAGGAAGGGCCTCAAACGCCTCTGCTCCTTCTGTTTACAGCGCAGCGGCAGTGGCTTTGGGGTTAGGAACACCAAAAAGACTTTCGTTGGTTCTGTTGAAAAAGGATGTGCAGGGTCAGGGTATGGATATGGTCATGGGGAAATAGGAATTGGCACAACATGTCATGTGTAGGGCACACAGAGGAAACCCTTGTGCCAAATTGGCATTTGAACTTTTTAAAAAGATGCCTGATGTGATTGCTGTCAAATGTCTCATCCTTTTAAGCTCAAATGTGCTGTAAAGAGATGGAAGGAGGCGTTGATCTGCCCCCTGCTGTTTCTGTCACATTTGGAGTTTACACAGGCGTCCTCTGCGCACGCCACAGCTGGCAAAGACGGATAAAGGGAGTCAATAGCAAAGCACTGAAGGAGGAAAGGCCTAAAGAGCCCTGCAGGGTTTTTTGAAAATGGTCAAGGAAACCAGGCATACTGTACTGTATGTGGACACGGGGTGATATATGAAGGAGGGAGGAAAAATCTGAAAATCTCTGGAGAAATTAAGATTTTTATCTGTTATTATCTGTTTTCTCTGGGAAGTGCATGTGAAACAACATGACCTAGGTTGGCAGACTATCAGCACAGTGTGAGCTGAATGCAAAAAAAGAAGAAATGAATGCAAACAGAACAATAGTTGACCGCTGTGTTTTAGTAATGTAGTGCTGAGGTGAACTGCCAATAGCAAGCTCTTTAAATATCTTTTTATGTGCTCTTACCCCCTCAGTATTTAAATACTAAAAGTGATGCAACAGTGTGTTTGTGTATTTGTTGTGTCTCTTGTTGTTGACTGATTGATTGAGTCAAAAAGAAATGTAAAGAAATTACGTAGGTCTAGACCAAGTACACATTTTAATAGTCTGTTTGCACTGACCAAACTGATTATGGTTTGTCAGCATCAAGACGTCTATTCATAAACTTTTAGATTGTAGATTATTTATTGCTGTTGTTGTACAGGACAAAAACGTCTTTAATTAAGTGGTGGGTTCAGACACTGAGCCTGATGTTTGTGTCATATGATATGAGATACTAACCAGCTTTGGTGTACGACTGTTAACCTGACAAAAAGCAAACGTAATTTTCAGTGAATTTCTCTTTTATGATTTTTTTTAAATATTTGTTTCATTGCACCTTCTGTTGTTTCGAATATGTAACTAAACTTATTTCATAACTGTGTCCATGGCAAAGCAAGACCAAGAAAGTATGTATATTTTCACTTATTGTACACAGATTGTTGGTACATCATTGGGCTGATTTTTCTTTTTGGTAGTTAGGTTAAGGAAGGTAAAAACTTTAAGCATTTAGATAAATGACACTCAATTGGCACATATTCTTGCAAATACTTACCTTGTTACAAACCTTACAAACCTGTGTGCTGTAAGACTGCATTTGGGGAGTAGTGCACGCGCACACACACACGAACGCAAGAGGATCACATGTAAACGGAACAGACAAATAGCCCATTCACTGAGTCTGCCAGCAGGCTAACCTCTGCATGGCACCATGAAGAGGGACTGACCCCTCCACTCCCTGGGAACTGTGTGTATGCGTGTGCCTACGTGCATGCACATGTTGTAGTCTGTTTCGTACATCTTGTCCCCATGTGTAGTTTTGTGGGTTCTTTCACTCTTAACTTGATTTTTAATGCAAACTAATCAAGACCAATAATAAGCCGAAATGAATCCAAGTGTACATTCTGTGTCACAGACTCAAAAGGTTGTGAAAAATGATCTCTATTTTTAACCATGGAGGCTCATGTCACAGTTTATTTAGGTGCAGATAATCTAGCTTTATGTACGTTATCAAATCTACCAAAGAAAGTTTAACAGAAATTCTTAATTATATTTTTTTCTAAATATCTAATATATGAAGATTTAGTCAGATGCGAATGGGTTCTACACAAAGCACTGTGTTGGCTCAGTGATGCCTTACGTGCATGAATATGACTGTTTCTCAGTATATAGTGATATCTTGTTGCCTTCATATACAAATGAAAATTTACTGTTGGGGAAGTATTTTCCTTTTACATTTAGGGAGGGCTCCATTTATAGACATGCGACTGTTAGAGGGAACGGCACGGACTGGAAATTATAAGCATGTGCAGTGATGAAAATGCACATGAGCCAGCCTTGGTTCCACATTCACTATGGAATAACCTGAACCCCATTTGTTGTGTGAGGTTATTTATAAATGCGACTCTTCAAAAATTCATAAATTGCAATCATTGTTCCTCCGTTCTTTAAAATTGAAAGTAGACAGGGGCAAACACACGACTCAAAAGTGTAGATTTGTTTTGCATGTATTTGTTTGTGTGTGCACAGAGTGTGTATGAGTGTGTGCACGGGTATGTTAGGATGGGACCATTGGCTGAATTGAACTGTTTACGGTGTTCTAGCAAGGGTGCTAACAGAGTTACCACCTTTCATTGCTTTATTAGCTGCACATCACTTCCCTTGAGTATACTGTATTTTGTGAGTGTATGATGTACAATGGTGGTAGATAGATTCACATGTTGTCTTTAAATATTTTGGCTGTCACCTGTGAAGAATTGCCAAATATTGTAATCTTTCCTATTTGTACCTTCTTTTATTCAAAAATGGCGTGTACAAATGGCGTATTGAATGTCTGATTGTCAAACTACAGAAATTTATTTTTGTAAAATTACGTAGTTTCTGTCTGTTCTGTTGTGAAGTGAGAAATGTTGCAGACTCTTAAATAGATTTAGTAGCAGCATGCTAACTTATTGAAGCGATTGAGGCTGCGTCTTTATGATGATGCATTTTATTTTACTTGGATAGCTCACCAGTAAAAATATGTTATTTCCCACAGCAGTTAATGGTACAATTTCCTCAGAAATGTTTAAGATTTAGGGCAAAGTGTCTTGGGAAATTATTATGCCAAAACATGCTCACTTTAGCATTCTCACACACACACACACACACACATTCACTTTTTCCTGTGGGAGAACAGTCGGCTCTCATGTTCTCAAGGGAACGATGCTCTGGTGGTGGCTGTGTGGAGGTACAGTGCCATGTTGGAGGGTTAGACAGAACAAGAGGGAATATGGGCACCAGAGCTGGTTTAGGAAGCCGTATGGAGGTTAAATGCAGCCTTCTGCTATAAGAGAAGAAAATACTTGTTGATGGCGTTCAATAGTGAGTGAGTGTATACTACAAACACAGTAATAATCAATACAAAATCTGGATGGCCATTTGCAGATACTTTAAGTGATTTTCAGGCATGAAAATACAATATGCAATAGGTGCAAAGAAAGAAGATTAAAATGATTCCTAGCTTCCATAGCTGTTGGCTGTTATTTCCAGAATCCTCATATACTGTCATTTTATTATATTTTAAACCTTTACAAGTTATCCAGAAACATTAGAGGGTGGCTGCTGCTGCTTCTTCATCATCTTCTTCTTCTGGCATCTTAGGAAACAGCTTTAGGAGCATTGCCACTTTCTGGGCTGGGACTACAAGCAGAGTCCTTATGTAGCTTAAGAAGTTGCATTCTCTATATGTAGCACGATGTAAATAGAGTGTAGAAATTGTATCTAGATTTCCAACGAAAATAAACAAATTAAATTGATAATTGTAATTGGGGCCTTATTTAAAATAACCAATAAAATAATTTTTTTTATCCTGAATATATTGTTCTCTCACTTCAGAAAACATGTTTTGTAATGAACAACAGCAAAAATATTTTAAACAAACTGAATGCTGGTTGGCTATTGTATCTTAGAGTAGAGATTGTACAGTACCGTGAACAGGCTGTACAGCCTTATAGTGCACTTTAACACACACACACACACACACACACACACACACACACACACACACACACACACACACACACACTATGGTATTTTCTTATCTGTCTTTCAATCTGTTTTGGATTTTGTTCTTTTTGTTTTCATAAGGTTCTAAATAGGCCACACCAGACCCCCACTAATGGTTGACTCATGACCCAGCTGTTCTGAGCAACAGATTATTATCACATTAAGAACAAGACTGACCACTGTAACAATTAAGCCTGGAAGCGTCCCAAAAGACACTCTGCATGTGTTTTTGTCCACAACTAATGCTGAAAATTGCTCACAGTGAACAATGGTGCATTTGTCAAATTCATATTTGATATGTCTAAGGTGGTGAATTTATGATACGGTTTTTAAAGATGTTCAGTGCTTTTCTAGATGGAGAATGTTGGGATAATACCAATGGTCAAACATGTTAATTGTTGCTGTCATAAAAGTGAGTCTCTGTGACAAATAAGATATTTTTCATTACATGATGCTTTGTAGGTGACAAACCTATATGGTATTGTAAGATGTACATGTTGTGTATCTGTACTGAGCAAATAAATGTAATGTTATCTCAATGTATTCAAACGCCCTTGTACTAATTACTTTGCTACAAAACAGAGGCATGGATGTTAAAGCGTGTGTGTTTTTCTGTATGCTGTGTTATTTGTGACAAATATAACAAAGATGGTTAATTACAACACATTTTTTTGCACAATTATATTCAGTCGGTGGAAAAGCTTAGCTAAACACTGCTGGCTGAAGATCAAGTTGTGTGGCTGATAAGAAAAGAAATAAGAAACCGTGACATTCACACAGAATTTCCCCTCTTTTTCCAAATTGTAAACGCTTTGGTGTAGATCATTACAGATAAAAATAAGTTGTTGCTGTGTTAACATGCTGTACATGGACTGCACTACCGCAGCACCATATTTGTGCAAGCAGTTGGTCTGCTGAATTTGCAATGCTGGCAAAGCTACAGTGGGAAATGTTAGTGGACTCAATTGAGAAAATAATGCCATGAGAGAATGCAGGCCATTGTAGTTTTGGCAGTGCATGTATGTATGCGGTGTTGTTGTTGTGATTTATGCTTCTTCTGTCTGTCATCTCTGTTCTGATCAGATGCACATTTGGCCGCGCTCTCCTTGTGCTGAAGCAGTATACCAGTGCACAAATGGCATAAAAAGTAGGGCATGAGACAGATGATTAAGATTTAATGATAGATGACGCTAAGGTGACGAAACAGCGCAACGGGTAGCTTGAGCATGTGGTCTGTCGAATTCAGATTATTGTAAAGGAATGACAGAAGGAAGCACAGATATTAAGTGATCAATATTTTGCTTTATTAAAGAAGGAATTGGAATTGCATTTGTGTGATGAAAGCGTATGTCAAGGCTCTACTAATTATTTACAAAAGCATTAAAGTAACTGACATTCAGTGTTTTTCTTGTATAATTTAAAATGCAGTGAAATAATAAAAGCATAGCTCTCAGGGTTGTTTAGGTTGGGGGAGCAAGGTTTGTATCAGGCTTGGTAAATATCGCCCATGTTCTCCTGGCATCTCAGCAGGGTCCTTTAGGAGCAGAGAAAGAATAACAGATTGACATGTCAGCTATTGTGTTGAGTCAGAGAAAATCAGGGACATAAACAATAGAGGGCTAGCTACTCAGCCTTCCCACGGAAGCCCTACTCCGGTACTTTATTCCTAGCTTTAGACACACACAAAAACACGTACATGCACACACAGAAGAGTTTATGTTGTATGTCTGTAAGAAGAAAATGTTTTGTCCCTTGACTTATAATTAATATATAGATGTTTGATTTCCCTGCGGTGCAACTCTGTCAGTTACTTGTCACTGACAGTAGACTGTGCTTTGACACATCTGTAATGTTTGTTAGGACGCTCAAACAGAAATTGAGCATGAGTAGCTCTAGCTGTTGGTTTCTTTGGCTCTCATGCTGGTTACCTCATTTTCTGTTAATTGTAATGAGAGTACAGTGAACTCCTGACGGGGTTAGACTGATGGCTTGTGGTTATTCAAAGAGGACTGTGCAGTAACCAACAATTCTCAAATGTATTTATCAAATTAACTTATATTCCTTTATGACACAATGTTGGAGGAACAATCAAAAATGTACAGTTTCTGGCACACACGATTATTCATTTTATATACAGTAATATATATATATATATATATAAAATATATAAAATTATTAGTAGTATTTAGTAAAAATATGTTGCTTTGGTTGGACACTGTTGTTGGTGGGGTGTTATTTTTATTAGATTAGAACATTGATATCACTCTCATGTCCATGTTAATAGGGAGCTAGAGTGATTAGCCTAACTTAGCATAAAAGCTTGGACCAGATGGAAATAGCTAGAAACACCTGGTTCTGACATAAATATCATGTCAACATGTCTAACAGCACCTCCAAAGCTCTTTAATCAACGTGTTTCTAGGCGAACATCAGTCGAACTTCTTGGAGGATCATCATCGCCGCAAGGTTGCCTGGCAACTAGTGGAGACTTCTGGAAATCACTTTTGCGCTTTTGATATTTTTACACTTTGTATGTGGATTAAACAAACAAGATACAAAGTGTTAATTAGTGAACTTAAATGGTGTTGGTTAGTGCATATTTGACCTTTGGACAGTCGTCTGCCTCTGATTCCAGCCTTTATGCTAAGCTAGGCTAACTGCCCCCTGGCACTAGCTCATTACTTATCGTACAGACATGAGATTGGTATTGATCTTCATGGCAAGAGAGCATATAAGTGTTACTTTCCACTATTGCTTTAAATGTTGACAACATACTGAGCAGGCTACATACTGAGTGGATTAACAGTTCTTTGTGACGCAGTCTAACCCTTTAAAGCCACCAAAGTTGAGTTTTTAAGTATCACCTAAAGTAACACACTATCCTCAGCATTCTCTTTCTCTTATTGCTGTTGGTCTCTAGATCACTTGAATTGCTCTCACACTTCCGTCCACTACCGCCACACACTGAATATGTTTTCTCTCCTCTCTCACGCTACCCTCATTCCAAACCTCACTTTAACTGAACAGACAGACAGACAGAAAGGATGTTAATTGGCCATTATGTCAGAGGTCTTTGTACATGCTCTCAGCACTTCAGATAAGTATGGCTAAGTGGTGCTTGTATAAACATGGATCCTTATCATTCACTGAGAGACTGTAGCCCGGTGTAATGGGCCCTTCACACTGGACACAGTAACTCCACCCCTGTGCTCTAAAACTCATCAATACCAATGACCTTTGCTGTGAATTAACAGATTTCTGGAGTGCCTGTGTGCAGCTTGTCAGTGGCCTTGTGGCTGAAGTTCAACTGATGTGCTTCTGGTCTAACCAGGAATAACAGAATAGTCAAGTAAAAGTATTCAGACTACTTCAACTAAAGGTTTCGTTTCACTATTGATTAATCTGGCATTTATTTTATAGATGAATCATTTGGTCTAAGAAATGGCAGTCACAACCTCCCAGAGCCCAAGGTGATGTCTTCAAATATGTTGTTTTGTATGAGCAAAAGTCCAAAACCCAAAGGTACTCAGTTTACAATTATATATAACAAAGAGAAGCAGCGGATCCTCCAATTTGAGAAGCTGTAATCACAGAAATATTTCTATTTTTCGATATTTTTGCTTCATAAGTGACAGAAAAGACACAAAATTAGTTTTCAAAATGGTTGCAGATTGATTTTCTGTTGCCCAATTAATTATTTCAGGTTTAGTAAATTAGAATTGTACAGAAACTGTGTTAGAAAGACTCTCAGATCAGTGGATGGGACATGTAACGTGCTTTATTCAATGGTATTGTACCGTAAATATAAAACACCAACAAGGATACAGATCCTACTCTGACCAAAATTCCTTTTAACAATCAACATTACTCAAACTTCCCAAAGCATGTAGTCGTGCACACACACACACACACACACACACACACACACACACACACACACACACACACACACACACACACACACACACACAGAGCGTACAGTAGCTTACAGGGTGTGGTGGATGTTGTGGAATGGACTTTAAAAAAAGCCCTCTTTTGTCGGTCTCTGATCCCCATTAGCTCACTTTGTTTTAGTATCCCTTTCTTCCTGCATTTCTTCTTATACTTGCATTATTTTTGTTTCCCTCTCTTCCTCTGTGGAAGTTGGAACAGAAACCTTGGAAAAAGCAGAGGGAGGGACTTGATGGGCACGGTAACAGAGAGACCTAGAAGGTACAATTAGCTACAAAGAGAACGAGAAAGAATTGATGATTAAAATTAAGAGATTTCTGAGGTCTACTTTGACCATGGTAGGTGCAGGATGCTTTTGTTAGTAGGGATTTTAAGCCCCTGCAGGGATTAATCATAAGCTTCAGTCCTGCCAAAGTGCCTTTGAGCAAGGCACAGGATGCTGAAATACTTGAGGAGCACTTTCTGACATCCCAGTGTGTAATGGAAACATTTTTCCTACATGGATCGATGAAGTATCACGTTAATTTGCTCATTCACCATGAACTTGGTGATACATTATTGTAACTTGTGCTGACTGAATGGAAATGCTTCTGCTGATTGTCTCATTATCCACTGATGGTATGAGAGCAGGGTCCTGGCACCAAGCTACAAGGAATGCCATAAGTGAACTGAACTGAATGCCCTATTTTTTTGTATTACATCACGCAACATACTGTCCCAACTTCAGAGCCACTTCACCTCCAAATACTGTATGAAGATATCCTTAATGTGCATTTGATTTATCATGTAATGGCCAGGGTGTCTTAGAGTAACATTATTATTTATTTAGAAGCTGTTTGTTCCAAATACATAGATCATCAATAATGAAATGAGGGGTTATTAATCTTGGCTAGTTTAGACTCTGCTCAGGAGTAGTTACTGTGTGTGTGTGTGTGTGTGTGTGTGTGTGTGTGTGTGTGTGTGTGTGTGTGTGTGTGTGTGTGTGTGTGTGTGTGTGTGTGTGTGTGTGTGTGTGTGTGTGTGTGTGTGTGTGTGTGTGTGTGTGTGTGTGTGTGTGTGTGTGTGTGTGGTATTTCCACTCTGTTGTGCTCTGTCATCACAGCGGAGGGATATCCCTGAGAAATATGTTGCCCCGGGCTTGTGTATGTACTGTATGCAGTCGGGGTTGTGTTCACGCCTCTGTACTTGTATCAGTGTATCCTGACCCTGAACAATCTCGTCTGACGTTTGTACCCTCATAGAGACCTTGTGTCCACCATGCTAGCGGCTTAGCTCTGTGGACAGCAGTGTCGGTCCTGCTGTCACATCGGGTTGGTCCACCACTTCGGGCCACACTGAAATATCTACTACAACTACTGGGTGGCTACCTTATTAGCACTACACACACGCTGGTTTAGCGCTAAACTAAACTAAGATAGTCGGCATGGTAAACATTATACTTGTTTAGCAGTCGACTTGTTACCATTGTTATTGTTAGCAAGCTGACGTTAGCATTTTTCTTAAAGCGTCACTGTGCCTAAGTACAGTCACACAAAGCTATAAGCCTGGTTGTAGACTCTAAGTCTTTGCCAGTGGCGCTGTTCTGCCCAGTTTTGATGGGGGAAAAGTATGACAACACCCTCGATCCTTTAAGTTATGGTGCTCTTTTGATGTTTGGAAACAAGTTTTTTTTCTGGTGCATACATTTTTATTCACACCGTCACACATCTCCTGCTCTCTGTCCTTGTCATCCATCTATCCCGCTCTCTGGAGAAAATGTCCTTAGAGTTGATTTACTCTGGTACAGTTCAGATTGGTGATGGTAGAAGGTGTGATGATGAATGCTAAACACCCTGTTATCAGCCTGGTGTTACACAGTTAAGTCTCTGGTTATTTTTCTATTATGTGACTTCCTTGTTGATATGACCCTGAAGTAGGGCAATGTATCTCTCTCTGTGTTTGTGTTACATGGTGTATTTGGTCAGTTTTCTTTGTTTTTTTCAACAGTTTATCAGAGCTGCCTAGTTATTGTTAGTAACTATTAACTACTATTATTTTTAATCTTAGCTTTGGCAACATAAGATTTGCTTGTAATGTTCTAAAGTGATTAAAAATATAACTGAAATGGACATAAACAGGGAGATGTGTACAGTCTGTACTGTAGAAGAGAACACTCTGTGCCACCAGTAACTCATCCTGCCCCATACAGTAAATCTCAGCAGTGGGTTGGACCACCACATATTGATGAACACTGACCACTGCTGGGCCTCTATGGAATTTCTTTCCCCAGTAGTTTCTAATAAAACTTCTGGTGACTGATGTCCCTCCTCTGTGACACAACATCTTCACTTCTTTTCACCCACGTTGACCTTTTTGTCTGTCCCACCCTTTTTTTGTGTCATTTCTAGGAGTCCCCTCAGGACAGTGCCATCACCAGGGACATTAACAGGACATTCCCAGCTCATGACTACTTCAAAGACACTGGAGGAGACGGACAAGACTCCCTCTACAAGATCTGCAAGGTGGGACACACACACACACACAGAGGATGTTTAAATTACGGTTTTAATTATGGAGCCGGTAAATAAAAAACAGACCAGTGCAGTGCGCAAAGCTTCATCATCAGTTACAGCTGACTGTATGCAGAGCAACTGCATAAACACATCTGCAGCATGTATTCCTTTCCTCTGGCCTTCTTTCTGCATCGTCTGCATTAAAATTTTAACCTAAATGCAAAATGCTCTTTACTGAAACTTGACACAGTGTGTCATCAGTTTTTGACAGCTACAAAGTATGTCTGTAAAAGGTTTGTAAACTTAAAAACAAATGGCGGAGAAAAAGAGAATTTGGTGGAATATCTACAACCCCTTCGTCACAGTGAAGAACTGATTAATACCACACAACCTGTCACAAGTGTTTCTTTGGGGGGATTTATTATAAACATTGTGGCCCTGACATACATTTATAACCTCCTGATTACTGAGGATGATTCTGTATTTGGCAAACTGTAATTGGAGATATTTATTTTCCTTCAGTTACACTGGTGAGATGTAAATAAACTGTCTTTTTGGTCGTGGCGGTGCTCACTGCAAGAACCATTTGGAAGTAACATCAATCTGCATGTGAACGTTTCCCTGTGATACAGTGCAGTTACTGTGTAGATGACTTGCTTTACAATAAGTCTGATGACAAAGTTTGTAGAGCAGTAGTGAGAGTTGTCAGAGCTCAAAGGAAGTGATCATTAATTAACTGAGCAGCCACCAAGTTTCTGGGTGGTTCAGTGAGTTCACTGCCTGTCTACAAAAGCAACATAAGTTTCTAATCGAACAAACACACACACACACACACAAGACTCTACTACAATCAGTCCTGCTGCACAGCTCACTCTCACACACCAGCATACGCACACACACAGTATACACAAACCTGGCAACTTCTCACAAAATACTCATTGATCGGGAAGTGCCAGTGCTTTTTCTCTCATGAGAATGAACATGCACACATGCTATGCACACAGTTTTACCTGTGGTTCCATAATCCCATATGAATGGTCCGGTCTTTTTGTTCATTTTCATTTCATTCATTATGCATAACTCAGGTGAGGGCATCCATCTCTTCTCAGACAAGCACCTCCTCAGGTGTGTTTGAATAATTCAGTGGGCCCTCCCTTGCCTCTGTGTGTGGATTGATCCACACTTTGTCTGTTTGACTTGTACTAATTATTTGTGTTTGTAGCTCAGTAGGCCACCTTTTCCAAACTCTTTCCCTTGCTCCCTTCCCTCATAATTACTCCATTTCCTCTTTACCAACACCTGTCCCCAACCTGTTTAGTTTCCCTCTCTTTGTCCTTTCCTTTCTGTGTGTCTGTTACTCTCTACTCAACGTAACTTTTCTGTTTTTCTCCTTTCCCTCATCTGTGTCTTCCTTTATAGCTGTTCTAATACCATTAACAGGGCACTCCACAGTACACTCAAGTGCGTTTGATATACAGCACACAGTGAAAAACTTCAGCAACTTTAGATTTCTAAAAAGGGAATAAAAATGACTAGATATTACTCTTAATAGCTTGTACAACATTACTCAAGTGCTCTATAGCCAACCAAGTCTGCTGTGCACTAAATATTTATACAATTTTTATTTGACTGATATGATGGTGGTTAGATAATGGTCATTTTTATGACCGTGTTTGTAATTTCTCAACTTTTCTTTCATTTTTGTCCATTTAATTGTGCTTCCAGTGTATCTTGAGCCATATGGACGTCTTTCTCACTACTAAGTACAAGTTCAGTATTGACTGATACTGAACTTTCCCTGGGCTGGTTTGCCAACCTAAATATGTTGTCTCTGTCTTCTGTTCATCTCTCTTTCACGTTACGTTTCATCATTTGATTCTGTGTTGAAATCATAAATACTGTTTAATGTGGATGCACAGATAGAACTTTAGTTCCTATATGAGTACTTAAAAATACAATTACAGTTGTAATTATGACTTTGAAAACATTTTTTTATTGTTGTATTTTCATCAGATATTCCTCACTTATGTCTTATTGTCTTAAAATATCTCCAAACTGCTGACAGTGACTCTCCACCGCCTACCGGCTCAACTAACTTGAGGTTAACGTCATGTTGCCATAAGGTGGTATTGGGTGCGATGGTAACTGAGTAGTTTTATGATTACGAGTACATGAGAACAGTATCTGACCCGCTACCCAATACTGGCATTGGTATTGGTGCATCCCTACTGTTTAATGTAGCTTTCTTGGTTTGAATCAACTGAATCAGTTGAAAGGTGACAGCAATTTTTGGACTAACATCTATTATACAATTAATGATTTTATCATAATTTATTATCCCGCATCAATTTAAAATTCCCTGTAAAACGTATTACTCACTGTGTGCCCGTTTGCCTTTGTCCTCTCCTTCAGGCTTACTCTGTTTATGATGAAGAGATTGGTTACTGCCAGGGACAATCCTTCTTGGCTGCAGTGCTGCTGCTGCACGTGAGTATCACATATCTGCAGGGTCCAGCAAAATGCTAGATTTTCAAACAATTTCAAGAGCTGAGAGGGACTGTTTTGTTTTCATTTGACATTGCATGTTTTTGACATTCTGCAATGCTAGAGGATTGGCCTGGCTTATGTCTTGGAGCCTTGTCTGTAGTATATTCAGTGTAAGATCAGATGTGCATGATGTACTGTTACTGCACTAGAACAGAAATATTTCAGATGCAAGGTGGTATCTGTGGGATACTGACATTTTATATTTATAAATAATGTATAATATTTTCATGTTCCTCTGCCACCCTAGAGTGGCTTGCCTTAAAGCACCCCTGCAGTTCAAGGGACATGGCAACACTGCCACCTAGTGGACATATAATATCAATGTCTTCTTAGCTGAAGACTAGAGGGGATTTGACATTTTAAGTTATTTAAAAAGGTCAGGTAGTCGTATGTCTACAGATATTTATATGGGAAAGCTGTGAAGTAAAATGTTTGTTTATTAGACTTATCTGAAACCTAGAATATGAATTCACACAAGGGTACTAATTCCTAAATATTTTGTGTTTCTTCTTCAGATGCCAGAGGAGCAAGCTTTCAGCGTGCTGGTCAAGATCATGTTTGATTACGGGCTCAGGGACCTTTTCAAGCAGAACTTTGAAGATCTGCATTGCAAGTTCTTCCAACTTGAGAGACTCATGCAGGTATGTGTGTTTCATTTTCACATCTGATGTGCTTTTTTCTGAATTTATACCATAGCAGTGGTTGTTTGTCTGTTTACTGACTAATGCTATTTGTTTTTCTCTCTATAACCTGACTTCATTATTTGCTTTCTGTCTGTCTGAAACAGGAATATTTACCAGACCTGTACAACCATTTCCTGAATGTGGGTCTGGAGGCTCATATGTATGCCTCTCAGTGGTTCCTCACCCTCTTCACAGCCAAGTTCCCTCTTTACATGGTCTTCCATATCATTGACCTGCTACTGTGTGAGGTTGGTTATAAAAGACACAAAGCAGCTTCATTGGCTGCAGTTAACACATTCAATCATACGGATTTAATTTTCAATTTCTTTCAATTAATTTTTGCAATTTATGTACACACAATATCCCATATTGTCAAAGAGAAACCAAAATTTAGACATGTATACAATAACAAGTAACAAAATAGAGAAGTACTCTAAGGGTTGGAAACCAACCCCGCTGGGGGGCGCCAGAGATTGCAGGGGGTGCGCACAACTGAGGTTGTGAGGTTACCAAAATTATTATTTACAAAAATTAAATTTATAAAATCCCAATAACACACCTAATTGGATAATCAAAACTCTGTATAATCCAAATTGAAACATATTTTTGGTCCACATTTTAAATTCATTAAGCTATTTATTACCTATTTAGTGCATGTATACGGGTAGGGGTTGGGGTTGGGGGGCCTAACTTGTCTTGGACACAGGCAAGGGGGGCTTCAAGGAAAAAATGTTGGGAACCACTGCTCTAAGGAACACTTTGTAATGACAGTCCAAACTGAGTTCACATGCATCCTGTTTATTTTTATCATCTGAGTTATGTCTCCAGAAGTCGGCTGAGGCAAATGTAAGCCCCCATGAGTTGAAATAACAATAAAGTTTGAAGTGAGAAGCACGGAGTATGAAATAAGTTTAATAAGTTTGGAACAATGAACATTCTTCCGGGAGCTGCCTGTTAGGCTGAAGTCAGTAAAAGATGTGTCCACTTGAAGTGGTCAGAGAGCATGGGGGAAAGGATTTCTTGATAAGACAAAAATAGGTTTTTGGCCCAAATGTATTTGCCTGCTGTATCTAGTGAAAACCATGTCCCATTCATCACTTGAGTAATACCATTGTTATGGTTATGCATGGCACCATGAACCCGTAATGATGCATCACAGCAGCACGAACTGGGAGACTGTTCAAGATTTCGGAAATGATGGACAGACCCAAATGCTGAGAGGAAGACCTGGTTTAAATCACACACAACCTCAGACTAAGGGGAAGATTGACCTTTCAGCATGGTGGTCCGGGCTAAGACAACCGGAGTGTCTCTGGATGTCTTTAAGTGGGCCCGTAAATACTGAACCTCTGAGGATAAATCTTAAGTTTGTAGTTTTTCAACTCCTTCCTGTGAAGTGTGACACATAATCTGCAAGGAGGGGAGACACTGTGCAAATTCAAATATGCAAAGCTTGTAAAGGGATACCATTAGAAACAACTGCAGCACTAAAATAATGGATCTGATTATTTACTGTATATAGTTTTATTTTTTTTTATTATTTTTTGGGGCCTTTATGCCTTTATTTGACAGAGATAGCTGGAGAGAGAAACGGGGGCAGAGAGAGAGGGGACGACATGCAGCAAAGGGCCGCAGGTCGGACTCGAACCCGGGCTGCTGCGTATATGGGTCGCCAACTCTACCGACTGAGCTAACCGGGCGTCCTATAATTTTATTTTTAATGAATCTGGACTATGTGTTATTATTGAGTATTATTGAGTATTGTGTGTTTATTGACGGCAACAAATAGTTTAAAGTAGGTCCTAGAATATAAACATTTTTACATTAAAACTCAGTTTCTTCCTACAGTAACTCCACAGTACACCATGAATCTGAATGTGTGTCTTCATTTTCAGGGCATCAGTGTGATCTTCAATGTAGCCTTGGCACTTCTGAAGGTAAGGTAGCCCACACAAATACGTACACACACACACACACACACACACACACACACACACACACAAACAACAACAGCACTGACAATCACAGCTTTGAGTGGAAATGGAAATTAACACATATGTCCTGTCACTGTCAATTCAGAAAATGACCTTAATCATGCTGCATCATGTTGCAAAAATGTTCTGCTCAACAGGCTACTCTTGCAGTGGAAATGTGTGTCTGATGTTCTTGTGATTTGTTCCCATACTTCTTTCACTCAGACATCGAAAGACGACCTGATCCAAACAGACTTTGAGGGTGCACTCAAATTCTTTCGTGTCCCGGTTCCGAAGAGGTATCGTTCTGAGGAAAATGCGAAGAAACTAATGGAGCTGGCCTGTAGCATGAAGGTGAGTTTAAAGAAAAAACAATAATATAATAGAGTCTCAGATCACTATTAACACACAGTCACTATTCCTGTTACATTTGTAATATTGGAAACAGAAAAACTCATGAAAAACTAGTCAGTATTTCTGCTAATCAGATAATAAAGTTAGAATGTAATGGATTGAATGAACAGATAAAACATCTTTGGAGTTCAGCAGTGCTACTTAAATACCACTAGGGGCCACTTTTGAACTTTAAATCGAGTTTATCAGATGCAATGAGCACACACTCCTCTCTCTTTCTGTCTCTGTCTTTTAAACACACATACACATACACTCACACACACCTGTGTCCTGACCTGTTTTGAACAGCCTGGCCTAGTTTAGAGGACTTGACTTTGAAGGTAACTTTGGGCAAAGATATTTATTAGCACAACCTCTGTAAAGGAGCCAGCGTAGTGCTTTTTGGTTCTCAGTTAGACAGGCGGGCAGCAGAGAGAGACGCACAATAAGCTACTCCAGCAGAGAAAAATCTAGTGGAACTAAATCGGAGACAGCTGGAGTTGCTGTGCGGGCTTGAAGATGTTTCAGTACTCATCTTAGAGGCATCAGTTCTGAACATAAATCACGAGTTTGAGCTGATGAGGCTTCTCAGATGGGATTCACTCTATAAAACACACTTTCTTTTGACTTGTTTATATTCTTTATGTAACTGTTAAGCTCAGCTATGTGTTATCAGCTGCGTGTTTTAAGCAGTTACACAGAAGCACGTCGACCCACCGTTTACTCCATACTGTATTTACTTCAAGAAGTTACTTCTAGCAAATATATTGGCAAGAGAACATAATTCCCACAAGTTATTTGGCAAATTGACCTCAGGGAGTGCTGCAATGTTGGAGCTGGAAATTAAATCTGAGTCAAGGTAGGCTAATCTGAAGCTTGGATGTCACTATAGGGGGATTAACTGACCAGATTACTGGTGTCCTCATTGACTGATGATACTGCCTTCTGATTGGAGCGCAAAGCTTTCTGGGTTGCCAGGTGCTCTAACTTAATTGCCCGTTTTAGCTCAGATTTGACAGGTATGTCATAATCTCATAGTGCTATTTTAAACATGATTTAAATGTCGGATTCTTACATGTGAATTACTAACCTGGGAATTCATCCGTGCACATTTTATTGATGGAAAAAGCACAAAATGATGGAAAGCTTAATTGGCTACATGGATTTTTTTAATAGCTTTATTTACAGTATATAACAGGTTAAAGTCAAACATCCTGGTCCTTGACCCTTTGAACTGTTGACTCCCCTACTTCATGGTGGAATTAGTACAGGATTATAGTGATCTTATCTCAAGAAGAGGAAAGGAAAAGGTTGTTGTGCACTTAAGGAATCAGTGTTGAGTGACTCCTAGTGGGAGGTATTAAGAGAAAAACTAGTAATTGTGGTCAAAGGTCATTATAATCTGACAATTTCTTAAGTGAGTATGTGGCGACGGCAGTCATAAACTACAGTCAGGTCATAAAATGTATTCAGGAGGCAATCTCAGGGTCTAACTAGGGTCATTTATGTTGGCTCAGTGTATAGTTGTTACACCTACTTTCTCTCCTCATCTGCCAACCTTTTGACTTCTAAAGCTCAAATATGCTTATTGCTCAGGGAATTTCTATGAAAATCATGAATACATGCAGGGTTTTATTTGTTTACCTGTGCCATCTCTCTATGTTTACCTCATGGCGCTCTACCTTGTAGCTGGTACATATAAGTATGTATGCCTAGGTATTACTACAGTTAACAGCTACATATAGTCACAGGTTTCCCGCTGTTGTGTTAAAGTTTGACAACCTTTTCAAGCGGTTACTTTTTGTGTTGCAGAAACAGAACAGCAGCCATGGAGAACAGGGTTTTTAACAGGGGTATTTGGTTCACATGAGCAGAGAATGATCAGAAAATCACCCGAGAGAGCAGGTGGTTTTACAATAGGCCTCTTCTAGCTGCTAGTGTACTTTAAAACAATAAGGACGATGCTGCACAGGTAATTTGCTAATTTATAATTGATCCAGGGCTTGTAAGATGAGAAATATATTATGCAGCTGCACTTGAGGTAGCTGTGGTTGCTCTGTGTTCCTAATTGCTTCTCTAACTAGCAACGTCTGGAGACCCAGCTGTCAGTCAAGCAGCGGGAGAAAGCAGGGGGAAAAAAAGAGTGAGAGAGGAGATGGATGAGGCAACTCCTGCCCTGAATGACCTCGTTTTCTTCCTGTTGTCTGTCTCCCTTTTACGGGGCAGAATGTGCCACCAAATACACTCAGAGAGCACGAACACCCACACACACAGAGACACACTTAGAGCCGGACAACATATGGGCCATGCTGTCCCAGTTCTGCCAGCATCATTAGGTGATGAGTGCTGGGCTCATTTGGATCATCTGATATACTGTAGCTTATACTAAACCTGAAATTGTAACACGCTCACGCTCTCAAAGACAACTGTGCATTGATGCTGCAGCTGTAACTAGTTGCATTAAAATCCACAGAATGAACAAGCAAGTCTTGTACACAGTGTTGGTCCTCGCTTTCATGCTGAAAATCAGGCACATAGTGTTCATTGTGTTATAGCTGTCTCTTTTCAAAAAGTCCAATGTGAGGCAGCGGCTGGTCAGTGAAAGGCCTGTTGATGAGATTGCCTAAATACAGTGTGTGTGCAAACTGCAGCTGTAGGCATGAATCTGAGTGTGAGTGTGTCTTTAACTGGGACGCTGTTTCAGGTCGTCAGAGGTGTACCACTGAACCTGAACTCTTATTTACTGAATTTTGTGTTCATGACCACAACAACGTGATAAACTGCTCATATATAGAGGATTCCAGGTTCCATCAGAATAACAGAGTAAAACAACACAAAGGCTACAAAAGTGTGTAATTAATTATATAGTGTAAATCGGGATTAGAAAATACAATGTTATCTCAATAAGCCATTAAAACTCATATACACATGTACACTGCCTTCAGGGAACATTAAGCCCCTGTTGATGTGCATGTTTTGGTTTAATCTTGCTATTCTTTGATTTCTGTGTCTAGTAGTAACTTTATATTTTTAATTTTTGCATCAATAGAAGACCTTTTTTAAAACTCAACAAAACAGTTAGGTGGCACGAGTTGATTTGGACCGTGTGGACAGTGATACCCCAGTGAACTGGTTTGTCAGACAGAAATTAACAGTAGCAAAATGAGCCTATAATCTCTGCATATGGTCCATTACATCTTATTCAAGATGGACTAAAGAATGCCATAGTCCAGCAAAGATTATAAATATTGGGTCCTTGTTTACAAAAGCTTGGGAAGACTCTTCTCTGGCAGCCACCATTAGTGTACGAGCCAAAGACTATTGTGCTGGTCTATATTTATATCTTTGATCATGTGTGTAATTCTTCCGACGTGTGATACAGTTAATGAGCATCAAACGTTTGTTTTTCTCACTGCTCAACAGATCAGCCAGAAAAAGCTGAAGAAATTCGAGAAGGAGTACCACACTATAAGGGAGCAGCAGGAGCAACAGGAGGCCCCCATCGAGAGATATGAGGTAGACACACGTGCACATTAACTTAAAAGACTCCTCCATGACATAAAACAGAACTTTTTTCTGACAAGAGATCCCTGTTCTTGTTGGAACATAATGTCTTTAAAGCGCTGCACCACCTCTGGGAGCAACATGGCAAGTAGAATTAGAGATAAAGGCTAACTATTTTTATATAGTTTATAATTTAACTATTTTAGTATCCAAAGTGTTACAATTGATTTCACAACTCTGCAAATCTTTGGTGTAGATAAAGGTGTTATTACTATGTAGTGTTAAAACTACCACCACAGTCTGACAGATTTTCCACTGAACAGAATAAATTTCTCTTTTTTTTTTTTTTTTTATGTAGACCTTGACAGTCCTTGTTCGTAAAAGAAAAACTACATGGCACCAAAAAAGCCATTAATTGTACATGCCATAAGTCATCTCAAGGGTAAGGGGTTGGTTGGATGCAGTACAAGATCATCAATTACAGTGACTGAACTTCTGCTTTGTTTGCTCTTAAAAAAATGCTTATAAAAAGCAAATACCATTTTCAAAAGAGGTGTCTTTAGGTGGTTTAATTATTGCTATCCAAGGAGATTTTCATACACTCAACTATTAAGTCACAATTTGATACAGTTGACTGCAGTCGGGTAGTGGTTCAGTCCAATGAATCTTCATAGTTTGACTTTAAGATGCTAAAGCATATTATCAGATTATCACCATTGCAATTCTATAGGTATTTAAATCCTTTTCAGCAATTCCAGATTCAGACTTCCTTAAGTCTTCAGTTTAGGTCTGTTAAAGATGGACGGGTTATGGCCTGTTAAACATTACAATCTCATGTGATCACAGTTAACTTTTACACTCACACAATCTCATTCTGTATATTGTTGCATTACTGTGGAAACCACCAAGTCAGGCTTGCTTACACATTCACTTGCAACTCTTCATGATTAACTCCTTTTTCCCTGTTCTGCTATCTCTTCACTTTCCTTCCTCTTTCGTGTTCCCTCGCTTCTCTGCGTTCCCACTACGTTTCTTTGTCTTCATCTGTCTCTTTGTTATTTTTTTGACAACATTGTCTTTCCTGCTCTCTTCCTTCTCTTCTCCCTCTCTCTATGAATGTCTCTCTCCCTCCGTCCAGCGGGAGAACCGTCGTTTGCAAGAGGCTAACATGCGTCTGGAGCAAGAGAACGACGACCTGGCACACGAACTAGTCAGCAGCAAGATCGCTCTGCGCAAAGACCTCGACAACGTAAGCCAAAGAGAGAGATAGAGAATATAGTTGTATACTTTTTCTGTTTGTATGTGTACAGATTCTCATGAAAATGTCAGTCATTGCTTCTATAAAGACATTTAACTGAAGGAGTGGTATATGTGGCAACAATTGTGCAAGAACTGAAACATGAGGGAGAGTGAAAGCACAAGTGTGTTTGTGCAACAAATACATATACATGTAGCAAAAGCTTTATCTCCACAGAGTATTATTATTTGTGTGCATCAATGTTTGACTTTACTTAAAAGGAGAGACGGTAGAGAGAAAACTGAGAAGAAAGTAGAGCAAGTCTAACTTTCAGTGACCTCATTGACATTGAGTTATTTTCTCAAGCGTGTGTGTGTGTTTGTGTGTGTGTGTCAGGCTGAGGAAAAGGCAGACGCCCTGAATAAAGAGTTGCTGCTGACCAAACAGAAACTGGTGGACTCTGAGGATGAGAAGAGACGGCTGGAGGAAGAGTCTGCACAGGTAAGAGAGCCAACAAAGACAGATAGTTTAGACATCAGTCCAGCTTTTCTTTAAATCTCATGTGGCACCCAGGGTTACGGATAGTAGGAAGAGTTCAGAACTATTCTCAGGTGAAGGCATTTTCAAAATGACTGTGAAAAGAAGCTACTTAAATCTCCTTTCCCGGGGTCAAGAATGAGACTAGCAGGAACTATGCAATATTAATGAGATCTTATGGATAGAGCCAAGAGTCTGAAGGTTTACATTCAAACCAAACACTGCAACAGCTGATTTTATTGATAAGGTCTCTGTGGATGATGGTGGAGCAGAACTGATCATACCACAACTGCACCCAAAGGTAGTGAAGCTGAGTTTATACTTATGGGTTCAGGGTTTATAAGATATTAAGTTTACTGTCAGTAAGGACTAAAGAAATATTCACATTTGACGAGTTGAAATCTGAGATTTTACTTTTTTTTTCTAAAAAAAACTATTAAATCAATTTAATAGTACTTAATACTAAGTAACTAATTGATTAATCAACTGTAATATGCGCCTCCTCAAAAATGTAACAACACGTTGGCGCTGCCTGTGTTTTCTCCTATGAGTGTCTGATGCTGATGGAGATTGTTGCTAGTCATGACAACATTAAGGAAATTATTATTAATAATAATAATAATAATAATAATAATAATAAAAAACATAATTTATATTGCACCTTTCAAAAACAGGTTTAGAAAGTGCTTTTACTACAACACAAACAACAGAACACTATGAGCCATAGCTGCATCAGTAACAATACATAGAATAAAACAATAAACACTGTAAAACATAGGAATAGATAAAAGATAAAACACGGTGAAAGTTGTCAGTAGTCTTTTCCTTTTCAGTAACACATCTTGCATAGACATTATGTTGCAGACATTCTGTTACCCGCGATAGACAGGAGGCCAAAAATTCATCTGGGGAGACTAAACAAAACAGCCATTATAGGATGAATTTCGACCAGTCAAGCCATTAGACCCCCTTAATATATCAAATGTCAAGCTCAAGTATTTCTGTCTGTCTCTGCCTGTTTCTCTGTATATTCACCTTTCTATATACAGGTCTGTCTGTCTGTCTGCCTGTCTGTGGACCACTTTCCATGCCTTTTTATCCCTGTTATAGTTGTTTCTCTCCATGTAATACAAAAAACTGTATTCCAGATAATTTAAGGGCATCTTCCATCTTCTGTGTCTATAAAGATGCATACTCTCCACAGTCAATCCTCCAATCCTTGATTTTCTTCAGTTCAATGAAGAAACCTTCTGAGACGAAGGACAGACTTGCTTCCCCCTTTTCCCATGTGTGTTCAATGCTGTTGTCCAAATGTCTCCTGTCTTCTTGAGTGTGTAGGTGTAGCCATGAGTGATTTATGTGCCTGCATAGAGGTTGTATGGAGGGCGCGACTTTGCCCTGGGCTTCAAATCTGCCAATACCTTTTTCTATCTTCTTTACATGTCATGGCATTCACACGGTCTCTGGGGCCTCTGCCTCTGTCCTTGGTCTCTGCCCTGCTACAGCCTAACAGCAACTGTGCATGTGTTTGTTTCCACAGCTGAAGGAGATGTGCAGACGAGAGCTTGATAAATCTGAATCGGAGATTAAGAAGAACGGCTCCATTATTGGAGAATATAAGCAGGTATGTACTGTATGTCTGAAAGTTGAATTTGGAATTTATTGCATATAGAAATCACTTAAATTAAGAAGTCAAATAATTTGTTGATTCCTTCCAGTTTGCATATGCAGCATTAAAAGCCGTACTGTTAAAATCATATTAATTGAAGGTCCAGTGTGTAACATTTATGTGGCTATATTGGCAGAAATGGAATATAAGATTCATAGGTAGGTTTTCATTAGTGTGTTATCCTTTATTATACCTTAGAATGAGCTGTTTTTATCTACAGAAGCAGTAGCCTAGAACGGAAAAACCAAACATTAGCTCTTACATTAGCGATTACATTTTTCACAGATTTCACGGCCACTGTAGTTTCTCCTTTGCGCTTGGAAGGGGAGGGTGAAGCGAGGGAGTTCTACACACTGGACCTTAAGTGTGTTTCTTCCCTCACAAGTACATTTAAGAGACATGAAACTGGATGTATACATCTTAGAAAGTAAACATATATACCTAAAATAAAATACAAAAATAAGAGATGTAAGCTGAGAACGAATGATGGTGAAAATAAATAAATTAAAGGGAGAAAGACATACACAAAATATCACAATCACATGGAGTCAGAGGATTCTGATTCTACATCAGCAAATCATTAGCAAATAAAAGAGTGCTAAAAAAAAGTAATAAAAAGCAACAGGAAAACCACACAGGTAAATAAAATATATTACGATGGACATAAATAAAATAAATATGACCAACCCAGCCTTACGTACTTGTGCAGATCATTCTACACTCCTGTAACAAGCTCTGTCTCCCTTAGTTTTACGCCTGGACTCTTAAAGTTTCAAACTACAAACAGATCCATATTGAGCTAAAAGGTCTGAAATATAGCAAGCAGCCAGGGCATTAAGAACCTTAAAGGTAATCAATAACACCTTTAAATCAATCCTAAAACCTACTGGGAGCCAGTGTAAAGAGACAAAAATAGGTGTCGACAAATCACACCTCTTAGTTCTGGATAAAAGCCGAGCAGCTTAGTTCTGTACAGCTTTTGGTTCCCAGCAGCGAGAAGGTAACTGCACTTATTATTTCAAGAGTTTTAGAATTTGTTCTAATCTGTGGCTTGGATAAAATTTCATGAGGAGCTTTAAAATCTAAAAAAGATGAACAGAAAAGCTGCTCATTAATCTGGAAGAAGCCCGTAAGACTCTCTTTAACTCATCTTTAATTAGCAAAGCTTCTCTTTGCTAATTAAAGATGCAGTGAACACAAAACAGGGTAGGACCGTACGAGTAGTGTGCAATTTATGATCAGATATAAACGTCAAATAAAGCTGTAGGTCCACGTTGGAGTTCGGCCAGACACGTGTTAAAAATGTAAAGATTTAGTAGTATTTAAACGACTCACCATAATGCAGAAGGTACAATTCATAATGTTTTAACAAGATTGGATGAAATACTGCAGAAAAGCTGCCAGCAGTTGGCGATCTCATCATAGCAGCAAGTAATGGCCTGAAGGTTTGTTACCTTATTACTTCTATTATATCTCAAGGCACAACATAATTCAACATCAACATCTCTTGTTCTGCTCCTTCAATCATCATCATTAAGATACTCCCTCATACTCTCATCAAGAGTACGGCTTCATTTGTTACTGTTGCTTGTAGTTTTGTTAATTTTGTGTACTGTTACTTGGTTTTGTCTGTTTTGGTTCATTTTGTGTGCCATATCCTGAACTCTGGATGTTTGAAGAGTGAGTCTTTGAGCACCTCTTCACCACTTACTGTATCTTTCCTTATTTGGCTCGTCTTTTCAGATCTGTGATCAAGCCATTACCATGGCAAGATAACCCATAAATATTTAAAAATAATATAAGAGCAATCTGTGTTCATTCACTCATCTAGTTTGTGAAGCAGAAACGTCTAATTTTACCAATTGTCCTTAAGCTGAACCCAGGGCCTTTGATGACTGAGCCTGTGAGCATATTTTGAGTTCTTGTCTCTCAGAGTTCCTCTTACGGTGATTTTCATCCTTTCAGATCTCATCCTGTCACTTAATGCTTAAATATAAACCTACCCAGATCAAGTACTATTACCATCAGCACAGAGATATTATGCAACAATGCAGCTCTTATCACCCCCGTGGGGGCAGGCAGAAATAGCACAAAGACTAATTTAGAACAGACCTGAACTTCACCTGAGTCTAAAAATATTAGCAGCGGATTGGAATTGACAGCAGATCTGAAAACCGATGACAAGAGCTGTCGAAGAGGAGAGGGGATTTGATGGTTGTGTGTGTATTATGGGCGAAAGCAGCCTTCAGATTGCAGGCATGCAGCTGAGAAGTGTGCTGAGCAGAGCTAAGTGTGAAAATGGGGCTTTGACAAAAATAGTTCTTTTTGTGACAGGGAGGAAGGGGGTGATGGATGGAGAGAGGGAGAAAATGAACAGAAGTCTGTGGAGGAGAGAGGGAGGACAGCAGCATTCAATCCCCTGGGATTGACAAGTTGAGGAATGCCCCAAAATAGCCTGCGTTGTTTTCCAACTTAGATAACTCAAATTATTCTTCAAATAGAATTGTACTATTTCAGTGTCTGTGAATGCCAAGTTTATTTTTGCGGGATTAGAGCCAGAAGAGCTTTGTGTGTGCTAATTGCCCCTCCAGCCCACGAGGACAGAGAAACGTCTGTTAATGGTGAAGCTAAAAGCAGCGTTGAGTGGTGTATTGTAATCCCAATTGTAGGAGCAGAGCCAGTGTGGATGCACTCGGGCTAGCCGGGTACTTGCCAGGTACAGGGACATGTGCGGGTGCTTGTGTCTCTGAAAACTGCAGGAAATAAAATAAATATAACCAAATACTTTGAAGCAGGACACCAGAATATTCAGAACAGTGCTTGATTGAGCATTGTATCCCAACTGTCTGCTTCTTCTTCTAAAACTGCATGTGCTTACAATATGCCCATTTTTAACATACTGTAAACATGCATTATTGACGATGAAAATAAACATTTTCCCAGGCAGTGAAGTTACAGCAGGACTGGATGAATTATTGAGCGAAAACATTTCAGATAAATAAGACTGAGATTGTTTGTGGAAAAAAACGGAATATGAAAAAACATAAAAACAAAAAAATGGCCCATGGGTTTTAAGCTTGAATTATCAGAAACAAGCATGGTATGTGACACAACAGTGTTAGAGAAACAATAAGAATGAAAAAAAACAACAACTATCCTGTTCATCCTGAATTTAAATGAATTGTAGTCCTTGGCAGTTTGCTTGCAGATGGTACAGCAATAAGGATTCCTGCCTGACGCGTACCCCCATCTTGCATAGGCTCGAAATTCCAGCAGAACACACTGTCCTCGTCACTTTGTCCCTCTCAGCCCTTTAAAAATGATCAAAAATAAAAGTGATAGAAAAAATAAAATGCCTACTTTCCATGTGGGCGACAAAACTGATTGAAGGCAGAGCGGTCCCCACATCTCAAGTTAAAGCTTCATAAAGTGAAGAGACGTACAGCATGCCGTGGAATAGCACTAGTTAAAAAAAGGAAGCAGGGAGAGTAAAAGAGAAAGGGGGCAGCGGTGAGATCAAGAGGGATTAATGATCAGTAGATCAGTAGTGATGAAGGGATGTTTGAGTGAGGGGTACAGTAATGGCAGTTGAGAGCAAATGAAGGAGGGGATGACGGGAAAAAAAAGATAAAAAGACACGTAGGAGGAGAAAGATGGATATCTGCTTGGCTAAGGATACACAGATAGATGTATAGATTGATTTCTACAAGTTGGAGGAGGAAGAGATATACAGTATATGCCCCAGGGAATCAGGGAGATATGCACAGAGCAGATAGAGAGATGGATAGTCGGTCTACAGAGAGGTGGGATGACCCGATGTTCCCGTTAGGATGACTCATGTCACATCGATCTCTCTGTTCGCTGGCAAGCTGTGCGTGGGTGCGCATGTTTGTATGTCTGTCAGCGTGTTTGTGGCTGTGGGTTATAGGTACAGGAGGAGGTGAACGAGAGATTGGGTATATGTAAGGATACACATGCATACATCCGGTGAGCCCTGCTGGATAAACAGGACCTTGTGACGCCACTAATGGACTTACAGTAAGAGTAAGAGGATAAAGCCTCGGCCACAAAGACTGATTTACCAAGAGCCACAAACAGAGAGAAACAAGGCTGTGCACCAAATAACTGATTTGTTATGAAGTTAGATTTTTGTGCTCCGTTGTCCAATTAGATCCTGGCCCTATTGTAAAATACTAGTAATTTTTAGTTTCATTCCCCCAGCCTAGGGTGTTTATTATATAGAGCATGTTTATTTTCCCACATTTTACTTCTTCCGGCAACCTTAGAAACAATGTTCTAAACTCATTTATATTAATATACATATATTACACTAGAATCTTACTAATGTGATAATACAAGTTCATTCAAATGCACTTTATACTCGTAACATATAAACTGCATCTGTATTTTGTTGTTTTCAAACGTACTATAACACAAGGGCTTTCTAACTCGTTATAAAACACAGTCTCAATGCGATACTGATGTCTCTATACGACTTACATACACAATGGGCTTGAGCGAGTACTCGTCTGAAACGAGATAATGTACTTTCTTATGAGTATTAAACAAGTAAAATGTGTCAGTATCCGTACTCACCAACCCATATCAATTTCAGGCTTCAATTAACAATGTTCTGGTGTACCCATTCTGTGTAGACATAAGAATCCATAGGGTTTAGCTGGTCGAACAGATACAAATGAGGATAACGGTGTACTTGCTCATCTCTAATAAACAAATAAGAGCATGAGCAAAAAGAATGGCTATTATTATTCTTGTTATTCTTCATGCCTGCTAGCGGGTTACATTCGATCAGGCGATCAAGCCGATGGAAACACTACCACTTTTGTCCACTGTGGCCACTAGAATAAAGATGAAATGAAAGTTCCTTGTAGCTGCTTTAACACAGTGCAGCTCCCCATATACAACAGTGGTACAGTACTGCATATTGAGTGTCACGTTGAATGGCTCAGAAGAAATTCAATTGACTTCAGGTGAATTGTTGATCAAGTTGATGGCAGTCTGAAAGCAGCGTAACCGAACAGACTTTCTCTGTCTCGTATAGATCTGCTCCCAGCTGAGTGAACGACTGGAGAAACAACAGACGGCCAACCGAGGAGAACTGGAGAAAATCCGGGTGAGTTTTACACACAAACACATACACCTTCTGCGCGCTGCCTGGTGCATTCAGACACATGCTACAGATTCACAACTATAAGTGGAGCATTATTACAGAGCTGTGCTGCCAAATGTATGAATGCGTCTTTAACATTTGCTACTTGAAAACATAATGATATAACTACAGCGCTAAGAATTCTGGATGACAGCCAGAAACTGTGTCACTTTATTACTGGTATATTTTCCTTGTGCAGGTTGATTGTTTATACCCACATTATGTTAGAGCTCAGATGATGTTAGAAGGTGTGGTCAACTCACTACACTTTATAACAATATTAGACTGGCACAATCTCCTGCCCCCTGAGATTTGCAGGTATGTTGGGAACTGCGTTGCCATCTCATTGTCTCAGCTGGCAGTGAAATCAAAGCTTTTGGGTAAGAATGAGGACTTAGGCCAAGGAGCCCGAAGCCCGGCATCTCATTTCCAGCACTTCAACAACTTGGCTCATGAATTGTTTGTTTATTCTGTAGCTGGGAGAAAGGCCATTTTGGCAGAAAGCTCAGTCAGGGCTGCCCAAGGACTCACAAAAGGACAAACAAAAGGTTTATTGCAGCAAGGACAAATCTTGTAGAGGATGTAGCTCTGTGTGCGTGTGCGTGTGTGTGTGGGGGGTAGAGGTAAATGTCCGCAATTATACTATCATGTTTGTTCTAGTGCTTTTTTAATTTGATTATTTACTAATAATGGCAAATGCAATAAAACTGTCAGCAACTGCAATTCTAACTGATGTAGGGGAATAATGAATAATATATAACAGTAAGTTACAACAGTGTTAATTAGAAATGTTTAAATAATATACTGACATAGTTATTCACTGAAACTCTATTTAAAGTGACGACAGAAACAATTTCAACTCGGGCACTGTGCTGCTTCATTAATGCTCTCATCCACTTCTGCAGTGATGAGCTTAGAAAACGTTATGTGTAATTACCAATCAGCGTTAAACTCGGTTGACAGTTTAATCCAAATGAAATGTAATATTGTTATGAAATATTAAATTTCGGGGAACATCTCAACCAACACACTCAGCCGTATGAACGGATGTGCTGTGGGAAATGTGCACACTGCACTAATCTATCAACTGTGGTCTCAAAGGAGTCAACCTACTACCCCGATCCTGCCCAACCTGCTCTGCCATTAGGAGATCTGTTTGCCGTGAGACAAATTTAGAAAGAGAAAGTGAAGCAAGAACACTCACGCTATCATTTCTACGCATGTACCTTTGCTGCAGTTTCATTGTCTTGGTTTAGTCTGAGTATTTCTCCACTTTTAAAACACCTCCAGTGTAGCTTAGCTCGCCAGACAAAGCTAACGTCCTACTCCCACAGCAAGATAGGTACTTAAACAGATTAACACTACAAAACAATGAACATGTTAAAGTACCTGAATGGGTTTTTGTCTAGCAGCACAGTCAGTATGGGCTCTGTTTGCAGTGATTTTCTGTTGCTGCTTGCACAAATGCTCTGTGCCCAATAATAGCTCATCACATACAAGGGCACCCAAAAAGAGCTCTTTGACTAAAGGGCTGGGTGGAGTGGAGCCCTGACAGAAGAGGGAAAGCGCAGTTGGCTTGTATGGTTACTACACTAATGAGCTGCCATGCTTCAGTAACTACACAGAACACGCCGTCTCTTCTCAGATTGTAAAAATATCTCTGCTGCAAAAACACAGACAGGGCACATCACAGAATGACATGGTATAGATATTTGCATTTAGTTGAGACATTAGTTGTCTGGTTAGACGTCTTAGGCATCTTCAGCTGGTCCAGTTTATCTTTTGATTTTCACTGGTAATAGTCTTTAAAGGTGCAAAAATGTCCGTCAACCAAAAGAAATCAAACACACTAATCTCCATTGCATACACATCACTGTCTAACCTTTCACTCACACAGAGCTTTGTCGGATGCTTTGATTTCTTTTAATGGACTTTCTAGGTTGAGTCTTATTTTTTCACTTGCACGTATTATTTCTATGGAGCCTGGGAGAAGTCATGACGGCGGGAAAAACAACTTATCACAGCTCCCAATTTAATAATTTGTGCTCTTGAATTAGTAATTTTTGTTCTCAAATTATTAATTCATGTTCTCGGTTTAATAATTTCTGCTCTCAAATTAGTAATTTGTGCTCTTGGATTAATAATTAGTGTACTTCATTTAATAATTTGTGCAAATGTACTTTACTTAATAATATTGTTGTTGGCTTTAGACAACTGCTTTCAAACTCTGTCCCTTTACATGGAATCTTTCTTTCATTCTGCCTTTTTTCTCTTTTACTCTCCTCAAGCTTAAAATTATGTTCAGTATACAAGCGATTGGTATAAAGAGGTCAGTCATTACTTTGTTTTTTCTCTCTAACTTTTTCAAATTTTTCCTTTTCTAGTCCAAAGTGGAAGGCTGTGAGAAGTGCAGTAGTCTTTTCAACAAAGAGGGTCGCGTGCGGGCCGCTGTGACCACGGTGCCCGCTGGGGGGACTGAGGAGACAGACGAGGAGAAGGAGGGTTTGAAGAACCAGCTGAGAGAAATGGAGCTGGAACTAGCCCAAACCAAACTGCAGCTGGTGGAGGCTGAGTGCAAAATCCAGGTACATGAACACACAAAAATCAAACTGTAAGAGTTACAGATTCAAATACACGATCGTGGCCATAGACATAGACAGTTGTTTTACCCCCTGATGCTGGAGGAGGTCGGGAGTCAGGACTGATCTGTTGAGTTGCACTAGAACAATATAAGTCTTGTTAGTTCTGCTCCCATCACAGCTAGCTAACGCTGTTGCTGCTGAAATAATTGGTGAGTTTGAAGAAAAACAGAGTGAGACAGAAGATAGTGAACTATTTATTATAAAGGTTTTTTTTTTTATCAACTGCAACTGTTGCTGTGTGAGGAGTTTATTGGGAATGTCAAAAAGGCAAGATAAGGATTTCATATAATTAATGTTGTCTCTGAGAGTGGGAAGGGTGACATGTTGCTGATAAAATTACATCTTTAAAAAGTGAAAAATGAACCAAAATCTGTTATTTATTTGCAGACAGGTTTGACCCTTGTTGATCTGTGTGACAGTCATATTGATAGCTCTTGTCTTCCCACTTCAATCAGGACCTGGAGCACCACCTGGGTCTGGCCCTCAACGAGGTGCAGGCTGCCAAGAAGACCTGGTTCAACCGAACGCTCAGCTCCATTAAGACCGTCACTGGGACCCAGGGCAAGGAGACCACCTAATCTGATAACCCCGTCATCCAGTTCAACCCAGACCATGTCTGGAGTTCAGTGCAACTCACCACGCTGAAACCTCTGGATGCCTCACTTAACCCACTGGGCCATAACTTTAACTTGAACATTGATCGTTAAATCCCAGGATGACCATTACTACAGACTGTGTTACTTGTTCCTCTTATCAAAAATGTCCTTGTGTTTCCCTGTTCCCACCCTTTCTGATCTAATCACCCCCATTCATCTCCTCCCCTCTCCAACCCGAATGACTACGGCCGCCTGTGCTGATGAGAAGGGGTTGAAAAGCATTAGATGAAGTACAATGGTACCACTTTCCCCAGAGAAACAATGTGCTTCCACCGGTCACAGAAAAAAAAAGAAGAAAAACGTTAAAAAATGAGAAATGCTTCATTTATTTCTGTCTTTGTACTGCTGATATTAAAGACCCGCAGAAGGAAGGTAGGACATATGAACTGCAACTGTCCTGATGGGATAGAGAAAACACTCCGTCCTTCCTGACTCTTCTGCGTGCTCCCCTCTAAACTACTGGCACAAACCAACCAGTCCCTGTAAAACTTTTGTTTTAGGTACGAGAGCTAATAGACGCCTTTTCAAAACTGAGCTTTTTCTAATTTACGTTGAACAATACCTTTCTTTTTCTATGTATGTACATGAATGTGCTTATGTAAAGAGGATACGTGTGTTTAAGTGTGCATGTTTTTTTGTTTTTTTTGTTTTGTGCTGACTGTGAGGTGTTTGTGTGTGTGTGTGTGTGTGTGTGTGTGTGTGTGTGTGTGTGTGTGTGTGTGTGTGTGTGTGTGTGTGTGTGTGTGTGTGTGTGTGTGTGTGTGTGACTGAAAAAACATGTTTGAATGCATAAATAATTGACTGCAATAACGTTAAAATGTGTGTATAAAAGAAAGAAGGAAGAGAGCGTGTGGAAGTCTAAGGGAAAGAAAAAGCACTAAAGTTATGAGTGTGTGCATGCATGTAAGGGAAGTTTTTTCCTGATTGTCTAGTTTCCTTTAATGTTCAAATGTGTATATGACTGATGCTAAAGAAAAGTTTGCTGACAAAGCCTTGATCTGAAGGTCGATAAAGATGAAACTAGCGGATATGAATATATGATTTACAGTCAGAACAGAACCATAAAGGCTGTTGTGATAACCTACAGCAGCATAATGTTCCTCATATCAAATTTCAGACAGAAAACATGCTTGGGGTTTGTTTGGTTTGGATGTCCTAGCACAAAGAAACAAACAAAAAAAAAAGCTCCAAACCATGCAAACCTCTGCATGTGCTATACAGTAAGTGTAAGTATGTTAGAACACTGTTTAACTCCAGAGTGGTGCAATGCTGGTTACAAACCATAAACATCACTTAGGGGAAGAGTAAAGTCAAAATGGAAAACACACACACATACACAGAATGTTGTAATTCCTGCTGCACTTGAACACACCTTTAAACCCGCCTCCCTCTTCCCTGGCGCCAGCTGTGATCTTTGACCTTTAACCTTGACCGGCAGGGTTATGTTTGATACTCTGTTGAGCGGGGTGGCAGGCCGTGTTGTGTTTACTTTTCACAGTTCAGTCAGAGCTTTGGGATCTCTTTTACCACTGTACACACACAAACACTGAATTACACTGTTTTTATCAAGGCGGGTACAGAACAAACACTCAGTGGCCACTTTATTAGGAACACCTGCTTGGTAAAGTGGTCGTCTGTGTCCTCTAAATTTGCAGACAAGGTCAAGAGGTTTGGTTGCTTTCTGGCAAAAATATCAGGAATGTAGAAATCTTGGCTTGACTTTAGTTTCTGTAACTGACAGCTAAGACCAAGAAGATGAGGTAGGCACAGTAGGCAGGTGGTTGCAAAAAATTGGGAAATGCTACACGACGCAACAAATTATAGTTTCTGTTATCACATGCTGTCAGAATTGGTGTTAAAAAAACTGGTATCCTGTGTTTAGTTAAAGGCAGATTCTGGTGCTGTAATGGCATTTTCTTGGCTTCCAATAATATCCCATAATGCTGCTGCGGTAATCCCGCAGTGAAAAAGCACTGTTACTGCCAGGTGTGTCTCTTCAAGGCACTCGTCATCTCAAGACGGATCCGGCAACATGACCGAAACTTGTGTTTATTCCGGCTGCTTGCACTCGTCTCGGTAAAGCACCTTTGGGATGAGGTGGAACAGGATGACCATAAAACAGTCGTCTCGCAGCTTCCCAAAAAAAAAATCTGCGGGAATTGATCGACTTTATCGAACCAGCGTGGAGCAAAACTCCTGCTACACATTTTCAACACCTTGATTAATTCATGCCTCAAAGAATTCAGTGTGTTCAGGAGAAGAAGAAAAGGGAAAAAAAGCAGATGTTGAATATTGAAGTGGGCACTGAGTGTATACACACTGTTGTGAATGTAGGGGCAGAAAAGATACAAACACACACACACACACACACACACACACACATCAAGACACCTGTTGACTGCCACAAGTGTAACTCTGCACTTTAAGTGTGGATCAGTATCACAGGACTTCATAGTGATGCCATCAGAGGTCAGACTGGTAAATCAGTGGGGATGGAGGGGCGGTTTAAAAACTGCTTTGGTGCGTGTGTGTTTTCATATTTAGCGGACTTTGAAAGGTCGCTCAACAATATTTCAATTTCTATTCATACTTTATGAATCATATTAGACTGAAGCAAAAAAAAAAAAAGAAATAGCTATATTAGTTTTGCCAGCCTAAAATGAACAGTTACTGTAAATTGCGTCTAACTTGAAGGTTGAATCTGATTGGCTGGAATCTACTTGTGATGTCAGAGGAAAAGTCGAAAAAAAAAAAAAGGTCGAAAAAGGCCATTCCTCTAAAGGCACTGGGTTGTATATAACAAACATTAAACAATGAATATTGAGTTTTTGTTTATGATTTTCTACTCTGTAACTATAACTAATGTTGCCTACTTGTACCTACCTACCTGCTGCCGTGCTACAGTTTAATCCACAATGATGTTTTATGTTTTTAATGTTTATTTTGCTCCAAGCTTCTCAGTCAGACTGCTGTTTGGTTAATTAAATGCCAAAACGTAGCTTTATCATCCAACAACAAAAACATTATCAAGTGTGGAAATTGTAATAGTGTAGGATGCATTGTGTATACTTCATGAATTTCAATATAAAGATATCAACACAAAAAAATAAAATATGTCCGCCTCTTTCTTTTAAGTGTGCTCAATAACCGCAGGACTGTTCAGACAAATGTACAAAGCGACTGTTCTGGTTAGGGTTAGGGCTGTTAAAGTGGAAATGAAGATGAAACTGAGTCAAGCTGAAGGTATTCAGTTCATCCAGAGCGTACACAGTCAGCAGGAAGAGCTCAAATCAACCGCTGATCACAGAAATGCTACAGACTAATGATGTCTACAGGAGCTGAAGCTGAGAGAACTAATTAGCAACGGATCTGACAATCGTTTTATTCATTTATTGAGGAAAAATATCAAACATTATCTGGCAGGAGCTTCTTTAATGTGAGGATTCGCTTCTTTTCTCTCTCTGATTGATTGTACTTTGAATATCTTTGGGTTTTGGACTGCTGGTCACACTAAATAAGACATTTAGAGACGTCACCTCGGGCTCTGATAAACTGTGATTGGCATGTTCCCCAATGTTCGTTGATATGAGATAGATATGAAACTAATCATTGATCAAACTAAAACAAAGTATTGACAGATTAACTGATAATCAAAGTGATGGGTAGTAGCAGGCCTGCTTGAGCTGGGTATTGTTTCAAATCTGTCAATATAAAGTACTTACCAAAACAACCAAAACACTTTCTTTTTTACAAAATACATTTATTTTCCTTTGTCAAAAGAAGCAGAAATGATCAGATATTAAATAGTCTACAAACAAGAACTTTACCTAATTAAAGTCTAAAACAGGAAGAAGTTTGGTTTAAATCAGGAAATATTTAATCACAGAATAAGTAAAGAAGTAAGTAAAGATTACCAGACACTTAGTGACATTTTTCAAAATCAGATTTTACTATGAGCATTTATTTATTTAGTCAATTTATCCTGATATTTTGGTGCTGTTATAGTCTCTTTCTGTATCCAGCTGAATTAACATATTATGCCTCATCAGAAAAGGCAGAAGTTTCACCTCAAACAGCTGCTGGAAATAAAAACCATCGTCTGTACCATTCGGAGCCACTTTCCCCACATCAACGCCTTCCCTTGGATCACTTTTAACAAGAATGCGAGCTCTAAATAAATTGCGTTTGAGGCTCTTCACCCATCTCAGGATGTCGTCTGAAATCTTAAACACTGGAGGTATTTATACTTATTTATTGGTGTTTTGCATCGTTATCCGTCTCCAGAGTTCAAAGTCTTCTTCTATTAAAATCTATAAAAGCGAAAACATGTCGTTTCCCTCTCCGTTTCCTCAATAACATTTCATATTGCAGCAGAAAAAGGAGGACAAGATAAAAAGAGCTGCTGTTGTTATAATGAGACTTCTCTAACGCACCTCTTGGGAACACTTCTCCGGACATCTGAGAGAGTTTTTGAACATGAAAATAAACCCGTTTTTCTCCCAGCTAAATATGTCTTATGAAAACAGCCTCTATCTGTCAGCCACTTGAGCTGGATGGAAAGCTCTTCATAGCTTTTTTTTTTTTTTTTTTTTTTTACTTATTCCGGCTCTGGTTCTTATCTCTCATCTTCTCCCTCAGAGAACATCCCTCATAGCATACAGTCGCATTGTTATCTGTGTCAGGGATGAGCTATTTCCCTGCCGTGGCCTCCGTGTATAAAACGTACAGTGTGCAGTGATCTTTTGCTGGAGGTCCCACATATATCATTTGGAGTGTTTATAACTTAGTGCAGGCCCATAAAATTATCACCTTTAGCGATGACGGCCGTCGGGATCTTGGCTCTGCCACTGCGACTGCAGATTGCAAAGCAGCAGGCATCACGAGTTGGAAACCCGGTACCTGCAGCGGCTGGAGGTAACAAGCGTCATCATTATGCAATCAGCCTGACACCCTTCCTCCTCACCCCCCCTCTTTCTCTTTCTCTCCTGCGTTACAGAGCTATAAATACAACCAGCGAGGCAGCAACAGCGTAAAATGCAAGAGGAGGAATGCTGATGGGACGGCCGTGTTCGGTTGCTGCAGTCGTTGGTGATTTGTGAGTCGGGGATGAGACTCTTTGTGTGTGTGTGTGTGTGGGGAGCGTCAGAGGGGCAGTGTGGAGCTATTTGGATCCCAGAGCCTCCCAACAACCTCCTGAACTCCCCGTCACCCGATCTTCCCGACTGCAGACACACACACACACACACACACACACACACACACACACACACACACACACACACACACACACACACACACACTGAGCTCAGGCTTCTCTGACTGCAGGCAACTTTAACAGGTTAACGTCAGATGGGAAAAGTAACTGAACACATCCAGTTACACATTGCACACGTCAAAGGTCCACTTTAAAGGATAAGTTCACAGTTTTTCACATCTTAGAACAATAATTCACATGTGTGTATGTACACTGACACAGTTTTTGGTGGCTGTAATTGTCCATACTTTCCATACTAAACCTTTCCCAACACAATTCCAGTGTAAGAGATGAGAGACAACATCCCTATAGTCCTTGCTCTTTGTAAAAATTTTGATAATAATTGTTTTTTTAAAGCAAAATTTGAAGGTATAACTTCATTAGACAAATCAATCGTGTATCTTTTGGTACAAAAATTTCTCTCTATTTGTTTCCCAGACATTGTTTCCTTACTGAGGGGTTGTACCTGAACCAGTATGGAAAGTAAGGACAATAACAGTGAGCAAAATGTTTTCAGGTATGTGAGTATTGTGTATGTAGCTGACAATATTGCTGATGTTGTTCCTGTTTTAGTGTCACAATGAGTGATGTTTAGCTTTAACTAATGACTGATTATCAATAACAAAAAATGAATGTCCAACAACTTATCGATTAATCAATGAAATGGTTACACCGAACACTGTTAGGTGTAACCTAAAAAACTAAATGTATCCAAGTTTCAACCCAGGTGACCTTCAAATAACCAAATTATTGCTTAATAGTGATATTCTCCTGCTAATATTTTTATCTAAGAACATTTTTATAAGGGAGACTTTTGCTTGTTTGCATTATGGTGTCAATACTTTTACAGTAGGGATTTAAATATTTGTTTAAATCATATGTAAACAGTATGTTTTCTCTTGCTCACACAGACACACTTACCTCTCTTTTGCCATTCTTTACTCACTTGTGGACTGCAAATGTGGGACTACATGGATGCTTGAAGCGGCCCCTTGAGGTGAACTCCTGTGTGTTGAATCTCGTTAGTCCTGTTGCTGTTATCGCATTTGTTCAGGAGAGAGAGGGTGAACAAAGTAGAGCCCCCACCTGTTCAGAAAAGATATTTGTCGAGTAAAAATGTCACACTTCTCTGCTGTGTCCAATTACTTTGCTATCATTTCCCTGTTAATGGAGACTTAAGCCTGAGGATATTCTTAGGGAGGGAGACATATCATTTTTGTTAATCCATGACATCTGATTATCATAGTCAAGGTCTTCAAGTTAGACTTGAGTGTTGGGAAAAATAATAAGAACTTCCTCTCTACAATATTCATAGGTCTTGATTTTTAATATTTAATGGACAAATCACCCTCAGTAGGTAAATGCACCTTTTTAACATTCAATTTTCTAAAATATGCGCTCACAGTGTAAATTAGAAGTGGTCATATTGAAATTAATTTGGAGATCTCAGAAAATACTTGATTAAATTTGGTGTTTTCCCCCCATTTTCCACTCAGAATAAACTCCATATACAACACTTTCCTGTACCAATTATTCCACCTGACTGCCTTGGTTTAATATCAATATACCTCCACTAAACTTCATTTAAATCAATGCTGTTGTTCTCCAACTAACAGCTTTTAAGGTCACAAATATGTCAAAAGCAAGGTGGAAAGAAGTGCTACAGCAGGCAGAGTTCATACAAATAAAAATCCATTATCCAGACTTCAAACACTCCAGCTTGCCTGGTAAAATAGTGATTAGTAAACTTAAATGTGTTGTGGTAAAGACAAGAAGTTAGGTCTGATTGGCAACTATCTCAAACTGCACAGAGTGTGGAGGAGCAAAACGAGTTTTGCACTGACACACGATCTACCTGAACCCGAATTTCATGATTAATTAGAACCAAATTAATTGGTTTGAACATTCATTACAATTGGAGATCTTAAGGATGCCCTGTGGAGTTTCCTTATAAACAAACAAAACTGTTATAAAAACTTTGCTCATCACCTACTAGTGGTAAAAAAAAAAAAGTCACAATCAATCAATCAATCAACCAATCAGCAAACTGCTGTTTTAAAGGACCATTGTGTAGGATTCAGATTGCAACCAAATGAATACCACTCGCCTCACCCTCCCCTTTGAAGCATGTAGGAGAAACTACAGTGGCAGTGTAACATTGAGGCTCTATTGTCAGAAACAGAATATAATATTCATAGATATGTTTTCATTTATGTGTAATCACCTGAATATGAGATTCGTCGTGTTTTCGTCACCTTAGAATGAGCTGTTTATATCTACACACGCCTCTGGTTGTCTTCCATTGAATCCACCATGTTGAAACGCCATTTGTCTACAATGGCTCAGAAGGTACAAAGAAAACAAATGTGCTTTTACTACATGTTAAAATGTGTTATGTGGGAAAAGGCCTATTGTTGTAAATTATACAAATAGCCTTTTCTGTGACAAACCTCTGGAAGACAATGCCCATTACAGTATGAAACTGTAGTACTGCGTAGGCCTACAACAGGTTTAGCTAACGTTAATGTTAAATTTCACATTTAATTATGAGATATTTGTAATTTTTAAAAATGTGTCTTAAAATAGTCAGTGATTTTTCCCTTCTACCTGTTCTAAGCTAAATGCAACGACCGTTTGTTTTCGGAGTAACAGCTTCTGGTATAATGTGACGTTTACAGGTATGACCAGGCTTGGAGAGTAACGGATTACATGTAACTGAGTTACATAATAATAATAATCTATAATGAAAAATACACTGAGCATTAATTTCCATTTTTCTTGTTTCCATTTTCTTTTGAAACGTCACATTGTTCTGTAGTCTTACAGGAAACACTTGCATCCATACTTACTTATTGATATTTATTTTTTCTTGTTTTTGATATTTGGGTTTGAGGTAATTCAAAATAACAGAAAGTAATCAAGTTACTTTAATATTGAGATACAAACATGTGTGACAAATATGATAATGGAGAAAAGGCTACAGATTATGTATTCTCAAGCAGCTGTAGACTTGTATCGATATTAGTTTATTTTGTTTATAGGTCCGTTAAAATCTTGACCAGCAATGTTGTTACCTATAAACAGGCACTGAAGTCCTGTGTCAGGAGGGGAGGAACGAGTCCTGTCAAATTAATCTGATTTGTAAGCATATTACAGCTTCCTGTTACCAGCTGAAACATAATACGGGTCATCTGAAGAAGCTGTCAGCAGTCCAAGGTCATTTAATGCCCTGCAGTGTATGAATGTGGACCATGCGTGCAGATGCCTCTGGTATACTGTGTCTCACTGGTTTTCCAGATTAGTGTGTACATAACTCTGAGATCAGGGGATGTGATGAGGCAGCGAGAAAGGGCACACGGCCAAGTTTTTTCTCATCAAACTGTGATCTGATATTTCTGCTTCTGTTGAACAGCCTCTGTTTATTTCCCATCATGGGCAAATTTCTAGACAGAATGAGCAATTACCTCCTCCACGAGCCCTCTTCTGAGCACTGCGGGCTCCTCATTGTTATATAAAGTATCTTACTCTAGACGGTTGTGTTAAGGATTTTTTATGTTGAAGTGAGCTGGCGTATGAACATCGCATTACATTCAGATTTCTGACACTTCCATCTACATTGCCCACGTTCTCGTCACTTTTAGGGAAGAATGATACTATAAAAATTAAGCATGAATGGATGTTGTAAAGGAAAGCGAACTGAACGGCCACATTTGACACCATCCACTGATATCTGCTAAGCAGTGTTTAATTTGTCAGGATAACTGTCACTGGTTGGAGAGTTTAATCCTCATCCTCTCTGTCTCGTTCTCTTTCACTCAGACAACAGACATACATTGTTTTGCAGTAGTTCTTTTTCTGCACACAAATACACACTCATTGCTTTGCAGGGTGATTGGCAGCTGTGGCTGTGCGCTGATGGTGTTGACTGTTGGAGATGTCACCGGATACTCGGACTCAGCCGTCAGCAGTGCTGCTGTAAATATGATTGACAGCTCATGTTGCTGAAGCCCTTCTTCGACAAACTTGCCAATTATCGCCCATAAACTTGTCTCTGTGATTATAGTATGTCATCATGACACCAGTGTTATCACTATTGGGTGTCAAAATGTTGCCTTAATGATGTGGGGAATTTTAAGGTGGAACTAAAATTTGTCACATGAAACCAACCCAACATATTGTGCTCGAGATGACAACTGGGAGTGGTGCAACCTAAATTCAACAATTCATTAAGACCAAAACGAAGACTTTCTGTATGAATCCGAGGGTGGGAGTGACCAAATCAGTATCCAAGAGCCACACCCATTGATACTTGTGGTAATACACAAAACAGTAAGTGTTATGTTAGAGATGTGTTCTTTGTGGATGGTATTTCCGATGAAGACTTCTGAAATGTATTGATTTATATATTATATTTGCATTTCCACATTAGTGTAGGAATATAATTGTTTTTAGCCATTTTAGCAGCTGTATGGAGGGTACTGTGGGGCAGTTGATCCACCACTTTGCTAAAATATTATTATATTATATACTATTGGATGAATTTCCATGAAAATGTTGTTCAGGCATTCAGGATCCCTTCAGGAGGAATTGAAGTAACTGCTGATTCCTGACGCATTAATCATGATTAGATACACATTTTAAATGGCATCATCATGATAAATTGTAATTTGTTTGGATTTCTACTTTTTCTTTTGGTCACATAAAATCTTGAAATGTACTGTATTTCTTAAAATACGTATACATAGTTTAAAACCAAAGAATGTCTTTCTTACATTAAATCTTATGTGCTGTTATTTCCTATAACTTGTTTACACGGTGCTGATACTTTGCAATGTAAACACAGTTAAACCCCCATTTTGTCTTTTGGCAACATTATTTTTCATTCATACCTTTGCTCACCATACATTCACTTACACACAAGTCAATCTGTCAGTTAATCAATTCCTGTTTTCAGTAAAAAAAAGAAGGATAAGGACTCACATATAGAGATTCAGCACTTTTTCCGATTTATTTTCAGTTCGTCAAGCATAGATTATGTCAAAAACAGTGACAACCACAGATCATCACTGCTGTGAATGTTGCTACTAATCAAAACGATCAATACAGCGAGGACCCCTTCATTCATTGTCACTGGCTTCTGTTCACCTGTGAGACTCCCACCCTGTCGCTGTTACATTTCACAAAACATTTTTACTTTGATAATTTCATAGATCGAACAGATTCTGTGGACAGATATCACTTCATAGTTTCATAGGCAGCATCGTAAAACAGTTTCTTTTAATCCCCCCTTTGTCAAAAAATAAAATTAAAAAAAATTATATTTACAGGAAAAAGTAAACACTCATCACTCATAAGACGCTACTTTTGTCAAAACATTATAAATAAAAATTGAATAAGGGGCAAGAAATATGAATCCTATCAGGGTGGATGCGCCCAAAACAACTCTCACACACAAGTAGTTCAAAAGATATATAGATGTATATATATGTATGTATCCATATATATTCTGTATATATATATGCTTCTCTACAAAAAAGCAAGTTTACTCTTCCTTATGAGTAAATACATTCTACTCTACAATCACTATAACAACAGTGTACATTCCCAACCAAAATGCTTTGATCATTTATCAGGAGGATATTGGACTTAAACAATCAGTGGACCATGACCAGGATGCAACAACATGCTCAATGTGACTGCAATATTGTGTGGATGAGCGTACGTGAGTGTGTGTGTGTGTGTGTGTGTGTGTGTGTGCATATGTGTGTAAAAAAGCTTCCCCATCCCCTCGCGTCTATGTGCTTGCCAGATGAACACACAAACGCACACATTTCCCCCATGACGCACATGCACACACACCCAGAGAAAATGATCTGTTCGGCAGTTAGTCTGGTTAACTTTGCCTCTGCCGTCGAAACGTGATGCCGGATCTATTTTTGCTGCTCTGCGGAGTTGAGAGTGCCTCGCCGATGGACTTTCTGGCTCTTTCTGCAGCTCATCTTTCTTTGCTTCCAAAACACATTCAAGCATGACTCCCAGACTCAAACTCCAACTTTCTGTGCTAATGCAATAATGAGCAAGACAGTTTTTATACAGAGGCTGGATTTACACACAGGAGAGCTAATTCTTTTTCAAAAAGATTTTTACCTGACATTTCATAACTGTCTAGACACTGAATATCAGATCACATACCGCCAGGTTTCTCACTTCTGAGACTGCCGGGATGATCAGATTTGCGCAACAAAGGCTTCAGAGTCTTTGGTGTCTGGAAAAATCCCATCCCGCAGAGCTGACCAGTTTCCCAAAAGCATCTCTCCATCATTCACTTTCTGACCTTTGACCTGGCAGATGGATGAAGAGGTGCCTGAGGTAAACCGGGCTCAAACGGTCTCCAAATAGAAAGCCCAAAAAACCTGACGTTACCTGGCAACGAAAGCACTCAGAACCCTTCAAACTGCTGAACATATTGCAGCATCTGAAACGCGTAAAGCTCCTGCATTTGGTGCCAAAGAGGTTCTTTGATGACAATACTCTTCTTTTGTTTCTCCTGACAGCAAAGCTCAAGTTGTTCACAGATGAACTTCTCCAAAAAGCAAACTTAAGAGTAAAATCCATTATATACAGTGCTACAGACAGCCCGTTATACAGCACCAACATAACAAAATGTGGGAGGTGGGGACGTGTTTTCTCAGCTATACATGGCTCAAATCCTAAAGTACAAACAAGGCCTAACCACTTGTGTTACTCTCACTACACACAGTAAAATCTTATGTGTTATATACAAACCACAAAGCAAAGAATGTAATATTGTCTCAATGTGCTCGGCTGTTATTGTCGGTGAATGCTGAAATATTTACATATACGATTACATGTGTGCTTGTGTGTTTGCCTATTTGCATACACGTGTGTGTCAGGTGGCCCTGAGAACGATGTGTGGGTGTATTCGTGGGTTTTGTGCTTCTTAGATTTACAGGTGTAGTTGGTGAACGCCTACAGAAGTCAGTGTTTGTGGAGGACCGGGGTGTTTACAATGGCCGCCACCTTTTCCTGTTTCAAAGCGATCTCTTAGAGACATTTCTGGGGAAAACTGGAACAGGAGGAACATCCATCAGAAAACTCAATGGGACCCAGAGTCCAGCACAAACAACCATTACTCTCTAGAAAAGGTATCCACATGGACATTACCTGTCCAAGCCTTCAAACCGGGATGCTGTGAGCGTGTTTGTTCAAGAAAAAACGTATAACAGTAATATTTTCTATTCAGATTATAGAGTCATCTTCCTGATGAGTATGGGAAACACAGCTGGAAGATGCTGAGCCTGCTCCTCTGCCTCCCTCTTATTCTCCATGTACTGAATAAAGCTTGTGTCGATGTCGATTATGAAAGAAGCAGCATTGGTTTCATTTGACTCTTTGTTTCTCATGCTTTTTCTACATCATCACTAAATATATACTTTTAAAGAACAAGGAAAAAAAAATATTTTCCCTGCGATTATCCCTATTAGACCACAAACATGGATACTTAGAATATTTTTTTAAATCAAACATCTGATTCCTCTTTTGCATCTAATCTAGTTGTTACTTATATAAGAAACGTTAGATTGCATTGTAAATCCTAGCAAGAAACACATATGTGGGACCTCTGCCTAACATGGGGACAACAGCTCCCCAGCCTGCACAGTCTCACCAGACCGCCACCTGTGCCAGATTTTATGACCGACTCTCCCTCTGCCACCCTTCCTCTGAACGCGGTCGTCCAGCCAACGGACCAACAGGACAGGGTCAGTCGTCAGGGTGACTTCTCCTGCGTGTCTGTTCAGTCTAAGGGGAAATGAAAAGGTTGCTCACTGAGGTATGACTGTCTGCCTTATTAATGTGGGCCATCTGGACAGAGAGGACAGGGGCAGAGAGAGAGAGAGACAGAGAGAGGGCAGAGGGGAAATTAGGAGGAATTCTTAGCTGATAGAGAAGGTCTGTTTCCACACAGTCAAGCTCCAGGTTATTCACCTCCCTATGAATTCCACACAAGGACGAAAAAAGTCAGGGCAAAGCAGCACCCAGACTTTTAGAGACGAGTCGACCAAATGTGCTCGGAGACCACAGTACAAAGCTGAGAACAGCTATTCTGCAAAACCCACAATAAAAAGAGACAGCACTGCAAAGATCCACAGTTAATGAACATGGATGGATCTAGTTTCTACAAGACATCTTAGGATGTTAATGCTGCTGCGTGTCAAAAACCTGTAAGATCCTGGCACTACTTTAACCCTGTAAATTCCAGCCAGATATGCTTCTCATATGTAAACAGAGATTAGAAGATGAAATATCTGTAAAAGACACTGGACTGGCAGCCTCTGTGTTATTACAGTCTGTTCAAACAGACTGATCAAAAGCTAGTTTGCGTCACCTCACCACTTCAAGACGCTAAGCCCAATGAGAAAACAAATACATCAAATCTTTCAGGTTATCTCCAATCTCACCATCACAGCTTGGTGGCATTGTTTTTTGCATCTTCAGTAAAATGTTACAAATTCTCTTCACTGCCATCTCAATGGTGTCATAAAATCCAACTCTAATTTGACTTATTGTCTTGGAAAATGGGCTCTGGGGCATTAGTGAGTCTGTTGTCTCTTTCTCAGCCGTTGCTTTTTGTTGAATCAAAGCAGACACAAACACAGGAGATCAAACTGGTGCCCAGATGAAGGTGAGTGTGAGGAGAATCAAAGCCTTTTGATGCACATTCTGTTTGATTTTGCCTCTGCTGACTGACATCTCGTATCTATTAAAGCCTAAAAGTAATTGAAAAAAAACAAAAAACTGATGAAGAGCTTTCAGAAGCATGTAAGCACCACCGAAATTCACAAACATCCCACACAACACTGAGTGAGTACTATGAGTATACTGTGACTGCTATCACTGTGTGTGCAGTGTTGTTACACCTGCTTGGCTTTAACAATACAAAATCACCTCAGAGTTTATGGAATATCGCTCCTCTCAGTCTAATTACTTCCTACATAAATTCAATATGTGCAAAAGCAGGGTTAAACCAACCACACTATCACTACACACTCAACTACTCATACGCAATATACACATATTTTGAGACTAACAATGATCAACTACAAATCTAGTTCCCTCTTCCGCTAACCAGTCCTGAGTAGTTCAACAACAGGTGAACTGTCCACCTTATTGCCGGCTGACAGCTGAGGTCCGAAGGACGAACATGCTTCATGAAGATGCTTCAATTCTTCAAAAATACCCAACTTCATCAATATACATTATTTAACAAGATGTTTTGATCTCAAAAGCGAATTTTGCTTCTGACAAATGTCAGATGTGTGTCTTTTGCTCGAAATGTTGAGAATCACTGTGTTTGAGCATGTTAAGCCTTACAGAGGGAAACTAGAGATGCACCTATCCTCCTCTCTCTCCCCAATACCGACACCTGCTCCAAAGGTATCTGCTGAGACCAGTGCTGTTTTTTTACATTTTATTTAAAATCTGTAAACCTCGCTGTGTGGAACTCATTGGAATTGTTTTAATGAGCTGTAACACAAAGCCAGAGATTGCCGTGGTCAATACTGATCAGGCATATATTGGATGGGCTTCAACGACCGGCAAAGGCGGTAAAACCTCAACCCATAACAGATCACTGAAATGTGCCTATTCCTCAAATGCTGCTGTACACACACGGGAGAGATCAGTTCCTGCAAATGATAGTGGTGATGCACAGACAGGATCATATGAATCCAATTTAAGATCCACCAGCAGTTTTGTGCTGTGTTTTCCCCACTGTTTAACAAGGCCTTCTCCCACCAGCAGCATCACACACACACACACGTACAGTAGAAGACAGCCACTGGGGGGGTGGTGTAGGGAGGGGGTGTGCTTGCAGAAATAAAGAAATAGTAATGGGTGTGAGTGAGCTGTGCTTTTTGGTCCCTAAGGCGAGCGGGACGGAGCTGACGATTGTTCTGAGTGTTGATGGTCGTTAACATGTGTTGATGGTAGAGGGTGTAGCGCGTACATCAGAATATACACATACTATACACATACAGTACTGTATTTGTAACAACAGTATTCCCTGCCAGCAGTGAGACTATAGAAAATGTGCTTTCTGACAGGAAAAGTGTTTGTATGTATGTGTGTGTGTGTGTGTGTGTGCACAGGTGTTAATAGGTCATGAGTGTGTTCAGTAGGGAGCACCTCTGGTCCGGGCCACGTAAACAAACCTCGGGCAGCAGAGAGCGTGCTCAGAAAGGCTCAGAGAGACATCAAAGATAGAGGGAAAGTTTGAAGGAAAGAGAGGAAGGAAGCATTATTATTCTAACAGCACAGGTTAATAGGAATACCAAAGATAATATTGCATCTCCTAGAACTAGCTTCAATTGCTCAGTGTATATAAAATTGGAAGAAAGCTATACTGTGATATTACAGTTACATTTCACTTTATAATTCTAAAATAATTTATACCAACAATAGTTATATTTTATAGAATATTTACATAAATACATCATATAGTAATATTATTGTCAACACGTCGTTATAGAAACATACATCATACATATATGTGTATATAGTCATGTTATAGCCACACGTACACATACATACAATGAATATACAATCAAAATGAGCTATTGCAATGCTGTGTTGGGTAAAACTCCATCGGACATTCACATCTTCTCAAGTAAGTAAGCTCGAAGACAGGAGTTCAGGTGTATTGCTATAAGAAAGACCCAAGTTCAGCCCAGCCTCACGCAGAGTCTGAGTATTGCTTCGTGTAAAGTTTCTCCCCTCTGAAGTGATAAATCTGGACGGAGAGTTGAGAAAACAGAGAGAGGAGCTTTGAGCCTCTCGGTCAGTAGGTGAGATAGTTTCTGCCGCTGTTGTAGGGCAGAACGTTTTTCTTTTCAGCGGACTGATCAAACCAGTTTTGGATCTGCGAGTCCGTCACCTGGATAGAAAGGCAGCCCGCTTAGATGGACAGAAAAAAAAAACAGGTGTCCTGCGTATACAGACAGGTAAGAGTGAAGAGCGTATCCAACAACCTGCCGCCTTTAGAAGTCAGAGAAGAGATCCTGGGGACCCAGATGAATGATAAATGGAGCAAGGGTCCGTGGCTGGTAGAAGGGATTGTCAATGAACAGACCACCTGCAGTGAGATGAAGAACAGAGACAAAGCAGGATTGATTAAACACAATATGAAGCTTATACACATACAACTTTCTTCACTTCTTTGACAACAACATGGGTTTGTCAAAGATTTAATGCCTATGATGAATACAGAGGCAATCTGAAGAAATCCAATAATGTTTTTTTCTGGACAAAGTTACCTAAAGTCCACTTTTTGGGAAACACACTCACCCGCTTTCTTACTTAGAAGAAGTAACTGAGAATATAATATTATCATCCTGATTTTCCACACTATAATTTTGCTATTTTGTATCTCACAGACATCAGTTGCATTACTGTTTGTCCTGGAAAAGCGATCCCTTTGCTCTGTTTGCTCTTCCTGAAGTTCCTCCTGTTAAAGAGTTTCTTTGGCGTTTTACAGGATGCAGAACACGCTGGAGAGATTCTATATCTCATCTGGCGTAGGAACGACTCGGGATCCCCCAGGAGGAGCTGGAAAACCTTAATGGGGAGAGGGACTTCGTGGACTACTTTGCTTATCTTGCTGCCATTGCAACCTGGCCTTCGTATAAGCGGCAGAAAATGGATGGATGGATAAACAAAACAGACTTGACAAGATTGATACCTCTCTCTTTTGTGTCATTAAATGTGAAACTGGAGCCATAAAATGGTCAGCTTAGCAGGGGAAAACAGCTAGGCCAAAGGTTAAAGGTTAAAAAGCTCAGCCTATCAGCACCTCTCTGCTCTCTATACAAGGTATAACAAGGACAGAGCCAAGCTAGCTGTTTCCTCATTTCCATTTCCTGGCTGTAGCTTCATATTTAGACATGTGATTGGTATCAACCTTCTCATCTAACTGTCGGCAAGAAAGCCAAGAAGGGTATTCCAAAAATATTCCTTTAATATTTTTACAACTATTCCAGTCATGACCATACAGTAGAATGAATGTAGAGCGTAGATACAAATATTAAATCAAATACTTTGTGCTGAAACAACATACATGTTAAGACTCAAAATGAGATCAGAGTTTTGAGAGTAAGGTTTTAAACTCTCTCCGTGGCTTCAGCTTCTTTTGCACAAAAAATTAATCCAACCTTGAACATAAGAATAACATGTGAGATTGAAGTAAAACTTTGGTTCAAATTATCACTTGAAAGGTTTTACAACAACTCAATGGAGCTCAACCAACCATTGGACAATATATTGGGTCCTCTCATCCAATGGCTGCGCCTCACAGCTGTAACCATGGAGATGTCGTTGCGGGGGGGTTTATCTCTCGCTGGCTGGATGACCGAGACGTGTTGGGTGAAGGGCCACTATTGTATTTTAGTACCTTTTTTAGCCAAGTTCCTCTTTACTTATGATATTATATGGCAAAATCTTTATTTAAAACAGAGACTCGAGGAAGAGTTTTAGGCCCGAGTTCTCAGTTCTCAGTTGGTGCTGATGTTTATTTGAAGGCTGAGCAAAAATGTGCAAAAGCAATAAATACAGTAATGGTATTGAAATAATGAAACAATGACAACAAGATAAAACACAGAGAGATTTGAATTCATGTGGGTCCCTTATTGCTGCTTTTGACGGTTTGGTGGTCAAATAAAAAAATATGGGTATTTACAGTAGAAGTAACAAGTTTTGTTTTTATTATTGGGCTTTTTTATCCCAATTAAATTCAGCTCCAACAATGAACTGAGCTCCAACAAAAGGGCTGCAGCTGGCTCTAGTGACGACATATAAAAACTCTCTGTATATACTGTAGGTGTTACTCTGATAGCAGTGGGAAACCTGCCAAATATTAATCCACGTAAGGTAATGAGATCGTGCGGCTGAATGCCAGATGCAGGATCTGACAAGAGCTTTCTAAATTCATCCTTTGTCTTCTTGCCTTCCTCTGAATATCTATAAGCCGAGGGTCAAAAGGATGTAATGAAATGCAAGAGGTACGTGAAGGGATTGAAATTCAATCTGTGTGCACGTATGAGTGTGGAATATTAAAGCTAAATGTAAGTTTAGGTCACAGTATCATACACCAGTTGAATGTTGATTGAAGGCGCACATCTTTCCACATGTTAAGTGACATAAGGGCTCTAAAAAGTCGAAATCCGATCAAAACAAACAAAACAAAACAACAAGGTGCTACTGCATTGTTACCAGCTGAAAGCCTTTAAATCAGATATACACCAGGCAGTGTTCAGCTTTTATAGGAGATAAGCTTTATTCATTTTTCCAACATTATTATTTATTTATTCCTATACATCCTTCACACAGCTCACAATATTATTTACTTTTTTTTTTTTTTTTACAGAGAATGTGTGTTGTGTGTATCATATTGCAAAGGCTACATCCTTCCTACAAAGAATAAACACAATAACAAAAGGCTGATATACTCAAAGAATGAGGTCACAATTCACAGTACAAATCCTTCAAGTTTTTGTTTATCTCTTTAACCTGCAGTATTTTTTTTTATATTCAAAAAAGTTTTTGGAAACAGTAAGAAAACAAAACAAAAAAGCGATTTACAAATCTTCATCTCAAGTCCTTTCCCCCCATCACTGTTATTGTAAAAAAAAAAAAAAAAAAAAAAAAAAACACAGACAGGGTTTCCCTTCTAGTAAAAGTATGATTTGTAAAAAGCGTTTGGTATGTATGAAAAAACGTTTGGTATGTATGTCTCCTGTGCTAAAAGAAGTGGTAGTGGGGAACAGGGTAGGCGGGCACTTTCATGACAGGCAACAGAAGCATTCTCTTGGGCAAACCTAGAGGGGAGACATGAGAAGAGTACAGCTCTGCATGAGTCCAGGGCAACAAATAACCATGTTTTTCTATGCTCACTACCCTAGGCGCTACGCTACATCTAGGTCCAACAAACACCCCTCGCACTACACAAACAGGGCTCCCAAAGGGGGGAGTTTAGGTGAGAACACTAAACAGGCAGGAATGTGTGTATACAAGGTGACACACTTCATCAGAAGGAGAGAGATTCAAAGGTAAAGAGAAGAAAACAGATGTTTAGCGTAACGTGGGTCTTATTTTTGTCGTTTCAGCAATCTTTTCCATCAGTTTCCAGTTTGTACTCATTCATTTACTTGCTGAGATGTGGGAACATGATGACAGTGCTACAATAACGTCTAGTGAAGGTGAGACAGTCAGACAGGTTGAAACTCAAGCTGCTGTTCAGCAGGCCACTATTTGGAAAGTTAAACTTAAAGTTATTTAAAAGTCAATAATAATCCTGCATTGCATGAGGAAACTGCAAACCTACACAGAGGCTCTTGTTTTTGTTTTTTCTCTCAAATATTTTCAGATAATCATCTTTTGTTCTTTTAAGTGATGTCACCACATTGGCAGATCTCAGCAGTTAACGTGGTTACCAATGGAAATGACAGCCAAAACTACACATTTAGTTGGAATAAAGTAGAAGAATCCTTTAAAGGAGAGGGCTTGGCTACAGATGGGACTTAAAGTGCTTCTGGAATAATGCCTATATTCTATAATCTAATGTTCTCTGTTCTATGTTATATAATGGTTTGGGTTCTATCATGATCATTGTCCGATGATGTAATATTCTGTGTTCTTAGGTGTAATATTCTGTTCTCATACATAATGTTCTATAATGTAATGTTCTGTGTTCTATAAAATAATATTCTGTATTTTACGATCTGATATTCTCGGCTCCACAGAATGTCCTAGTCAGCTCAGCAGCATTATAGAATGCGTTGTGTTTGCCAACAAGAAAGCCCAAAGTGGCAATAAGCCAGAGTACAGTGAACAAGCAGAAGAAAGGATGAAAGATATGCATCCAAAAGATAAAGGAGTAGTGCCCAATGTGTTCATGTGCCTTCTTTTCTTTATTCTGCCATGTAAGTCCTAATGGGGTCTACTTAAAGACTTTTTTTTTGCCTCTTCTGGCAAATATAAGTCAGGAAAAGGGATTTAATATTTACAATATTGTCAGCAGAGGAAATAAAAATCTCCTTCCTGACTTGCAGCCCACAATCTGTGTCTCATTTTTATTCTTCTCTTCATCTGCAGCTCTGCTTTACAAGTCAACTGATTTTAAAAAGAAAAAACTGATTTCTACCACTCAGCTTAACAGCAGGTGTATCTAATATTTTGTATATATTTGTGTTTTGCCTCAAACTTCCCACAGGCTCTTTGGTCACATGGTGGGAACCACTGAGCAAGAAGTCTATGTTTTGTCTCTGTCTTTTCTTTTTCAAATAACACGAATTGAACCTGAGTTCCTAGCTACTTGTGGGAGGCTGTAGCTCAGGTTATGGCTCACTGTCAGCTGACCTCAGAATGATCACCCAACGGGATGCGTGACACAAACTAATGATTAACAATTTATGCTTCATCACCCCCGCAGGCCTGGCACCAAGCTGCCTACTGAATGCCTTCTCAAATATTTTGGATGTCATGGCCAATAACAAACAATAAAACAGTAATAAAAATAATTCACACCGTTCACTGAAATGTTCCAGTTTGATGTAAGCAGAAACTACCAAGGAATACCAAGGAAGTATTTCAGTAAGCACCTCAGTCACAATAACACGTGAAAAGTGTGTTGCTGCCAGGGACTGAAACGAAACACCTCAAACGAACGCAGAGCCCGAGCTCCACCATAAACAGAAAAACTGAGGCGCACTTCATATTCAGGGCTGTTGGGATCTCAGGGGGGGTACTGAACGTCTGCCTGAGGCCCCAGATCGGTTTCTGCTAGCACATAAGACCCATTCAAACTCCGAGCAGTAGGATGGACAGAGAGGCCTTCCAATGCTACATGTGTGCACACTACACAAGGCTGAGTCTGTTGAGGTAAATACGACTGTGTGTAACAGAGGGATGTATGGGTACCTATGCTGTTAAAGGTCAAGAGCTAGTATAGATTTTAGACTATAAATGTCTATAATTTGTCTGTGCATGTGTGTGTGTGTGTGAGACAGAGAGAGCCCAGTGAGTAAATAGAAACTCCTTAGCAGCAGTAACATGACAGGAGCAGCACTGCAGTGGCAACGTTGCCCTGCCACCCTGTCCTAAATAGCAGAGTAACTCACACTATGCGTCCTGCTAATGTGAACAGAAATGAAGATGACGGCAGCAGAGGCAGTGCGTCTGGGGTAATGTAAGTCCAGGAGAGCTTGTACAGTTAGTTAGAGAAGGCTGTTCTAGGACTGCAAGTACAGGTGTGTGTGGGTCACCATGATTAGGATCAGTTTCTGGGAATTATGAGACCAAAGCTTGAGACTTTACTGACGTTGTGGTCGTGGTCCAACCATAAGAGATGAGGGTGGGTGGCAACAAGCAGATTAAGAAACAAGTGGCGAGCGGAGAGTTAGCCAAGTTACAGACAGATTTGCTTGAAGCACACATGAAGATGTTTAAGCTTTGTTTAATTGTGACTGAAATTCACTGCCAAACACTAAGACTTGGATTAGAATCAGAAGACATTTTAAAGTAATTTTGAGAAAAGGAATTGGAGAAGAAGGGTTGAAGCTGTAACATAACCCTCCTGAAGAATAATTAATTCACCCACTGATGGTTAGCAGTTACGGTATGTTGGGTTAGGGAGGGGAACTGTTTAGTTAAGAGTGGAGAGAAGGTGGAGGAGGGGAAGAAGGTTATTGGCAGGGACAAGAAAGAAGCACGTACCGTATGCAGGAGCAGCTGCTGCAGCAGGGCTGTAGCCATACGGTGTCCCAAAGCCTGTTGGAGAAGAGGTTACAGGGTTAAAATCAATTGCGCACTTGTTTGAATCCTGGCTGCACTTTTCAACATCTTCAGTATCATCACTAAGTTTAGACGAGGGTTCTGGCCTTCCTGCACTCTAGCAGACAGCTGTAGGTTCAGGGGAAGAGACTTGAGAGGAAGTTGAACTCCTTCCAAACAAGATCAACATGAACCTGGACAAACAAACACGGTACATTCACTCATTCAACAGAAAACAATTCTAATTTTCTGCATGACTGTCCATTATTGAGCTCTGTCTCCTGTTACTGTATGTTTGTGGAGGGTATTTCTGAAAGCCTGTGATGTTTTCCAGTACAGTTGCTGACGTAAATGTCAGTATAGTAAAGCAAACAGTAAAATAAAATGTCAACCCTGCACAAACAACCATGTTTAATATAAAAATAAAATAATAACACAAATTCTATACTGTGGTAAAAAGTGTGTATTATTTCATAGGTTGATAGAATTGGCGGTGAAAAAAGACTAAAATTATTCCTAGCCTTAGCCCCCCCCAAATAAATAACAAACAATACATTTTAAAAGAAAATGCTAATTACCTCGATAAAAACAACAAACCCACACACAATTATCCTCTCAGTACCTGGTGTGACATATCCAGGTGCGGCTGCACTGACGAAGGCTCCTCTTGCGAGGGCTGCTCTTCCTCTTCCTCTGGCTACCTGAGCTGCTACTGCTGAGGCTGCTGCTGCCGCGGCCAGTGCTCCTTTAGTCTGAACACAGGACACATAATATATGTGTTTCAAACAATCATGATGCAAATATGCACACAGATGTGTGTCTGCATAAATATGATGCACAGAAATGAGGCACACATACACATATCCAAGACATTAATCTAATGCATTACTGGCGTCACTGTTAGCAGACAGGATCGTTGACAAAATGCGTGAAAAATGGACTGTCAAGTATTGATCTGATTAGACACTCGTTAAACTCTGTGCAGTTAATTACCGATGGGTGAACACAGCTCTGCAGAGGTAATACTGATTAGAAAAGATGTTTAAACTTTATCATTTATAAAGCTGCACTGACAGTTTGCCTCTCAAGAAAGACATTTTAACAAATTACTTTGATTATATGTTGTTGTTTCATTCTGTGTGTGCAAATGCATGTTGCCCAGACTGCCGCAGTGCCATCAGTCTGTTATGTAGTGTATGTGTCTCTTTACCTGAGGCAATATCTTCTTTTTCTTGTTTGCAGCTGCATTGGGACCAGAGAAGAGTTTTTCCAGAGCTGCTAGAGCAGCACTGGCCTTTGCTACTTTTTTGTTGGGGCCTGCCCCACGGAACTTCTGCCCATCGACCTCCACCTGACGTGCACACACACAAATACACTTATCAGTCATCAGTAACTCAGCCAGCAAGTCTGGCTGAACGGGACAGCTTGTTTAGTGATGCCCTGCTGTCACGCAGGCCTGCTAATCAATCAGCAGAGCGATGGAGCAGCCAGGCATGTCGGAAAACAACGCACCCCACAGAGAACAGGCCTGCTCGAGGAACCAAGTTGACTGATTGACTCTACCGATGATCAGGCTGAGTGAGTGTGTGTTTGTGGCTTTGCCTCCGTATGTGTCTCCCCCAGGATAAAGTGAATGTGTACTTTTGAAATTTCTCTACATTTTTTCTGATTATATATGTCATGGCTCCCCACTCTTTTCACATGCGTACATGTTTTATAATCTTCTACCAGAGTCAGTCTGTGCGGGTACATGAAGCTCTCACCTCCATAACAAAGCGTTTGTCATGGCTGCCTCCACTTTCAGAGATGAGCTCGTATTTGAGGCCTCGTCTCTTTTCGTTTAGCTCCATCACAGGGTTCTTCCCACTTGCCGTCAGTATGGGACCCTGAGTTCGCACCTGGGGGTTAAAAAGATTATTAAATATTATTAAAGCAATTTAATTTAAAAGTATCTTCATAGCTTTATTAGAAAGCATACGGTGGACAGTTAACCTAGGGACGGAGCATGGTTAGCATGACTGTAAACAGAGCTAAGATTAAACTAATTTTGGATACTTTTTATGTCCTTAAACCAGACAAACAATGAAATCCTACACTTAGACTTTAAAAAAAGCCTTTGTACTGAGTGTATGCATTTGTGTATCAGCAAAGTTCCTCAATCCCCCACCTCCAGTGTGTTGGAACTGTCTGAGGAGTGTGTTGGGTTATTGCTAGTGTGTGATGATGTCTCGCTCTTCCCCTCGCCATCCGACTTCTCATCTGAACTCATGGGGTCCAAGTCTGAGTCGAAACCTGTTGGGTAGCCCATCGCCTGGAGAACCTAGACAGGGAAGATGATGATAAAGTGAAAACGAGTTCGGAGGCAAGAGAAAACAAAAAACTGAAGCTAAAGACTAGGATTCCAAGAACGAACCATGAATGGTTTTAATAAAAACTGTCACATGCTGTTCAGACAGTTGTTCTGAAAAGGAAAGGTATTTTTCTGCTATTGTGCAGGCCTAAATGGTTGTTTTTACTTTTTTAGTTTGATTTTGTTGATTTGAAAAGGCTTACTTAATGACTTTGTAGCAAAAAGGGAATACATCTGCAATCGCTAACTTTCCACATATTAGTAAGGTATCAACTACAACAAGGATGGCAGAGGATCCAGACGTGCTCTTTAAATGTTGCCTGACACAGTGTCGTGTAAACGGCTAACTAGCTAGCTGAATGATGTCCTCAATCAACCAGGTAACTTTTAGGTATCTCAAATCAACAATGTATCAAATGAATGAGTAAATGGGATTTTTACACTTATAGGTTAATGTCCCTTTGTGTGTTTTGAACAGACTTTATTGGCATTATCAGCCATAAAAGTACAGAACTGCTATCCAGGTCAATGAGAATGAAAAGCAGTGCACAGGAAATCAAACCACAATGATAAATGTGCCAGCCCTCCACTAAGTTGATGACACAAATTATACATTTGAACAAAAACTTCCATATGCAGCAATACTGCTGCATTTGACAAGACAAGGTTAAATCCAACTTGGCTCAATGGTTACAATAAAGCCATTACAATACATACAGTCACAAGAGCCTACTGTGAGTCCTCGACAGCCAACAGAGCAGCAAAGGCATTCAGAACAATGTGCAGCCAGAAGAGAAAAGGAGAATGACACGTTTTTGACCCAAATGGGTGATTGTGTTACAGCTGCTGAACCAGCCACTACAGTGAGTGAGAGAAACTGAGGGAGAGCAGGGACAGATCAAAAGGTGAGTACATGAGAGAAAGAAAGGGAGTGAGAAGAAGAATGGAAAAGGGGGAGAGATGGGGAGAAAGAGCCTTTTATGGGAATGGAGCGGATAGCGGATTATCCCAGCTCTGTGCTCTGGAGAGCCTCTTTGTTCACAACCACTTTGGGATTACATGGATTTGCCCACCTCCATCCATCCTCACGCACACACAAACACACACCAACACACACCAACAGGCATACTCGGACAAAAACATATTTAAACATACACACAGGTTTGGCTGCAGCTTAAGCTTAGAAAGTTCTTCAGGTAGCCAAAGGAGAATCATTTATGTTTTTATATTGGTATGTCTTCTCTGTATATGTCCAAATAAGCACAAACATGAATCAGACAATCGCACACATGCCACACACATCGTGACTTTTCCTTCTTACCTTGACGGCTACGTGGAGCTTGGCGGTCTTCTTGGAGGATCCAGACGCTTCATAAATGGTTCCGTCCAGATCCACAGACATGGTGAAGACTGGAGCATGAACCGGGCCCGACTGGGACAGCAGGCGATACTGCAGCCCCGGCCGGATCTGGTTCAATCGCATCAAGGCGTTCATTGGCTGGTTGGAGTCTATGGCTTTACTGTCTAGGACTAATGCAAAAAATGGAGGAGTGCATGGTTAGAGTAGAAAGTAGAGCAGATTAGGATAAATTCAAAAAGGGTTTGTAGGGAATGTAACAATTATCCAGCTGGAATTGAACAGACTGTGCCAATTTGGAGGTACTGTATGCGATACATCATATTTTCTAATGGTTTTTTAGCACTCTTACTGGTTTCTTTCATGATGAATAAAGGTGCCTCTCTATTTTCTTTCTCTTTCAATCACTTTGCTCCTGTATGCCAATGTCTAAAAAATGCCTCTCTGTCTCCATTAGTCGTGGTTCATCTTCTCCTTGTATGAAGAAAGAGGTGGGGTTGGTTGGGGGGCCTACTAAAACGTTAGCAATCAATACTATTGATCTGCCTCCAAGGGATAGAAGGAAGGTGGAAGGGAGAGAAGCAGACAGGAAAAAAGACAGAAAGGCAATAGAGACAAGGGGAAGAGAAGCAAGGCCAAGACATCTTTAAGCACTGCTGCTTTGTTTTCAGTGGTTTGAAAAAAAATAAAGAGAATCCAACACTAAATGAAACTTTTGTAAGATGGTATTTTTACCCCTGCATTTCCTTTATTTCAGTCTTTTAAATAGATTGGGTGAATTAATAGAAAAACCACAAGAAACAATCACTCTGCCATTGTTCTTTCCTTCCTTCCTTATCGTACCTTTCCTCAGATTCCTCTTCATCTTCTTGATGAGGTCCTTGTCATCCATTGCTCCATCCTCGTATGGCCTCTTCAGACCTAAGCCTGGAGGGAAAGCAAGAGGGAGAGACGCAGAAAGAAACTTAGAGGGAGTTGCTAATCAATCACCAACTACAAGAAATGTTTATGTGAACACACACAAAGTCACTTATGTGTGACAGAAAGAAAGGGGGCGGAAAAGCCGCAGAAAACAAGTCAGATGTGAGAACAAGCATGAAGATGGATAAACTCACAGACAAGATAAACAGGACAGACGGGCAGACCAGCAAACAGCCAAACAATGAGGAAGACATATAAGCTCCTTTCCTACATGCACTTTAATCTGTAAATGCTCTGGCAGATTTCCATGTGAGCGTCATGGATAGTCGGATTTTCTGTGACAGTCGTTTTGAAATTTTGCCAACTTCAGTTTACAACATCACACCAAGGCTACCATGTTTTTGATGAGACACAGGAAAAAGCCGGCTCCACATGTCAGCCATATGGACGGTGCTGTCAGTGCAGGTCTGTACAAAACCCACCTAATACATCCAGAAAGGTCACGTCATGTGTGAAAAGATCTGATGGCAAGTCCGATCTATGCCCAAAAGACTTCCAGCTGACCCAGATAACTGAACCCTACTGTAGGCCTGTACTGTTTGGCCTTTTATTGCCTTTATTTGATAGTTACAGCTGAAGATGGACAGGAAAGGGGGCAGAGAGAGAGGGGATGACACGCAGCAAAGGGCTGCAGGTCGGATTCGAACCCCGGACCACTGCAGCAAGGACTCAGCCTCGGTACATGGGTCGCCAGCTCTACCCACTGAGCTAACCGGGCGCCCCACATGGGTAGATTAACTGAACAAACAGACAAGGATGGAAAGACACGTGGGGGATGTATTGGACAGAAGACGGGCTGAGGTAGACTGAGCAGACAGGCAGGTAGACGGGTACACATACCTTCTTTATCAGACCAAGGGTATTTCTGTGATGGTTTATTCGAGGGAAGAGGCTCCATCTCCAACACCTTGTAGATCTGTCCGAACGCCATGAGTCTGAGAGCATGCTGTTTAACACAAAACACACAAAACACACACACACACAGTATCAAAATTATAGTTACATGGACAGTATAGGATAGTAGTATGGACATAGAGATCAAATTATTTACTGTTCTTATACTGTTAAAAGAGATATTCCAGCTATTGCATTTGTTAAAACTGGAAAGATCTACAAATCTGTATTCAGATTTGCAAATGTGTACAGAAATCTCTAAATGCAAACATACATATTAAAGGCTGGCTGAGAAGTATTTTCTCCAAGAGCTGGAAAAACAATTCATCAGTTACGCCTCAGGCAGGACTCTCAATTGGCTGTCTTTTTACTTGTGACGTTTGCTACACTTCTGCTGTGGCAGATCTGCAAATGCGTCTGGCAATTTGTGTGTGTGAGGAGAGATTTGACTGTGTGCCTCAGTAGCCAGGCCCGCTTCTGTCTGATGAAAGTCCTGAGGGTGTAAGTAGGACCAAACAGCCTCCGGACCGATGGAGGCAGTTTAACAACAGGGAATACAGTCCCGAGCTGATTTACAGCAGCTGTGGGAATGATGAAGACGCTGGGGGTTCAGGTGGGGGGACAGGAGAGACTTGACGTGGAGAGGAGTGTGAGGGAGGTCGGGCGTCAGCGCTCACCTCTGAAGGCCTGAGCGGGGGTTACTTTGGGGCGCCAGGACCAAACCCAGCAAGCAGACAACCTTGACATCACATCGGCTGTTCAGTTCTGTTCAGGCTGCTGTCACATTGTGGTCAGCTGGCTCCAGTAGTACCGTGCAACATTCAACTAGCTGCTTACTTTAGCCACGGCAGAAGTGTAGCAAAAGTTACATGTTACATTTTAGTTTTATATGAGCACTAGATCTCAACACACACACACAGAAATTTGTCCTCAAAGATAACTGGAGTAGACATGATTTAAAATGTTCACACTACTGACCAGTTTGTTTGTGTGTTCATTCATCATTTCTCGACCCACTTTACACATCCTCATTCTTCACAAACAATCAGAGAGATAACCAGAATGGCACACAGTGGCTCTGCTAATATGAATCCATTAGGGAGGTAGAGTGTCTCAGATATTCATGAGGCTCTGCGTAGCTCATTGACAGAACAGCTCCCTCTCTCCTATCTGCTCTTGTATCTGCTCCAATACAATTATCCCCATTGACATTCCAGCCTCGTTCAGGCTGCCTTCAAAGGAAATGGACGGCGGGGTTCACTAAGCCATGCGGCTCAGAGGTTGCCCTGCTCAGTCGAGTGTGTGTGTGAAGAAGGACATGGCAGCACACATGCCCACAGTGCATGCACGCAAATACTGTCCTCAGGGTGTCAGAGATGGATTTATGGCTTGCAATGGCAATAGTTTCCCACACCAATCATTAAAATGCGGCACCACACAGCTCTTCCTGGAGACGCATATGCATGCTCGCACAAATGTGTGTGTGTGTGTGTGTGTGTGTGTGTGTGTTGTGTGTGTGTGTGTGCATGCAGAGTGTGTGGTTGGGGTGGTGATGGGGTCTTTCTGTCTGGTAATAGGCGTGTTGCTTACTGATTCCCACACACTGACAGCTCAGGGCGAGTACAGCTGGGTGATAACAACAGAGTTTTTAAGCTGATGTGTGTGTGTGTGTGTGAATCTGTGTGTGTGTGTGTGTACCTGCGCACTGTAGGTAATGGCCTCAGCCTGCTGGTCGGTCATGTTGGCTAGTGTGTTTGTTGGCTCTTTCTCACATGGGTCGTGTAAACCTGGACCACCTGGGGGAAGTGACAGAAGATGACACATACACACACACAAAGCCAGTTGTTGTCACTTTACATACCGACACTGCCGCTCAGCAACATTTAATTAGGCTTCACTGTCAGGACATAAGCAACAATGGAAAACTTGACTATTAAAATAAAACAACAGCAGTTATAGGAGAATTGAACTGGCCAAACTGGCTGTGAGATATTAAAACCAGTAATTTAGTTCCTTTAAAGGTGAAAATCACCCCACATTTAAATTTGAATACTGTAATGTACATGAACATTCTCCTGCCAGTGTGGCACACTGTTCCTCCTGTAAATTAAATGCAAACAAGTTTTATTTGTATTTTGTGAAACATTCATGTAATATATTCCCTACTGTTAGTCTGTTATCTGCTGTTGACAGTCTTGCTTTTGCATCCAAACCATTTTTTTTAATTAAGTAAAATAAAACTCAACTTTCACATACTTTCAAATAACTGAAATTCTTCCAAGGATGTGTAACATTTTGTGAAGAAACCCTTCAGCTGCTCCTAATTAAGATGCTCTCTTAATGATGGCTTTCCTCAGACAGCTGTGCTCTGCCGGGTCATTGATAATGTCTCGACCTCTCTTAGAGAAACAGCTCAGAATGTGCCTGGATGTATCTGCTCAGTGTTCATCTACCCACTGGAAATGCCAAGACTTTGCATGAAAACACACATCCTTCACTGTTGATTCTCAAATCTTTCCAGTATTTATATTCATGCATCCATCATGGCTCCATACCCGGTAGCAGTATGCCTGAGGCCAGACACTCCATGACTCGACGCAGGGCTTCTCCAGCCCCGAGAGGTCTGTTGCAGGTGGCAATTGCCTTCTCGCAGATAAGTTCTAAGGGCTGCAAGAACACACACACACACACACACACACACACACACACACACACACACACACACACACACACACACACACACACACACACACACACACACACACACACACACACACACACACACAAACACAGATAAACATCTGAAGAAAATAGTGCTGCAATAATTTAATAATTATAATACCTACAGTACGTGAAATGAAACTTGTTGAGTGTGGTCTGACACTAGCAAATATTCCCAAAAATGTGGTATGTGACAGAAATTTGAGCACAATTCTTCAAATTTCAGCAGAAAATTTAAAAGTTCAAGTTCAATACTTTCTTTTTATTTCATAGGATTTACACACAAACGCAGGTTACAGCAAAAGACTTACCCATCCCTTGAGAGGTTCCCAGATGGGGTGTCTATTGCACATGTCTCTAAGTATCCTGAGAACGATAACGCAGGACTTGAGCCCATTCACTCTAGCCTGTGAGAGATAGAGGGATGGAGAGGGGAGAGGAGGGAAGGACAGAGGGGATGCAAGAAGGAAGATTAAACAGAAAAAGAGAGGAGGGGAACAAATTGAACGCAGGAGGAGTGGTATTTGTGCAAACACATACAGATAACAGCCTGCTTTACACCACAAAGCCACATAATGAAGTGATTGTATCTGCTCCTCACAGAGAAAGAATATGTTTAAGACACTAAACATTTTGAATTTTGTTTACTGAACATGTTTTACTTTTGTCTCTGTCTTTAGAAAATGACATTCTGAACTTGTACAATGTTTTTTTTGTCAGTAAGGTAAGTGAGTTGGGAGATAGATGGGGAAGGGTATGGGAGGGGAATCAAAAGGGAAGCATTGACATACTATACAGAGCAGGCAGGTTCACATAATAGCCAAAAAGAAAAACAAGTATCAACCATTGCTTTTGTAGCCTTACGATACACCTTTCACTCTTTCACCAGTTTATATATAATTTGGTTGCATGCTTTGTATAAAGCAAAAATACACTTTTGGGGAGAATCTGAAAGTATTTTGTAATGTGTAAAATTTGTCCATTCAAGTTCTTGATGTTGTAAAATTCAAACTGAACTGGAGATGAGAAAGCATGAAAATATATGTTTAATTGTAACAGTTCTAATATATAAATAAAACTTTATGTTATAAAAAATGTCTAATTTGTCCACACTTTTCTATTCTTGATTAGTTCAAACTGTGGGGATAATAAGCACCACAGTATTATCTGACAGGGAGTGTATTCCCTCTGGCTGAATCGTCAGGCTACAATAAGCATCGGGCAGGAAGACAGGAAGTGAGTGGGTGCCGACCTGGAACCACTTGGCGTGTCGCAGCGCTGCCAGGGCCAACAGACATCTGTGTCTATCCAGCACCTCCCCCTCCTCCTCCTCAGCCTCCACTCTCTGCGCAGCAGCACCCAACACTGCCACAAAACAATAACAACCCAATATAGAGAACGTAAAACACACACACATCATAGTCTGAGTGTGTGTGTGTATTTTGCGTGTGTGAATGTATGCAGACACACATGAAAATTGTGTGTCAGTGCACACATACACACACACATGCATGGATATTTTGGTACATACAAGGTGCTTTTCATGCCATAAAGTTGTTTCTCTCCTTGTAGAAAGCGCGGACTCTCTACGGTTCACCGATCTGTGACGAATGCTCGTAAGAACGTCCTCACTCTTTAAATGGTGTGTCATTTTCAACACTGTGATCAGTCTAACATGTGTTTATAGCATCACATGTTGACGTTCTTAGCACATAGTAATACAGGATCCCTTGTATACATATACGTGTTGAAAATTACGCACACTATTCAACAGTGATTTAGTAGTTTACATCCATCCAGTCACTGAAAAATCAGTGAAAGGAAGAGCAACCGGGGTCACAAGGGAAGAGACAACTTTGTGGTAGGGAAAGCCCCCCAACAGACATACACCAAACAAATACCTAAGGAGTGTTTGATTTAATGTGTGTGCTTTGTTGGGACACACACATTTCACTGCGCCCAGCAAGGTAAATCAATCTCTCCTTCATGTATTTGAAGAGGATTTCATTTATTTTGATCCAGTCTGCGCCAGGCAGGAGTCAAAATAGCTGTATATTTTTGTTCTGCATTACTTAAGGCGCACTTGATTTCACAGACTCGTAGAGAAATGGTGCAGAGAAAGCAGTTCAACACCCTGTCTGGGCAAACACAGAATCAAGCGCTCCTAAAGTAGAACTGAAAATAAAAAAATAAAAAATCTAAGATAGTTTGACCCAGTCTCAGACAAACACAACACGGGAGGGATCAAGGCAGGGTTTAGTCAGAGAATCGTGGTTGGTAAAAGAGGAGCATTCCTGCGTTTTTATGTGTGAGCGTTTGATTCATGCCGCCCGGCACTCCAGGCTGGTTGAGTTACTACACTCTCACCAATTCTGCTACTTGAGAATCAGCATGATGCCTATGATATGCAAGGCGCGCTGAATCAAACGCAGCTGTGTATGAATGAGTGCAGTTACATGGGATTTCCAAAGGGGGTTTATTGTGTGCGGGACCTACTGGAAGTGACATAAAACACACTAAAGAGCCCTTTGGGTCTCTATGAAAACACAACTGAGTAAATATTTTCCTCATCACTCTCCCGTAAAAAGAAAACCCTTCCCTCAAGAGGTATTAAGTTGAAATGTCAAATGTATCTAATGTGTTGTAGCAGCACAAGGACTACCTATCTCACATTATCCCTGAACTCATCTGGCCATTACTGTAACGTAGCTCTTCCTCTGAGTGATGCATGCAGTGGTGTGTATTTGTCTTCCTGTGAAATGTATAATGGTGTATCTCGGGGTCTGTCAGAGTGATTTCAACTGAATGTGGGACCGCTCTGCTGCTAGTAGATCATTATAGTCTTTCTCCTCTCGCTTGTCCTCCCACTGTTCTCTCAAACACTCTGCTGGCCGCTCCCTCACTCACTCAGTGCTCTTCTTTTATCATTATCTCCTTCTGTGTCGTCTGATTTAAAAAATTCCCTTTGCTATCGTGTCTCCTCTAATTTACTGTTGAGGCACCCTCCCTCCCTTTGTGGCCACACAGAGCAGCGAGCTGTATCTAATCTGAAAGCGCACCCACGCATGTAGTAAGTGTTCATAGACAAAAGGACAACTTTTATTCAATAGAAGTTTACAGAAAAATTCTGCACACAAACTCCACACAAAAGTGGATAGACTTTACTCTATTAACTATATTGTTGTGAATGAGTTTGTGAGTTTTTCAGTGAATTAATCTAATACATTACTAATAAAGTTCTGACCAGGCAGGAGCAACCATAGTTTGCTAGAAGAGATGCTGACACTGAACAACACCACCGGCATTTCTGGATCGATGCATGGGTTAATGTGTAAAAGGATTAGACCCTGCCTTTTAATATGCGACCCTATTAGACAGACTGGCCCACATCCCTCAACCTGCATGGGCGCCTGCCTGTTGAAATGTGAGCAATTAGACATCCAGCCTGACAGGTATCTTTATCCATCAGCTACTAAATATGTGTGTGCATGGCTTCTCCTCCATGTGGTCGCATGCCTGTGTGCTCTTTTGAGAGAAAATACGAGTGATCTCCTCCATCTCTCCCTGGCGCGTGGCATGATGTACGGCTAGCCTGGCGCAATGCATGATGTACGGCTATCTCTCATCTCTTACTGAGACCTGAGTGCCTATTTGGACGGGAGCCACAGGATGGATGGGCAGCTCGCTACTGCTTGGTTATTGATTTCGCTGGCCTGCTGGCCTTGCTCTCCCGTTCCCACCTCCCACAACCAATTATAACCAGTTCCTGCTACCCATGAAAGCGGGGTAGGGGGTGGGGAGGGAAGATTGTTAGACTGAGCACCAGTTCAGTTCAACACTCGATCCTGTGTCTCAGCTCTGGTATGTGTCCTGTACCTGTCTTGTCTGTCCAATCTGTCCGTCAGTATCAGTTAATGTAGACAAAGCTCTTGTTTAAGGGGAAATAAAAACAACTGGGTTCTATAACATATAAAAATACAAGATACAATTTAATTGAATGTGTGTGTGTTTGAGTGTGGACTGAGAAACACTGGGAAAAATTACAACTTGTGTGATTTCCTATCGCCATGTTCCTACCTCGCCCATTCTTCTTCTCCTGTTCCTCCTCTTCCTCCTTCACTTCCTCCTCGTCCTCCTCCTCCTCCTCCTCCTCCTCCACCTCCTGTCCTTCCTCCCCATTCTCCAACTCGCCCTCTTCCTCCTCCTCTTCTTCCTCGTCCTCCCTCATTGCCGGTGAGGTGAGGGTAATCTTCAGTGTGAGTTTGGGCTCTGTTGTAGTTTGTACCAAGATGGCTGCCTCGGGCAAGGAGCTTGTGACCTCATATTTCTCTTCTGTCAGCTTCTGTCATGTGTCAAACAGACATAACTGGGTGGTCAGAGGCCAAGGTCACAACTCGATTCAGTAGCGATGAAAAAGAAGAAGCAAAATATAGCTGAGGCAGCTGCAAGAGCTTCATCAGGTATGACAGGAGAAATGTTAAAAGAATAACGTGCATGAGAAAACTGATTAGCCTTGCAGATTCTTTATCTCCTTATATTTCCAAATAGGGATATTTTAGATGTTACTGATATCCTGAACTAAAGCTGCATTTTGAAATGTGAGGAGTGTCTCTAACTTGCTTGCCCGCACACCATAAGGGGCAAAAACACTCTTTTAAAAAGTCACATCTGTATGAACACTACAAAATCCCTATAGTATCCATATAGGGCACTGAATTACTTGTAAGAATAGATACTAAAACTAAAATAAAGCTGCAAATACAAAAAAAAACGTAAATGAAGAAAAGTGACTGAAAATCCTGTCTCTCCTAACAATAAAAGCTTGGATCAGACAGAAGCACAGAAAACATCTCTCATTACACAGAGGCTACCTAATGACCTTAATATTTTAAACAATGATAAAAAACTATATCGTCACGTAAACATGCAAAGCTGTAAGGTGCTTTTGAGGAAAAAAGGGATGATTGAGAAAAAAATCATGAAAAATGATGTAATGATGTAAAGTATGAAAGCTGGTACAATCTGTTCATTGTAACGATCTTGTGTTTATTTGTCTACCTCTATTGCTTCACACTGTCACATATCCATTTGTGAAATTGTCTATCTTCATGTACACAAGGCTTCATTCAGCCTACATTCTGAAGGAATCAATTACTGCTGACCTCTGTGGTCAGGACCAAGAAGTACTGATGATAATGAATTCATGTCAGCACACACAGCGACCACATTTGTCAGTTGATATACACATGCAGTTGAGCACACGTGCCTACACAGAAAAATGAATGGGGTAACAGCCACGTTCTTTTGCTATGAAAACACATCTTTTGAACACACACATTAACCCCACAGGCGGAAACAGGCAACACGTGTAATGTATATGTGTAGTTGTTTCTGTTGTATCTAGCATATGCTGCTCTACTTGCAAGTTGACTATGTGGTTGTGTCCAAGTGTGTACTTTCATTAGTTGCGCTGTTGGGCAATAATTAATTAGTTTTAGATTAGAGTAAGGATTGGGTTTAGGTACAGTATGTGGCAGTTATGGTTAGAGATAGAGTAAGCTTCCAGGAAATGAATGCAAGTCAATGCAATGTCCTCCTAAGTGACAAAAACAAGTGTGTATGTGTGTGTTTGTGTGTGTGTTTCCGACCCTGCTTAAGTGAGCGGTGAGTCGCAGAGGGCCCATCTACATCCCATTTGGCTCTGATGAGAAAATCTGAATCTCTGGTCACTGGGCCGAGACACGAGATTACCTCCCTGCCCACACACACAGAAAACACACACACACACACACACACACACACACACACACACACACACACACACACACACACACACACACACACACACACACACACACTTTTCCTTCCTGTCGTTCTCTCTCTCACACTACTTAACTGCTAAAGAGAACAAGCAGAGAAGAAGAACAGGGGCAGAATTTATTCATTGAGTAATTTCTGCACTAGCTGGTCAGTTTTTACCACGTTCGGAGTTGTAGCTTAATACTTTCCCTTCTAACAGATTGTTACTGAATGCATAAATTCGCCTGGATGCCACAATGTGTGTCGAAAAAGATGAAAAATATGCATATTTGTGCCTGCACTCTGTGTGCGCTCTTTTGTTTTGCATGTTTGTGTGTGTATGAACACCAGGAGCTTAATTTCTCTGACATGACTTCTTAATGAGGACACATGACACTGAGGTAGTGACGAGAGCATTAATCACACATGACTCATACATACTAAAACACCTCTTAGCTTCTCACTTGACGATAATGCTGTCGCTTGCCTACGTATGCCAACACTCAGGACGCTTCTCCTTATACTTACACAGGAACTTATACAGCGAGGGTTGGCAAATTCAAGCAGAGACACTCATAAAACGTGGAAGCTCGTCCAAATAACTTAATTTCTGACATTGGAGAGGACTGTGCAATGAAAATAGAACTTTCTTGGATTCAACTTGGTAAACTAAATCCATGAAGGTTTGATGCAAAGCTAAGATTCATTGCTCAAATGTGTGTGTGAATGCCAACAGCATGTTTATGAGCGAGTCTGTGAGAGAAAACAAAAGACTAAGAAGCAGCATTACGTGGCCGTAAGCATGCATCTGTGTAAGTGTGTGAGTGCTGGGGTGTCTCTAACCTCGATCTGTGTGGGTAAATTGTGACAAACAGTGTCCAGCAGTGTCTGTGTGGGTTTGTCTCTACACATCAGCACGAGTTCCAGGTCCATGTCGCCTTTGATCAGGAGGCCTTTGGCCACCAGGCCGATCCTCATCACTCCACACAGCACGCCACCACTATTGGACTCTCTGTTTTTAAAGAAAAATAAACCATAGGTAACATCTTATTTGGTTTTTAAGTGTAAAGACAAACACATCTCAGTTTATAGCTGAAACATCTCAACGTTAGCTCTTTTTCACTAAAATACAATTTAATTTAATAAAATATAAAACTAAAATCCTAATTCCAATTTCGTGTCTAATAAATCACTCTGCAGGCAAAAGTTCCACTTGATTTTGTCAATGTCAATATGTATCAATATTTTATCTAATCTTTGGTTAGTAGCTGTACGATTAACAGATTAAAATACAAGGTGCCAGTTAAGATTGTAAAATAAGATTCGACAAGGCAATTCAAGCCCTTAATGAGAAGTAGTGAACCCTTAATAAAAAGATTCATGAAGATTGCCGACCACGGAAGCACTGCCCAGAGATTGTCAAGTGCTTTTAAGTTCATTTCCTCACTGGAAGAAAGAGAATAAGCAAATTTCCCAAAATGTCGATCTAGTTTCTTGTCTCGTGTGACTAGCAGGAACATGTTGCTTCTTAAGTCATGTCAAGATTCTCACACTTTATATACCAACTAACAGTCAATTTATGATAATAAAAAAGAAAATAATCGAAAGCAAAAAATAATAATTCAATCTACTGTGAGTCACTGCAACCCCACCTGTAGCTGTCACTGGAATCCTCAGTTTCATCGCTGGGCTCATCATCAGGATCATCATCCTCTGTGCTGTCTGCTGGTTGGGTGTTGACCTGGCTGTTGACGTCACCGATGCTCTGATCCAGCCAATCAGAGACATGTTTGAGGGCGCACTCAACCGTGGACACCAGCGTCTGTACGGCTTCCAGCTCCTGAGAGGAGGGGTAGATGGTGGAGTGTTTCGCCATGACGTGGCGGTCATCGTTACTGAAGGAACGGAAGGACCTCTGGAAGGAGAATGAAATCAAATTTAGTACATTCTCATTAAAACTCATTTGAAACACTAAAACATGGGGACGCATGCATATCTGTTCACACACACACACACACACACACACACACACACACACACACACACCACTGTCTTTGTCTACAGCAACGGCAGCCATTAGAGAGAGGTTTTTGACAACACATAGAGCTTTAATCCATCAAATCGAGCTTTGTTCTCCCTACTGGGGACTAACTCCTCTTCATCACACACCGGAAATTAAAAAAAACGCACACACACATTCGCACAAATGCTTGCACCACATAAAGATGCACCCTGCCACTTACTGTCCTGCCAAGCGTGGATACAAATGGCTTTTTGTGGGTGTTGAGTGTGCTTTCATGCAGACTGGACATGTATACCTCTTATGGGAAAGAAGGCAGTACTTAACACAGTGACAGCTCCCATTTAATGGCACTGACACTGACACGCATGCATGCACAAATGCACATATACACACACAGGTATCAGAAATTCATCTGACCACCATCCTCACATCCTCTCCACCTGTCCTAATTCAATCAGATAGCCTGGCCCTGGGAATTAATGTCAGCTCTTCAGTCTTTTTCATTCGCTCCTTCTTACTCTCTGGGAGGTGTAAGGAGAAAAAAACATGGAAAGAGGAGATCAGGTGGGAGGCATCAGACAGGGGTAGCGCAGGGGAGAGTAAACGACAGAAAATAGAAGGGGCATGCTACAGAAGGCAAGAGGGAATAGAGGACAGTGGAAGAAGGCTGTGGGAACAATATAGAATATTTTAAAAGTGAAAAAAAAGGGTTGTAGGAGGGAAGGTTGAATTCAAAGATAAATGGAAATGTAAAGAGATGAATGAGGGGAGCAGGTGTAACTCAGGCTTTTGTGATTCGCACTCTCCCATTAATACTACCCAGATGTGTCCCTGTGCTGTGCATTCATATGAAAACAACTTATGAATTGTGTTTCAGATGTTTACATCTTTTCATGTGTCAAAGCATTTCAGCATGTGGTTGTTTACGTGGCTCAATGTGAAATGGAAAATACTTCCCTATGTTTGAGATTATTCGAACATCTGACCATTAAGTATTAACGAATACAATTAAAATGTAAAACGGATAGGGATAACCTGCAAGAGTGCATTATAATTTATTATCGATGCACAACATTTGCAGCAATACACATAATGTAAATTCTTCCGGGCAACTGAGAATTAATAACAGCAATACCTGTACAACAGATAATTAATATATTACAAATGTCAGAACACATTATTTCACATGAATTCCTCAGCGTTTATATGGTTAGCAGGAACACCACTTCGATTTAATTCAACTTTAATTCTCTTTTCTATCTGCATTACTTATTATTATAAGCTATCACATACATTAAAGTAATATTACCCAGAAGTCACCGTGGCTTTGATGTCTTTAGTTTCTCTCTCTTTCTCTCTCTCTCTGTCTCTCTTCTCTCTCTCTCTCTCTCTCTCTCTCTCTCTCTCTCTCTATGTCTCTCTCCGTCTGTCTGTCTGCCTGTCTCTCTCTCTCTCTTTTCATTTTTGGGAAATATAAAGATATTTTATATTTAAGAAAACAATTACAAGATAACAAGGTATTGCTTACACCATCACTTGGTAACGTGAATCTGAAGGATAAGGTTCACTTTTAATCATGAGGGGTTATCACAGCATGCAGTGGAGCCTGAGGAACATAACCCAGTTCAACACGAGGAGACTGCTCTCAAGAAGCTGCTTATCTACAAGACCCACATTTCCTTTTATTCACTACACACATCTACTCAAAGAGAACCACACACCAGGCATGCTAACTGACACACACACGCACCACGCACAACGCACCACGCACGCACGCACGCACGCACGCACGCACACACACACACACACACACACACACACACACACACACACACACACACACACACACACACACACACACACACACACACACACACACACACACAGAGAGAGAGATGAGAGATGACCTTTTCAGAGTAGTATGGGTAGTGTAGCTTGAGTGCTACTATCAACCTACTTGAAATCTAGGACCAACTGCACATTTGCACACACACAAACATGCAAAAAACATTTGCACACACACTTCTTCCCAGTCCTAATTGAACTGGTGACATTCTCTTTCAGCAGAGTGAGTGAGATAAAGCCATTAACAGAATGGAGGACAAGCACTGCACAATAACTGCAGCCTCACAGCCTGTGTTGCTCAGTATGTAGAATATGGCACAAACATTTGGCAGGGTTACACGCTCCGTTCCCACTGAGACTGTGATTCTTCAACACTGTTTGGCAAGGCACACCGGAGTGAGATGGAGTGTATTAAGATACCTTGAAAAAATATGCAAGTGAGTAGTCGTAGAAATCTATGCAATCCGGGTTCTTTATATATCACATGCATGGCTTCGCTTGACATTTTCAGGCAATCGATCTAACTTGAAATGCTGCCTTCATTAGATCTTCATTATGAGGCATCTGTCAAAAACATTAAACTTGGACAACATTAAGGAAAACAAATGCCAGTAAAGTTTCAGTTATACTAGTGCAGAAACTATTAGCTGATCGACATAAAATGAATCAACAACAATTTCGATTGAAAAACAACTGAAATTTTCCTCTGTATTATATCATTGCTCTAACAAGAAGCAAAAAAATAAATGATGAAAAAATGTATAGTCTGATTAATAGATAGTGAAAATACCAGTTACTGAACATTTGGGATAAGTCACTACACTATGTCTCTACTGTGTTATGATTAATTTTCACTGTCTCCAAATGAAAAGTTTAAATTCTAGCTTAAGCTAAAAGTATTGCAGAAAAAGGTCTATGTTTGTGTGTGTGTGTACCTACACGCACATGTACAACATGGTGTGCATCTTTATACTTGTGTGCTCTCTCAGAGCAGTGTTTAACAGACCAACAGTCGCAGATTTTATGAGCCGTTGCTAATAGGAGCTTCTGCAGCCATAAACCACACTGCGAAGAGACTAGTGTCTATGTATCTGTGTGTGTGTGTGTGTGTGTATGGGGGGGGGGCACTATCCGACCATGGGGGAGTTGTTGCCCAGCCGCTCTGATCACCATGTAAATCAGAGCAGTTAAGGAGGACTCACTGACAGGAATCGACCTCCTAGGCCAGCTTGTGCCCAGATAATGTTACAGACATTTAGACAAGTGACACGATAAGTAAGACACTGTAGCCAAGATAGGAACTGATGCAGGATTTTGCAGTGGCACTCTACTTTGAGAGAAAGGGTGAGTGAAAATGTCATGGTAACTGTAAAAACTAAATGCTTAACCCTGTGTTTTTTTATTAGAATGTTCTTCAATCTGACTGGAACAAAATACTTTTTGATCAAAATTATGTTCGATTTGTAGCATTACCACTATCACTTTTTTTTTTAGAAAAACAACGAGCATTGCCAAGAACAAAAGTGACATTTCAGCAGTGGGTATCAGTATTACCCATTTAATGATGCAAGTGCTCTCTGTTGAAACAGCTACTGTCGCTCTTCACAACCTGATTATACACACACGCACATTCAATCTGTTAGAGGCAACACCTTGGTTGTCCTTGAATCCACCCTGACCGGCACATAACCTAGAGGTCAATTGCACAGTATGTTCTCCTGTCTGAGTGTACATGTGCCATGCGTGTGACTGAGAGCAAAATAAATCAAAAATGATGATCAAGTCACAAAGGGTCTCTACCTAGATGGCTATAACAACCCCCAGGGTCACTAACACAAAATTACACTGTGTCCAATTTCAGCACATTGAACTAAATCTGATCCTCACCAATGAAAATTATGTTCAGGTGTCTTGTAGGGCCAAAGGTAATGTCGCTATGTCAATATACGCCCCCTTAAAATAATTCATTGAAAGTGATACTATAGTTTAATGGTGGTAGAAAAGAAAAAATGGCATCAACTCTACAACAAAGTGTGCCAGGATGAGAAATGCGAACAGCAAAGGCAGTCATATTATCTAAATAACAAAAACACACTCTGTACACTGAAAGTGAGAACACACAAAGTGTCAGAAATACTCTTCTGGTGGTTTATTTTAAACCTGTCTGATCATCTCACTGCTCATGTTCCCAAATATCAGCAATTAACTTGGAGAGTATAATATTATTATTGAACGATGGCCAAATGTATGAAAATAACACAGCACCAGATTTATCCTTTAACATCTCCCAGGATAAAATGTCCCACACAATTGGATAATTACCTCACTCGTTGTGTAGACACAGACTTGTGTACAAGCCAGGTCAGAAAGTGTATTTTTAGAGTTTTATAATAAATTTAACATCTAGCTCCAAAGCAAATTCTTTCACTAAAGCTCAGACATCCAAAACAACTGATAACTCTGAAGAGCCAAATATGAGTTATATAGAATCGGTAAAAATGGTATGAGGGAGGAGGAAAAAACTGTTGCCAGCAATACTTCCCCCGTACCGAGGAATCAGAAACAGATATGCACACATGCAACTGTTAAATCCCAGCTGTCTGCAAGCCACCAGCACACACCATGCACTGTGCGTGTGTATACCTTCATATGCCATTCTTGCATAGTGCTTTTAGACCACACACTTACCAATTACACTCCATTTCATGCTCCAGTGAGGCCAACCGGCTGGCAGCCCCATGTTACATAACCACATTACACAGCATTTACAACTCAGTGTGTACTCAACAAATGTGCACACACACCAACACAAGAAAACCCTCATACATATCATGGGAAAAATACAACAAATGGGTTAATACGCACACTAAACATGAACATCATGAGTGGCATATGTGCATAAAACCCATACAATCAATTACACAGTGTCTTACACACACAAACACCCATTACTTCCATCACTTCCATCCATCACTGCCCATTCTGTCCTTAATGCCCTGCAGTAAAACGATTTCAGCTCAAGGTGTTGTGGTTAGACACGCACACTGTCAGTAGCGGCTACTTCACTTTAGAAGCAACAGAATCCAATGACTCTCCTCGCCATCACTGTCTGTCTCTTTTAGGCTCTTCCTGTCTCATCCTGTCTCTCTTTGGCCATCTGCTATAAATTACACAACCCAATGCCAAGGAGAAGACTCACTGGAACAATATCAGCTGTGATTGGACTTACAATCTGTGCTCGTGTCTTTGTTAGAGATGTTTTTCTGTCTTTCTTTTCTTTCTTTTTTGTTTTAGAAAAATCTATCTTTTGCTATTTTTAGAGCACCATTTAGGAATATTGCACTGTAAGTGTGTGCTTAGGTATTGGGCCATTGTGTGTTATTTTTGTGTTATTTTTACAAGATATATTTATAAGTCATGTGCCTAAAGTGCATACACTACGAGGTAAAGAGAGAAAGAGAAATGAGGGAGAGAAAAGGATGATGGAGAGGTGGAGAAAGCCTCCGAAAGTAAACAAACAAGGAGAGATTGACAGATGCAAACTGGATTAAAATTTTTACCAGAAACAAAGGTTTGTTTGTAATGAAGCTGACAACACAGGCCAAAACACCCTCATAGTAAAACTATACCAGAACCAAGAAAAACAAATCACCTTCCCATAAATACCAGGCAAAACAATTTTAGAAGTGGTGTTTGAGAAAACGTCACACTTCTTCAGTCCAACATGAAACCAAGCGAAGTTGAAGGAGCAAAGAAAATTCAAAAACTTCAAAAGCCCATCACAAAATAAGCTAGGAATGATGGGACAAGCAACACACACACACAAATAAAAAAAACTCAGCACCGTCTCTGTAACATCCAGCAGCCTAGGGGAGATTGCATTAAAAATTCATTCTGTGATTTATCTGCACTCTGCTTGGCAGGCTGGCCCTCCACACTCCGCCATCCTGTTTTATTGTGCTCTCTTTTCTCTCTCTCTCTCTCTCTCTCTCTCTGTCTTTCAAATTGCCACATGCGTGCAGTCACACACACACGATAGCAGAGTACAGATACATCAAAGCCTATAAGCAAAATCACATTCATGGCAACACGATCGAGCAGCAGAACAACAAACAGACAGTCTGCGTTGAACCGGACCTCTCAACTTGTCTTGATGAACACAAGATAAAAGGGCTAGAAAAATATAATATAGGGCAGTATATAGAACATGTCAACACCCTCTGCAAAATTCCCAGCCTGTCTTGTTTCAGAAGAGATGCCATACATCTAAAAATCAAGCTTATAAACCCGCCTCCCCAAACTACAGTACACAGCTAACTTTGCGCTAAAATAAGAGGTTTTCTTTTCATCCATGCCCTTCGCCCCCCTTAATGTGTCAGCATTGTTTAAAAGGTTTATAGCCTTCCTATAAAATATTACGACCGTACTGCTAAAAGCATATGAGCTGACATTACACTGTTTGTGGGCTAATACGGTATTGAGTATGGACAAGTCTACATGAAGGAAATACCACAATACATTAAAATAAACATATGATCATACAAAAAGGGGAAAATGTTCTATTGAAAAATGTTTCGACAAAAGCTTTTAAAACCTTACTGATTTCTATTTTTGTAAGGCAGTTTGTTTATGTAACTATACATCAAAAACTGTGTAAAAATGTAAAAATGGGAGTATTTTACATTCAACACAGTATCAGATGCGGCAACTTCTGCAGTGTCTCCCCCAAAAATTGAGCAGTGATCTAATGACGACACACACAAAGACCAAGCTATACAACAAGCTAGAGAGATAGAAAATAATCATCCCAAAACGTGAGCGTGTAGGCGCAAAAAAAAGAGGGAATGAAGACGCGAACAAACACAGTGGGCATGTGTATTCATTAAAAGCAGAAAGCTCAGAGGAAAGTCAATAAAGAAGCTGTTTGGTGTATTATGCCGTTCACGCGGTGACACCCTCGCCAAGGTCACCCACAGTATTTGCTGCATCACCATAACTCAAGACTAATCACAATACCGGGTTTGCAAGCTGCCACCACACACACACACACACACACACACACACACACACACACACACACACACACACACACACACACACACACACACACACACACACACACACACACACACACACACACACACTAGTCTCATTACCCTTGGTTATTTATGAGCTCAACCATGTGCCCTCTTCTGCAGTGTCCAACCTCAGCATCTTCAGCAACATCTTGTTTTCTCTCAATCATTCAATTCTCCTCCCCACCCCCTTTCCTTTCCTCTCTCCTCATCCCTTCTTTCTTTCTTCCACCTTCCCCTACAAACCGCTCTTCCGCTCTCTTCATTCTTCGTACGCATTTTTCCTCTTTCCTCCTCTTGTTCTGGTTTTTAATAATTCATCTTCTGCTCTGCTCCCCCCCTCGGGGAAAAGCTCCCACTGTCACAGGCCAAGACCATTAATCAATCCCTCGTCTCTCTCTCTCTCTCTCTCTCTCTCCCTCTACTTTCCTCACTTCTTAACCTCCCTTTTCTCCCCCATTTCTCCACTCTACACATCTTCACACTCTTTTTGCTTTCCGTATCCGTCGCGCTTTTCATCTCTCATGTTTGTGTCCATCATTTATGTTTTTATGGTCTTATCTGCCCCCACTTGTCATTCTCTCCCTCCACTGCTCTTTTTGATCCTCTGAGCCACCCTCTCCCCCTCCTAAACAACACAGTTCCTTTTCTGCATCTTCTTCCTGCCATAACGTGCCTCTTGCGCTATTATGTGAGAAACAGACCTTATTTCCACACCAGCATTAATGATTGTGCACTTGTAGAAAACTGTAGATCAATGGAAATTAATCATGTATCCTTCTCATTTAACATCAACATGAACACACTCACATTACACATTAATTCCATACATAATTACTAGTTATCCAACTATGGGACTATAAGCATATGGCAGAGATGCTTTTCACAGGATAACCTAATGAACAGCCAACTGTCATTAAAAAGATTCTTATTTTTTTAATTATCACCCTCCTTATCCATGTCTGTCTTCTTCTGTTTCCTTTCATTGTTCTTTATCTTCTTGACCTCCTCTGTCTCTTTCATGTATCTGTCTTCTCCTTCTCTTCTTACCCCGAAGAGAACATACAGCATGCATAGTTCATACCCCATCTACTCCCCAAAAACGTAAAAGCTGTACACCCCTGTCTGCACTGGTTCTTATCAGGTATCTCTGTTTGAGACACACACTCTGTTGTCATGTCTAGAACGAGTTATCAGATTGAACCCTTACACCCTCCAGTCTGGAGAGTGTTTCCTTTCTCTACACACAACCATACACACTCCAGTACCTACAGACACAAGAGTGTATTACCATGCCTGCAGGAGGAGTGGTCGCACGTTTCCTTCCTTCTGACGCCCGCTTCAGGAGTTGCTGGGCGTGTGGTGGGGTGCAGAAGCAAGGTTACTGGTCAGGATGTTGCTGTCACACCACTTCCGCTCCTCATGTGCTCCCCTGTCACTCTTGCCACCACTCTACGAGAGGTTGTACTTCTAAGAGATGAAAAACCAGGCAGGGGAGAAAGAGAGAAGAGAGAAAAGTTTAATCAGTGCCTTGATAACTAAAAGAGTGTTAAAGGAAAATCTCACACTCAACCTGCATCTGTCTAACCCTGCACAACCCAACTGCACAAAAAACCCTGATCTTCCCCGATAACACTCAATTCTCTCTCTGGCTCACACACACTCGCACAGTTTTCTGAGCAAGGATCTAAGCCCCTGTCTGTCATTGAGTAAAAATTCTAACAAAATAGCCCATCAACATATGTGGACACACACAAGCACACACACAGGCCTTCATTTATTTTTCATGAGCTGGCAGGGGTCTGAGGGGGCGGGGTGTAATACAAACATGTACTTGTTTTCATACACTGGGTTACACACTTGCCTGACACACTCTCCTGCATTCACACAAAGACACACACAGACACACACAGACACACACACACACACACACACACTACATGTAAACCACTCTTTGTTCTGTTCTTCTGGAAATAGACATACATGTAAGTAAATGTCACTAGATTTAAAAAAGAGAATACATGAAGATTTTATTTGATATGGCATAATAAAAGTGACATTTCCAGCCACTTTTTAGACGAAGCAGTGACGACAGAAGTAACAAAAGTATGTGAAATAATTATTATGGGATCTCTGGTTTATTATTAAATACTGTGTTTTATTATAAAGTGCTTCTGATTCACCCCCTTTGACGAACAGTAGAGAGGGTTACAGGAAACAAACTGAGAGGAGAGAGATTGACAAAACTCTGGACTTAAAATTACAATGTTTAGAGCTTGGCGAGAGCTGGACCACTGTGCTACAGAGTGCTCCTTCCTATAAAATGTGAAAGACTAATGGTTCTAACCTTTTTTTTTCCTTTCAGTGAACAAATACCAGAGGTGACCATAAAGTAATACTGTAAGAAGATGTAAAGGCTCTATAAGAATTAAGAATACACAGAATAAAACTAATAATCAATTCTAGTAAACCAATTTACCTATAATGAGTTCATGATCTGGCTTCTTAAAAAAGTAAATTGTAACTGCAACTTTGAACCTCAAAGAAGTTACTCGTGACTACATTCAGCTCATCTTAGGGCTCTGCAAAGTAAACTATACATGTGGTGTTGCTATGAAAACACTGGCTGGTTTTATCTGTGCTGAGCAAGCCGAGGTGAACAGATACACAACGTTCTTTTCACAACATGAAATGTCAACAGTATGACCACTGACAGTACACAGACACATCTGGTCACACTCAAACCAGAGCAATGACATTTATAGAGCTGTGCATGTCTGCGGGTGTTCACACAAGAGTGCAGAAGATGATTTCTCAAAGGTCTTCCAGACTCAGGGCTCGACTGTTCAAACAGGTGTGGGGGAAAACGCATTCATAGTGCTAATTTCTGGCCCAAAACTGACTAAATGTTTCCATGGCAATGATGAGATGATGAGATGAACTTTCATTTATAACATTGTTGAAAAAACAGATAATGGCATTTGAAAATGAAAAACTAAAATGTATAATGACAATCGCAATTGGCTGATATTTGGACCCACTTCATTTGTAATGCTGCAGGGAGACAGAAATTAGATGCCTCACTTTAGCACTAAAATGTTCAATATGTTTTTGTTGACTAAGTAGATGACTAAAGTCAGACAGGAATATATTTTCTTTTCTAAAAACATTAAAATTAAAGTAAATCTGAACTTGATCTCAAAACTAAAACTACATTAAATCTATTATCTACAGATGCCGCAGGTCGCCTTCCATGGAAGCCACCAAATTGAACTGCCTTGTTTCTACAGTAGCCCAGAATGGACAAACTAAACACTGGCTCTCTAGAGGGTAAAGCAAGAGAGTTTCAATCTGTAACTACACAGCTAGATGCCCCTAAACCCAAAACACTGGACCTTTAATCTGCAGATGATTTTTTACTCAATTTATCAAGTAGTTGTTTTGTCTATAAAACAAAAACTTCCTATCGGTTTCCCAGAGGCCAAGATGATGTTTTCAAACGTCTTGTTTTGTCTGACCTCCAGGCCAAAATCCAAAGATATTGTGTTTAATAAAAACCAGAACAAACAGCAAATCCTCACTTTGGAGAAGCTGTAAAAGGCAAATGCTTGTCATTTTTGCCTGAAAAACCTTACCAAAAACGATGAATCAATTATCAAAATAGTAGCAGATTAATTTGCTTGATCATCTTATTGATGAATTGCTGTATTGATTCAGTTTTGAAAATAATAACCTCCAAAATGAACACTATAGTTCCAGAGCCTCATTACTGCATTTGAGTCTGATCTGCAAAATCCATAATCTGTGAGAAATTGGATTAGGCAGGAACTGCACTGATATGGGAAACAATACAGACATTAGTGCGGCAGAATTATCGACACCAGACTATATCTCTCTGCTGTTGTACCTTGCAGAACTTCACTTAGTTTTCTTTTCTTTTTTACACTGATAAATAAACAGTGTCTCTAATGTGTAGAGTATCTCATCACCTTGAGACTAGACACATCCAAGTTTCTATTTGGATGCTGTCCGGACAGAAAAGATAAACACACATGTGATTGTTGGTCTCTCCCGGAGTAGGCCTGCTGGGGGGATTGAATTGTGGCGCGGTGATGCTGCAGCCTCTCAGTGAAAGCTCAGTTGGGATCCGGGGATAACGGGAACGAGAGAGGAGAGAGGAGACATGGGGAGAGATGGGGAGAGATGGAGTGGGTAGTTAGAGAAAAGACAGAAAAAATGGAGAGAATGGGAAATGAGCATGAACAGGAGCGAGCAGGACGAGGAGAGCGGGCAGAAGAGGCAAACTATAAGGAGAAAGTGGTGCAAGGGGACAGAGGGGAATCGGATAAACAGCAACCGCAGATATTAAGCTGGCCCCTCGGGCGAACAGACTCCACCAGAGGCTGCTCCTCATTTTCTCTCCAGCTCTCCCTCTCTAAGACACTGGCAGCTGGCCTGCCACGCTGACAATTACCTCCTCAACACACCTGGCAGCGACAGTGTCTGTGTGTATGCTCTTGTGTTTTGCCAGTTACCTTACAGCCAACACTCCTTGCCGGAGGGGTGGGGGGTGGGGGGTAAGCTCTCATTTCAACATGGCTTGGCCACTTAGGATTGTATGCACATGATTATAGTGCATGCACACAAACACAGACAGAGACACAAACACCCTGCCAAGAAGCATAATAACAACGTGCCAGCCTCTATTCGATTCTCATTATCAGAGCAATTCGATGATGAACAACAACACTAATTCCCTGCCTGTGTTTCTCTCTCATGGCACTTTCCTTCTCAGTTTTCTTTATTTTAAATCAAGTGTATGCTTATAAACACCATACATTATGTTATATAAAATATAATAAAACT